CAAATTTTCAATGGAACCATACGCGAGTTGACTGTGCGGTTGGTTGTGCCCCCCTCTGGCACTGGTCCTCGGATGAAGGAGGCGGTAGAATAACTGTGAACTCCTGAATTTCACGTCGTATTGGTCCTCTCGAGCAAATGGCGTGAGGCCCTCGGGTTCGCCTTGTAGGCTGTTGACCAACCTAACATGTACAAAGGGCAATTGAACGGCGAAGTCAACCACGTGTCCGCGGTCATCGTGCTTGTGGGATTCCAGAATTCGCTTCATAACCGTAATCTGCACCTTGTCCAGCTGGTCCATCGGCCGATCCTCACCCAGTTCTCGTATTAGGTCTCCTATTGATATAAAGAGAGAGGGAGTGCAAAACCCTCTTAGGCCATTCTGGACCATGAAGACAACACCGTTGTGTGGTGTGTCCTCGAATTCGTCTGGGATCATCCCAAGATCCGTGCTGGCCGCTGGCGTCAGGGAGGGAAACTGGGCAGGATCCAAGGCAGGGAGCTGAGGCAGATTCCTTGTATCGGGTTCGATATCATGCAGTGTAAAGTGCGGCGGGGTCCATGGGCTGGAGAACGTCACTAAGGTCTGATGCGCATCTTGATCTCTTGAATGGAGACGACTCAGACCCTCGCGGCTAAGACCAGACTTGTCGGACGGGGGCGGCCAGGATCCAACAGGGCCATGATCTGACCGATCCCGCATGCCTGACTCGACAGACAATCCCTTTCGTGGTGGCGTTGACGAGGCCGATATAAAAGAGGGTTGTCGTCCCCGAGCTCGCCTTCGATCATCGCGGTGTCTTGAATCCGCAAAAGTGGTAGTTTCTACGCCCCCAACAGGTTCAGGCATTGATGGCACTGGCATGGCCGGCGGATCACGCGCCCAGTCGGGTGTTCTGTGATTGGGCAAGTAGTGCTTCTGAGGATCCAACAACCAACGTGCACGGTGGGTTCGTTGGTCATGATAACGAATATGCTGTTGTTGTAATGCGCGTGTTTGTGCAAGGTTGTCTGTCTTGTCCAGCGTTCCAATCCGAAGAGAGGTTTGGAAACAGGCGAGGGTCTCTACCGGGCCTGGTTTCCGATCGTGATGTCGTAGAGCAGCCTTGTAGTCCACAGCTGCTAGGACAACCTGTGGGACGCTGGCACGCAAAGTCTTTGCAAAGCTAGAATTGGCCCAGTCGCTGAACGAAACATCCGATTCAGAAAGCTCCAGCAAGTAGGCAGTTCGTCCCGAAACCAGCCAAAGACGAAGGCCGGCAAGATTGGCTCTGAGAAAGGTCACATCGTGAACAGCCGTTCGATTGAAAGGTGGCAAAGAATTTTCATCGTCGTCCAGGGTGTAAATGAATGCCATGATGGAATTGATTAGGGTCTGCACAAATTTGGAGGAGCATTCACCCGTGATCTCGCCAACATTGATATCCCAATGACAGGCGTATGTGGGCTCCGCCGGGGGAGCTCCAAAAAGTCTATGACCGTACACGCCAGTGCTATCGATGAATAATTGACAGTTCGTAATTTCGCTGGACGGCTCGTTTTCCTTAAGAGTTATCGACTCGAGAGACACCTCAAGGGGGCTCGACTCAACCTGCAAGTCCATATAGTAGTTGGTAAAGCGCATGTCGGCATCGACAAGGAGGATATCCACACGGACATTTTCTCGCTGCGAGTAAATGTTTGCAGGTAAAAGTACGGAAGAGTTCTCGGCTCGAATAGTCAAGATGACATCGAGGTCATTGTCCTTTTTGTTACTTGGTCGGGGTCGTGGGAGTTCATCGCCGGCGAGCATGTCTTGATACTCCTCCAATGTCCTGAAATGCAGATCTTCGCCAAAGTAATTCTCCTTGACGTTCACAAAATAGCGGATCAGATACCCGTGCAAAAAGAACTTTGGCGAATACCCTGTAATGGTCATGAATAAAGAATCTGTCAAGGTGGGAGACACATTGGGGTAGTAGTTGTAGGAGCCTTCGAGATTAAGCACCTTGAGCGTCATCATCGTCGTGTCTTCAGCGAGCGTATTGAGCGTGTTCCACACTGGGGTGATGAGTTCCAGGGAGGCATTATGGCCCTCCCCAATGAACTTGACGCTGCTCTGACGAGGCGAGAAGTGCTGCATTGGGATATCCACACTTCCAGCCAGCGTTTGAAATCCCAGTACCAAAAATGCATTCTCCTCGAGGTCACATGGGTTATCAATGATGTTATAGTCGTTCGCATTGAGGTAGAGTTTGAGATCCGGGAAATTCAAGTGGAGTTGATAGACAAAAGGTACAAAGGTCATATAGTCTGGTTTTTGGCCTGCCGTAAAATCGCTAATAAGATCAGTTAGCAGAATCATGTGGTCTCTCAGGATGAACATCTCCATGGCGCTGCTCTCAACGTCAAAAACCCAGGTATGAAGGGAATTCCACCCTAGAGGGTTGGACAGATCGCACGAGACCTTTTGGGATGGGCAACGCCAGAGTAATGCGTGATTGACGCTAGAAGTAGCTTTCGTGTGCTTAAGGTCAAGTCGCAAGTGATTTCTGTACCCTTCTAGGCGCGGCACCATGTCCATGTCATAACGCACTGTCGAATCTTGTCCTGCTGAAACGGTCAACCAGCCAAATGGGCGAATGTCTGGACCAAGTTTTGTCTTGGGAGCGCGGCGAAATCGAAAATGTCTCTTTTCACGTTGCTTCCGTACAGCAGCAGCTTCCCTAACCGCGTGAGCTCGGTTTCTCCACTGCCAATCTTTCGAGCGTTCTCTAGTGGGTACGCGGAGGCTGACTTCATCTTCAAGATCAACACGTATCGTCATGACTGTGTATTGCCGCACGTCGCCAATTTTGACTGGCGGAGTGGCTGAAACCGATCGGTAGGGATTCGGGAAAAACGCGGACTGGATTTCAATGCGAAGGCGATCGGCCCAAGGTCCATAGTTGACGAAGCCACCCTTGACAGTCAGGTCCATCCCGTAGGCCGGTGGCTTGGAGAGATTGATGTCGTCGAAGTGTGCATGACGGCCCAAGTCTGCATCTTCTTCCGTCACGGTCCCCGGCATGTCCCAAAAGAACTTGAAGTGGATTGCCGGCGAGTCTAGGATTTGTGAATACCTGGCATACTCCACGTGAGACCAGCCTTCGTGATCGTCGCGCTCGTCCTCATCCAGGTACCTACCAAGCCCATGCCACGACCGATTCTCATCCTGAAATTCATCGTAGGGATAGTATTTCTTGGTATTAACGTCTTGTGATGCAGTCGTCCGCAGTGAACTCCTCGAACTCCCTAGACCTGGCAGAAGGCGTTTGAATCCACGGAAAGCTTTACCAACTCTGCGTCTGAGACCGAGATTCACTTGCCACCAGCGTCGCGGATGGTTGAGAGACTCTGCGGCTGATATTATCCTCTCCGCAGCAACATACTGAGTCCTGCGGAAGTCTGGATTGGGTTTCATTTCAACTTTGGGGTGGTCGATGGTGAAGTCGAACACCTGCCGGAAGAAGTCTGACGGCCCCGCTGCGCTCGCATCGATATGGCCTTTCGCACCTGCAAAGGTAGTGACGACCAATGCCCGCGTGTTCTCATTTCCAAGTGAGATTGCGCCTTTTGAGCACTCGAGAGCGATCGGCAGGACACGAAGAATCCAAGGATAGGAGGATGGTATGTCTGCGACAGGTCGCTCCATGTCCGGGGCCACGCTGGCGTAGGTATCTGTGCGTCCGAGAGGGACAGCGAAATCGCTCGTTGGTGAGTCCCGGTCAGCTTTTTCACCAAGTTGGCTGTCTGCGGAGGCGACACTGTGAGCAGCATCTTTCGAATGAGGCCGTGTCTTGTCCCTGCGGAGATGCAGCTTGCCCAGCACGTGGTCGTGTTTCTGGCCGGTGTTATGGTTCTGTGAGTCGCAACCCTTGAGATCGTGATTCAAAACACCTTGGACAATCGAGTCGTATACAGGAGTTCTGTTGTAGACAAACCATTCCAAACCCGAGATATGAGCCGAGATTCGGGCCTCTGCTGTCGTTTTCACTCTGAAACGGCCATTCTCGGGGTCTTCAGAGGGAGTCTCTGAATCGTCAGACCCGTCCAGCGGCGACTTTTTCTTCTCCTTGACCACATAATCCTCCTCTTCCCCTTCCAGCCCCGAGAGATCTACCTGCCGCGCGGAGGACTGCCAATACCTCCAAGTGATGTAACCATTCTGGATCAGGACAGTTTCATTCTCGGCATGATAGCGGATGCCTTTGAAGAAGATCCGTCCGGCTAAGAAGGATAGCTGAAGCGCTTGAATATCGATCCAGACTCGGTACTTATGCCAGGTGAAGGCTCTCAGCCCGTAGGAGACCAGGGTCGCGAACAGGCGATTGAAGTAGAAGAGAAAGAAGAGCGTCAAGCATGAGCAGGTGCAGAGTTCGATAAACCATGTCCTAGAGAGTCTCAGTATCAAGCCTGACCCTGTATAGGTGCGACTAATAAAATTGCTCACCAATTGAAAGAGGTGTTCCTCGAGATGGGAGCCCCGACTAGGTTATCCATATCCGACATGATTCATGTAGCTGCAACCATGCGACAGCGCGCCCATGGTTACCGGTGTTCAGAGGGTGGTCGCATTGTCTTGTGCGTTTCCAGAGCCGTACAGCAGAAAGAGACGGCGGCCAAAGAAGAAATACCTCGAAGGCATGCAGCGGAAGGTGAGCCCGTGTCAAGTTACGGATGTGGATTCAGATGCGCGGTGCTGAGTTGCGGTGATGATGTGTTTCCCCGCAGAAATCCCGAACAGGCACATGCGTGCATCACTTGCACTTTTTCTTGACTGTGATGAATGACCTGCCTACACCCCTTATATGCGATACAGCGACTTCGTCACATCATCAATACCCGACACCAGTTGCTCCTCCGATACTTTCTGAGGCGTTGGCAAACTCGATATGAGGTCGGCTTGGGGATCGCGGTAACGGGACTGGAACTCTTCTCGCGGTGCCTCTTGGGCATTGCGTGCCGTCCGTCATGGAAACAATGGCCAGTGGTGGAACGGGCAGCAAGCTCACCAGAGTCATCATTATCCTCGCGGGAGTATCGTCGCTGCTTGCTACTCTAATTTCATGCGTGTATGTCTCTATATTTCCCATGCTGTTGAAGTCCGCGGTGCTAATCTGCTGCCTAGATCGATATGGCTTCAGTCCAAGAATTACAGGAAACCCTTATTGCAACGATATGTCATTCGAATCCTGCTCATGGTCCCCATTTACTCTGCGGCGTCGTGGGCCTCGATCGTGTCGCTCAAGGCTGCCTTCTACCTCGACCCTCTTCGTGACATTTACGAAGCCTTCACCATCTACACTTTCCTCCAACTCCTCGTCAACTTCCTCGGCGGCGAACGATCCCTCATTATCATGATGCATGGGCGAGCGCCTGTCTCGCACCCATGGCCGATAAGTCTTTGGTGCCCCAAGATGGATATCTCGGATCCACACACTTTTCTCCTGATCAAAAGAGGGATTTTGCAATATGCCTGGCTCAAACCTGTCCTCAGTGTTGCCACCATCATCCTCAAGCTCACGGGGACATACCAAGAAGGCTATATCTCCTTGACCTCGGGCTACTTCTGGACGGGCTTGTTGTACAACGTCAGCGTGACCATGAGCTTGTATTTCCTGGCTATGTTCTGGGTGTGTATGCATGAGGATCTCAAGCCTTTCCGACCCATGCCAAAGTTCTTGTGCATAAAGCTCATCATTTTCGCCTCGTACTGGCAAGGATTCTTCCTGTCTATCCTTCAATTCCTAGGGGCTATCCCGAATGATGTCCCAGGTTACACTCCGGACAACCTTGCTGCAGCCATTCAAGATGCTCTGATCTGTTTCGAGATGCCCATCTTCGCTGTCGCGCATTGGTATGCCTTCTCCTGGCATGACTACGCCGACGTCACCATTTCGGCAGCTCGGATGCCCGTCAAGTACGCGTTAAGAGATGCCTTTGGTCCCATGGATCTGATCCAGGATACCAAAGAGACATTCAGAGGAAAGGATTACGACTATCGAACGTTTGACTCTGGGGACAATGTGATCGCTCACGAGGAGTCCCACTCGCGCGTTGCTAGGATGATGGACGGCATGAGGTATGAAAGGGGGGGGAAGGGCAAGTACTGGATCCCAAAGCCGCAGGGTCCTAACAGTCGGACACCACTATTGCCAAAGGACGGGTCATCTCGAGCTCCAGCGCCAGAATCTCGAGGCAAAGCACACGAATACCGAGCAGCAGACCCTGATATCGAGATTGGGATTGATGCGGAAGACGAACGATTATTTACCAATGCGCGGGCGCTGGAATTCGGCGATTGGAACGTAAGTTACGCATGCTCTCGTGAATTCTGGTCCATGTTTCTAACTGTTCTCCTTCTGCAGTATCCTGTCATTACCGCGCACGAAGCACGACGTGAAGATTGGCTGCGGCGTGATCCTAACTTGCTAACTACCTCTACAAACCGTAACCTCTTTCAACCGACTCGCGACAGGAAGAGCCGCCGCCAAAGCGAGATCCAGGAGAGTATTCGGAAAGGGAAGAATCGGAGCACGTCACCTTCCGAAAGCTCCTCACAGCAAGGTGCCATCGAAGCAAAGTTAAAACGCCCCAAAGAACGTTCCCCTTCGGCTTCGGGGAAGTCTGACCGCAGCCAACTCGTAGATCTCGTTGTTGAGGACGAAGAGGCGGAAGAGGCGGAGCGAGTCAGAGCTCGGAAGGAAGGCAGTGATGCCTGGAATCGAAAACCCCAACGACATTTCGTGCGTACCTACAGCATCGACGAGGAGGCACCAGAAGGACAGGAGATACGAGAAGGCTGGGATCCGGCTAGCGTGCCCGCGAGACCGCCACCTCCGGAGAGGGCAGTGAGTGACGACGAGAACAACTTTATCGACCACAAGGATGAAGAAGAGTCTCGGACAGAGCGGGGAGAAGGCCAATATGCCAACATGATCGAGGAAGATAATGTTTGGAGCCGGAGTTGACTTTTGTAACACCATTCCAGGGTGGAAGGACGGCCTAGGGTCTAGAGCTCATGGTACGAAGCTCATTCAAATGGTTGGTATTGGGTTTGACAAGGCTTACCGCTTGTTCTGGGATATGTTGGGAAATGAGAGCGTTCAAGCGGACATGGGTTATCCTGCGACAAGCGATGGTCGATGGTCAGTTCTGGTCTCGTCAAGGTGCGAAGTCGTCTTTGCGCCACCTGTCTGGCATTTAGTATAGGTATACATCAAAAGCAAGCACACATATAGGTTTTGGGAATTGGTCAGCTGTTGAAGGCCGAGGGCAATATCAGGAAGCCCTGGACCAATGATATTCTGCCTGCGTCCGCCGGTATAGATGCGTACTCCTCTGATGACTCACTGACCCTTGATTTTGTGCCATATTGGACCCGGACAGGACGTATCCTACTGCCTACCGAGGAGGTAGAGTCATCGCACCTCTCATATGGCGCAGCTAGATACAGTCCCAGACGAAGGAAGCGGTGGCCAAAGGCCGGAGTTAACAGCTTGCACGGCAGATGGCGACCCGACGGTGACTGCGGCCTCGATCATTGGCGGGGTACCACGGTACGGGAACTCACCCTGTCACCTCACTCGCTCACTTGTTGAACTTGCTGGGACCCTCCAAGCCCCACGTGAATGCTTGCTTGGCAAATTGCCGCACTCGACTCTTGCATTTCTAACCACCAAGATTTTCTCATCTCAGTCCAACCCCTCCCTCACCCTCTTTTCCCTTCGAGTTCTCCCTCACCAAACACGCGGCTCAACCAGCTGCAATTTTCCATCCTTCTTCGTCTATACCCGCGCAGGTTCTCGCTCCGTTTTTTGGCAGATCGAGCGAGCTCTCGATCTTGCGTCAATTCTTCTCGGTAGCTCAAGGGAGCGCACTATTCCGCCGTTTTAGGGCAGTTCAACATCAAAAACCGTCAAAATGGTCAACGTAAGTCTACATCGTTCTCGCTCTATATCAGCTGGTCATGGCTAACTCGTTGGCAGTTTACGATCGAAGAAATCCGCGCTGTAAGTTACCCCTCCTTCGACAACACCCGATTATGGAGTTGGATTTCATTGGATTCTGGCTGCTATGCGAGATGTGGACTAATACCCCAAAAAGTTGATGGACAAGCCGGCGAACATTCGCAACATGTCTGTCATTGCTCACGGTATGTCGCACACCTGTCGTCTGGAGACTATGGAAGCTGACCAGATACGCAGTCGATCACGGCAAATCCACCTTGACCGATTCTCTCGTTCAGCGAGCCGGTATTATTTCTGCGGCAAAGGCAGGCGAAGCGTAGGTCTCCGCGCGACTATGTGCTCAAGGAAAAGGATAATGACAATTCCGCAGCCGGTTTACAGACACAAGAAAAGATGAGCAGGAGCGTGGTATCACCATCAAGTCAACTGCCATCTCCCTTTATGCCCATCTTCCGGACGAGGAAGATTTGAAGGACATTCCCCAGGTGAGAGATGCGCTCGAGTCGATGATACCCGGCCGATGACTAATTCATTTCTCAGAAAGTCGACGGTAACGAATTCTTGATCAATTTGATTGATTCGCCCGGCCACGTCGACTTCTCATCCGAGGTGACGGCAGCTCTCCGAGTTACCGATGGTGCCTTGGTGGTCGTCGACACCATCGAAGGTGTCTGTGTCCAGACCGAGACTGTGCTCCGACAGGCTCTTGGTGAGCGTATCAAGCCAGTGGTCATCATCAACAAGGTCGACCGAGCTCTGCTCGAGTTGCAACTCCAAAAGGAAGATCTCTACCAATCTTTCCTTCGTACAATCGAGTCGGTCAACGTCATCATCTCCACCTACCTCGACAAGGCCCTGGGTGATGTCCAAGTCTTCCCCGAGAAAGGCACTGTTGCGTTCGGTTCCGGGCTTCACGGTTGGGCATTCACCGTGCGGCAATTCGCCGTCAGATACGCCAAGAAATTCGGTGTTGACAAGACCAAGATGATGGAACGTCTTTGGGGCGACAACTACTTCAACCCAAAGACCAAGAAATGGACCAAGACTGCCGAGCACGAGGGAAAGACCCTTGAGCGTGCTTTCAACCAATTCATCCTCGACCCCATCTTCAAGATCTTTGATGCATTCCAAAAGGGAAAAGTCGACCAACTCGTTGAGCTCTGCGCCAAGCTCGAGATCAAGATTACCAGCGAAGAAAAGGAACTTCCGGGCAAGGGTCTTTTGAAGGCCGCCATGAGGAAGTTCTTGCCGGCTGCCGATGCCCTGCTCGAAATGATGGTTATCCATTTGCCCTCTCCCGTCACTGCCCAGAAATATCGTGCCGAGACCCTGTACGAGGGACCGGCTGATGACCCATCCTGCATTGCGATCCGCGACTGTGATCCCAACGCCGATCTCATGCTCTACGTCTCCAAGATGGTGCCAACTTCCGATAAAGGTCGTTTCTATGCCTTCGGTCGTGTCTTCGCTGGTACTGTCCGTTCCGGCATGAAGGTCCGCATCCAAGGGCCCAACTATGTTCCTGGCAAGAAGGAAGATCTGTTCATCAAGTCCATTCAACGAACCGTCTTGATGATGGGTCGTACCGTCGAGCCTATTGATGATATGCCCGCTGGTAACATCATTGGTTTGGTTGGTATTGATCAGTTCTTGCTCAAGTCTGGTACTCTCACCACTTCCGAAACCGCCCACAACTTGAAGGTCATGAAATTCTCCGTCTCCCCCGTCGTGCGACGATCGGTCGAAGTCAAGAACGCCAACGACTTGCCCAAACTCGTCGAAGGTCTCAAGCGATTGTCCAAGTCCGATCCTTGCGTGTTGACGCAAATCTCCGAATCCGGTGAGCACATTGTTGCCGGTGCCGGTGAGCTTCACTTGGAAATTTGCTTGAAGGATTTGGAAGAAGACCACGCCGGTGTTCCTCTCAAGATCAGCGACCCAGTCGTGTCTTACCGTGAGACTGTTGGCGGCACCTCGAGCATGACTGCCCTGTCCAAGTCTCCCAACAAGCACAACCGTCTGTATGTCATCGCCGAGCCTCTTGGTGAGGAAGTGTCGAAGGACATTGAGAACGGCAAGATCACGCCTCGTGACGATTTCAAGGCCCGAGCCCGTATCCTGGCTGATGAGCACGGCTGGGATGTTACGGATGCTCGTAAGATCTGGGCGTTCGGTCCCGACACCACCGGTGCCAACTTGTTGGTTGACCAGACCAAGGCCGTCCAGTACCTCAACGAAATCAAGGATTCTTTCGTGTCCGGCTTCCAGTGGGCGACTCGCGAAGGTCCGATTGCCGAAGAGGCCATGCGATCAATCCGCTTCAACATCATGGATGTGACCCTCCACGCTGATGCCATTCACCGTGGTGGTGGCCAGATTATCCCCACTGCTCGACGTGTGCTATATGCTGCCACTCTGCTGGCCGACCCCGGTCTCCTCGAACCCGTCTACTTGGTCGAGATCCAGGTTCCAGAACAAGCCATGGGTGGTATCTACGGTGTTCTTACCCGCAGAAGAGGTCACGTCTTCTCCGAAGAGCAACGTGTCGGAACCCCGCTTTTCACCGTCAAGGCATATCTTCCCGTCTTGGAGTCGTTCGGTTTCAATGCTGATCTGCGTGCTGCCACCGGTGGCCAAGCCTTCCCTCAATCCGTCTTTGATCACTGGCAAATCCTTCCTGGTGGCTCGCCGCTTGATGCTACTACCATGGTTGGCAAGATTGTTACGGACATGCGTAAGAGGAAGGGTCTCAAGGAGCAAGTTCCGGGCTATGACAACTACTATGGTGAGTTACTCTTTGATTCCTGTTCTGTGTTCGATAGTTGCTAACGGTGCAAACAGACAAGTTGTAGAGCACTCGACGTGAAGGCGCAAATAGACAAGGCCATGACTTTACGAATTGCATACATGAGTTTATGGTCCTGAGGCATTGTATGTTGACAACCCTCCAAAAGCAGATCTGCACGCAACGAGATGCTTGAGGAAAGAAGCAGGAAACCAAGAAGCAGTAGAGCGGAAGAAGTGGATGTGGTATGAAGGTAGATGATGGGGCCTTGTCAATCTTGATCCCCGGGAGGCAAGGTTGTCCCGTCCATGTCTATTCCCTGCGAAATGGATAGATAAATGTGGCAGCCTCTCTGCCTGTTGCAGTGATAGAAAAAATCTCCCTGCAAGTAGAATACGATGGATTGAATTTGATGACATTGACACTGATACTGCTCGGCTCTGGTTTTTAATTCCTGTCGAGTCTATTCTTGAGACGCCGACGGAGGTGTAGAGCGAAAGAGTTATAGACCTGCAGGGCTATGTAACCAACTTCGAGGTGTTTATCTTCATCGTGGTTGATCATATGGAAGTGGTCAGTGGAAATCCACATTAATAATGTCGCTAGTGACGTGCCCGAAATACGTTAGTCAACCATCTCTTCACTCTGTCAATAACCGTCCACCTTCGAGGTAAACCCTTCCATGAGACGGTACCGGGCTAATGCCATGTTGACAGGTCGATATTCAGAACTGTGCAAGGGGTGAACGAACAAAAATGGTGGTTTACCGACATGTCACCATGTCTTTCTGTGATTGATCAAACATCCCTTGACGCACATACCATCGACTCTCAGCATGTTGACCCTTTAACCGTTACTCACCTCAGGGCGCTGCTTAGTATTGTTCTCGCTGACAATGGACACATTCCTACCCTTTCCTGATCCCGCAAAGAAGAGCATTAACCATGTATGAACATGTGCCAACCGCCCAACAGAACGATTCCATGGCCGCTCCCCCAGTCCCGGTGCGCGCGTGCGGTCCATCGGGTCTTCTTGAATACCTGGTACATATCTCTGCGATTTGAAAGCCATCGCAGGAAATCTTTGCTCTCTGAGACACCGAAGAAATCCTAGCAATAAGACGGACGAATAGCCTACCTGGCAGTCAGCTACCCAGCACGATGGGGGACAGACATGGCAACCCCAAGAAGATCGAGAACTTTGCAGGCGTCGTCAACGCCTTCACCTCCCACTTTGGCAAGGACGACGACCAGACCACTGTGACCGAGCAAGAGAGGAGGGAGAGGCGAGAAGCGGCGTCAGAAGTTGCAGAATCGTGAGTAAAATTTGTGCATTGTCTCAAGGCCTGGATACAAATGGTTCATTGCCCATCATGTCCTTGGCCACACCAAAGTTATCAGGGAATCCCCAAACGGATCGAAATGAAGAGAGGGCGAAGGAGGGACGAAGAGAAATATCGAACCTATGCTGACCATCAAATCAATGCCTCTCTTTCCCTGTCTCTTGCAGATACTACAACTTCGCCTCTGCAGCATACGAAAGCGGCTGGTCCACCCACTTCCACTACGCCCCCTTCCCGCCCTCATTTCCTCCGTGCGACAGCACCATCGCCACGGCGCTGGCCTTTTACGAGCACCGCCTCGCCCTGCTCATGAACCTGAAACCGCACATGAAAGTCCTCGACGTGGGCTGCGGCATCGGCGGGCCCGCGCGGGAGATTGCTAAGTTTGTGGGCTGCGAGATCGTGGGCGTGTGCATCAACCAGACCCAGATCGATCGCGCCGTCTACTTGACGAGGATGGAAGGTTTGCAGGACAAGTGTACCTTTGTGAGGGCAGATTTTCTGGTGAGCTAGCCTTCCAGAACGCGAACATCTCAGTGTGTTCCCGCCCTTTGGCTCTAGTCGATCTCTTTTACCCCCGTTTCTCCTTGTGACCTGACTATCCCCTCCTATACGGCAACGTCCCACAAGCCAGGCGGGGCTGGGGAAAGCGACGACCGAAGGAAGACTTGATATCCACGCGTGCGAACCAGTACTGAATACCGAACCCAGGACCTCCCCTTCGCCCCCGCGTCCTTTGACGCCGCCTACGCCATCGAAGCGACCGTGCACTCCCCCTCCCTCTTGCAGGTGTACAGCGGCGTCGCGCGCGTGCTCAAGCCCGGCGCCATCTTCGGCCTCTCGGAATGGGTCATGACGCCGAAATACGACCCGACAGACCAAAGGCACGTGGGGATGCGCAACCGGGTGGAGAGAGGCAACGGCGTGAGCAACCTGCGCACGAGCGACGAGGCGCGCGAGGCGATGAAGGGGGCTGGATTCGAGATCCTCCACGAAGAGGATTTCGCCGCGCATTTCGACTATGCGAAGAGTCTGGTGGAGGTTTCTGCTCCTGCGAAGACGAAGACGCTGAAAGGGGTGCTCAGGAAGAATCGGGCCGAAGACATCGACATGGAAGGACACGAGAGCACCAGAGCCGAGAACCACATCCTTTCCTCTCCCACCCCTGGTCCATTTTCCTCTGATAGAACCCCCCAAAGCACCGTCCTCGTACCCTTCAAATCCTCCTCTCTGGCAGGTGACTCCATCTCCCCCGACGATGGTGTCTCCCTCCTCCCCGCCCCACCCACAACGACACCCCTCCCCGATTCCCTCCCAATCCCCTCCACGACCTTCCGCCCATGGTACTGGCCGCTCGAGGGCGCGACGCACCTCGCCACCACCTGGACGGACTACTGGACGGCGTGGAAGATGTCCACGTGGCCGCGCCGCCTGTGTTTCTGGACGGTTTGGGTCGGCGAGCGCGTCGGCCTGTGGGACCGGGGCGTCACGGACGCGATGACCACGTTGGCGTACTGCGTCGACAGTACGGCCGAGGCGGGCCGCGAGGGGATCTTCAGTCCCTGTTGGTGGTTCGTTGGTCGGAAGGTGGGGGATCACCATCATGATGAGGATGATGATGACGACGGAGAGGGCGGAGGTGCGGATCTAGATGGACGCGGACAGGGACAGGGACAGGGCTACGGGAGAGTCAACGCCAATGGCAATGGAGATGGAGATGGTGGCGGCAGCGGTAGCGGGGAAGGCGAGGGAGGATTTGAGTGTCCTTATATGTATTGATGAGTGGTATTCCTTGCTGAGGAGCAAGTCGTGTGGCACTCGCTGCTGGTTACACTCTGCTGTGGCCATCAGTCTCCTTGCTGTTCAGAGACGAGCAAGTCATATATACGCGCGCTGCGAAAGCTGTGACTCGGTTCTTGAATATGGCATTCACGGATATCAAATGCATCAGCCATTATTTCATCCATGCGCGGCCACAAACTCCCGAAATCTGGTCATACAGAGGAATCCAATGCAACTTCCATGGATATTCCACCATACTATCCTCGATTTCCAGCGAGCGTCATGTCGGAGCAATCCTAGACCCCCATAGCATACGCAAACAAATCCGTGACATTTGGTATCAATTTCCGTAGCACAATTCTTTTTTTTTTTTTCCGACCACTTGCCTTCATAAAGTCTCCGCGCTATGATCCCACAAAAATGCCGCCCTGAAAATATTGACGTTATTTCCTTGGCTTGCCAGCAAGCTTTGGAAGTCGGCTTGGGATTCGAAGTCGACACGAGTCGACTACCGCCTCGAGACGAGCAGTGAAGCTCGACTTGACACTGTTTTGAGCGAAGCCAGCTTTGACAAACTTGGCCCATGTGTTGGTCAGGACCAATTCTTTGATGCTGAGCTCAGCCTTGTCAAAAACCGTTTCGTCGAAAGCGTCGGGAATGCCGATGTTAGCGGGCAGTCTCTCGCCGAAATTGGTCATCTTCAACTGTTGCAGTTGGAGTGATTCACTGTTTTCGCGTCTCAACTCCCCTCTCCCACCTTCTCCTACTAGTGTCGACACGACCGACAATTGATCTTTCCCCATTTGACTTTCTAGGTCCTCGGAGACGGTAGAGGACCAATAGTTTTCGAAGGGCGTGGCAGCATTCGATGTTGGTTCTGCGCAGACGAGGGCAGCATATTGCTCGAAGATCGCCTCCAGGTCTCTGAGATGAGCAGAAGAGATGTTGATCGGAAACTCGGAATAGTTCAGGCTCACAAAGGAGGCATAGATTCCAACCGCCTGTTGAAACTGCCGCCGCGTCAATTCCTGGTCGTTCGTCCTGGCATGTCCTTGCTTGCGCAGCATCCCGGATCTTGGAGTGGCAGTAAGCCAGGCAGCCTTCCAGTCTCGTACGTGGATCAGGAAGCTGATGTTCTCTCCCGAGAAATCCTTCAACGCCGAGAACATGAGAAGAGGTGTAGGATTCAACTTCAGCGTTGTCTCGAGCGCGCTCATAGTGTACATCTCTCCTTGGCGGGCGCTTGTGGTGCTCTTGACAGATTGGCGTGTAGAAGTCCGTGATCGCACGCCGGCTTTGGTCGACCCTGCGTTCAGCGAGCCGTTGAATTTCTGCTTTTCCTCCCACTCGGCGATGATCTCGCGTGTTTCGGTCTCGAGTTTTCTGTTCTTGAATATCTGAAAGAAAGGAACAAATATGACCGAAGCTTGCATGATGACAATCGAAGGAGAAAACCTGAATAGCATGAGTGACAGTCGCCATCAATAGGACAATAGGAGCGAATCTCACCATAAGGGAGGGACAAAGTACTTGTCGACTGTCGTTTGTAACGGTCCAGCATACAGTGCGACTAACCACATAGGTGAGGCAGGTAACCTAGTGTTGTCAATACAAGCCGTCACGTGTGGTTGTTGTCAACCCTTACCCAGCAACAATGCAAGCGATGGTTTGCGTCCGCCATCCGTGAACATCATGGATATTCCGGACTCTCCAGAGAAGGACAGGAGCATACATCCAAGACCAGACGATTTGCCACACGATTGAAGGCCACCTGACCAGTGTTAGATTTCAATCTAAGGCGTTTGAGAACCAGGCTTACCATTCCCATCCACGTCGGCAGAGTGATCTTGTGGTCACCTGTCCTGTAACTCCGAACCCCGGGTGGAATTTTCGGGAGGCAAGAAAGATGATGAGTGCAAAGACAACCTGGGGAGTTAGTAACAGGGCGCCTCCTTAAGTGACTATTACTTACTTGGACACTCATACCAATCCCAATCCATGCCATAGTATTCTTCGTAGCGTTGTATGTCTTGAGTCTGCGCCACCACTTGCGCCATACTGGGGTCTTCCGGTCTGTGATCGGCTGGGATTCGGCCAGAACATCTCCGTGCGCATATCTCTTCTGTGCCGTCGCAACAGAGAGTAATTGAGAGTTTGTCGCTTGAAATAGAGCGATGCCCAGTGGGAGATAGATACTCATAATCCAGTATTCAGTGGCACAGGGAAAGTAGCCATTCAGGACATAGGCGATCATGCACAAGACCCAGTACACATGGAGAGTTGCAACAGCACTGACCGCTAGAGGTATGTTCCGAATGCGTAGGTACGGCAAGTGTCGATTGCGCATGAGAAATACAGCAGCAGGAAGTAAGAGGCAGGTCCACGCGATGATGAGACCGATGTAAGTGATTCCGAGTCCGTCGGTGTTGTACCTCAGCGCCATATCATAGCCATTTGCATAGGCGTGTTGAACTTGAGTCGACATGGCAATGGTACCTCGATCAGGACTATTAATATCTCGTGGCATGGAGCCTGCACATGGTGAAGTAGGAGAAGCCATCCGTACCAGCGGATAAGCGTCTTCAGTGAGAGGGTTCCAAATAAGCCAGTGCCTTGATGTCGATATGACGGTGAGAGATTGGAAGGAGAAGATGGATATGCTGGACAGATGAGTGAAGTAAGACGAGCGCGTGTCGACGCAGGTCGGCAGTGTGCGTCGCTCAAATCTCAGTGTGCGCAGTCCAAGGCAGCAGGTCAATTACCGCCGTGGCAGCGATGTTGGCGTGAAGGTGTGTGTGGCACAAGACGACAGGAGGGGTGAGAAGAGGTGGTGTCGAAAGGAAGGAACGCGGGAAGGACGAGATGGACACAATCATTCACAAAGTCAACGAAGGTGTGAAGCTGAGATGAGAAACAAAAGATGTGAGAGATGAGGTCTTCTCCCTCTTCTCTGCCTATCTCCCCTCCAACTAGCTGACAGTTGATCGTCACTTTGAACTCGCAAGGCTTTGTGTTCCTTTTCGATCGCCTGCTATCGTCACTTTGAGGTGCGGCACACGATGGGTTTTATGTACTGTTTCATGGGTGGTGCACTTGCCTTCAGATTTGTTGCCGCACCCCTACCACCAGATTACCAGATTGTTGGTTCCTCCAGACTCCCCGAGCGCAGTCTTTCATGTGGCAGACCATCACTCCCTCCTCGCCCACGATCTGACCTGAACGAGGATCGTCACCAGCATTGCGGAGACTGACGAAGAAGCGGAAGAGGAGGAATTCATGTTACATCCCCGTGGTGAGCCTTGCAGGGCACGGAGCGCATCATTGGGAAACAAAGAAAAACGAGCTCGTGTGGAGTCGAAGAACCCCAGTCAACTTCCAAACGTCCTTCCATGCTGATCCCCCTGTCAGCCCTTCTGCACAACCTTGTCGGTCTGGTGCGTCGTTTTCCCCTGATGGATGAAGGCCGTTCACGCCCGTTGAACGTTCCTTAATTCATGACCCCAGTCAAGTGCGCCATACCCAAGCATTCGCTATCAAACCTGATTACCTCGTACAAGTACGATCAATTGCCGCGCCACCGCGCTCCACTTCCCGTTGCTGCCGTACAGACCTGCCCAGGCCATGCCAGTCGCTCTAAGCGACAACATGGACCCCTTCGCGATTGATGAACACTGCATTGCACAGTCTGAGCCTTGGCAGGAAACAACCTAAGCGAACGCCATATTGGATTGGAGACACCTGCGGCAGATATTGAATGACAGACGCACTGTTTTCCTTGAACTAGAAACCCTCTGGGAGCAGAACAGGATTTCTGGACCAATGCCTGGTGGAGAGTATGAAAGCATCCCCTTTGCTATGGTGTGACGAAAGGGAAGTTTGTACCAATTCTCGATGCGGCTGTGTTACTCCAGCGATCTAGAAAACATTTGACCAGGCAACACATCATCCACCGTGGCAACAAGCAGTGAACACGGAGTAATTTCAGTGGCACTTGGAACAGCCAACCAGGTTATCAATGTCGGGCAACGTTGAGCATCTACAATCTAATCGTGTACATGTCCTACTGCCATCTAGCGCTCCCTTCATGATGGGAGAGACAGGCAGATGAGCCGGGTTGATCGTCCCGAAGAGACGATTGGGATCACCATCACAAGGCCTCGAGACATCATACCATGGGTCAGGCCGTCAGACGAGCTGGTACGATTTGACAGGTAATGATGAACACGAGTTGACTTGTTCCAAAGTAGAGGAATATCTCAGCCACGCGATCGTAACTCGAACGGAAGGCAAAGTGCAGGAGTGGAACGGAAGATTGCAGAAATGGCGGAGGGCAGTGATACGAAGATAGACCACTTTCGTCAGTCAGTAAAGCATGGAGCGAGCTGCTCAGGGCGGGATCAGAAGGGTCTTTTGGGGTCATCTCCCAAGCCGCGCGTTCCTCTCAAAGCAGATGGGATTCAGGCTTCTTTCCTAGCACAAGGTCAGCAATGAACTTGCAGAGCTTGAGTGAACATGCAAAGGTGTCAAATTTCCTCAGAGATCTTGGTGAATGGGATACGATCATGTCAATATTGATCATTTACTATCTAGTGCAAAGGGTGTAATCATCGGAAATGCCGATCAGAGAACTAAGTACGTACCTTGGATGTTACATGGTCACCAGAGAAGACTTGGACACAAACCAAGAAACAGTTCATTGATTACTGCTAGCTGAAGGGATTCCGAGTAAGTCGAGGTGAAAGGGGAACGCAGCAATTCTAAAAGCAACTGTTCGCAGTGTCAGTATGTTATTCGTAGCCTTTGACATGCCAAACGAAAGCAAGGTGCAGGTTTCTGGACTCAGTATATGTAAGAAATGAATATCATCTCTTTGGGACTGTTAAGAGGCTCCGGCGAGAGTCTCCAGTACCAAATTCAATCGCAAATTATAACATCATAAGAAAGTGATAGGATAGAGGAACAAGACACTCACAAATTAATCAAGCTGTGGTCTCAGTAGTCGAAGGAGTGAACACGGAGTTAGACATTTGCTTGAGACAAGCATCATCCTTGGGAGTTGCTGGAGGTTACATGAGGGAATAGAACTGGATGAAGGAGGCATTTCTTAGCAGCTGGGAGAAAAGTATGGCAAAAACAAAGAGATACTGGAAGAAAATTCGCGTGTCCTTTCACAACAGAGGAACGAGGCACAAGAGGGTTTAGCGCCGGCCTCGGCTCTTGGCGCAAAATATCTTGGCGCGAACGCACTATCTCGAATTTCCCTTGCACGTTGCCAAAGATCTCCGAATTGATTGTAGAGGCGACAACAATATTCCCCATTACTATTCGTATGCGCGCCCGACTATCCTCTACTCCAGATACAAACTAATACTTGCGCATAGTCCTCATTTGCCGGCAAGATGTCCACCATCGATATCAAGCCCGCCGGATGGAAGTTGGTCGAGGTCGGCCGAGTGGTCACCCTCCGATCAGGGCCTTACGAGGGCAAGCTGGCTACCGTGGTTGAGATAATAGATCCTGGCAGAGTATGTGTTCACCCGTGGGAAATACCGGAGGAGATATGTGCTCACGAAATTTCCCAGATCTTGGTCGACGGTCCCTCAACGAAAGAAGATGCGGTTGTTCCCCGACAGGCTATCGCTACAAGCACCGTCTCCCTCACCCCTTGGGTCATTCCCGGTCTACCAAAGGCGGCAGGCACTGGCGCAGTGAAGAAGAAGTGGGAGAGCTTCGAGGTTGACAAGAAGTGGTCAGAGTCGTCATGGGCAAAGAAGAGAGAACAACAGGACAGGAGGAGGAATCTGACTGACTTCGAGCGATTCAAGGTGATGAGGTTGAAGAAGCAGGTGAGCAATCCTCTGAACGACCTGCAATCCCTTTGAACGGGATCTTGCTTTGAGTTCTGAATGGATGTCCTTGTGGAAGATCAGCGCTAATCCTATGGGATTGTAGGCACGATTTGAAGTTCTGAAGGCACAGGCAAAGGTTCGGGCAGCAGCGAAGGCATAAATTCGGCACGGATACGGCGTCACAATCCAGCTCACAAATTTTCAAGATGGGCAAAGATATGCAAGTTGCAGCATATCGAGGGTAGGCACCACTGTCGGTTCGATTGACGAAAAGAAAATATTCCGCGGCTGTGGCTCTCTTCCCTTTGCCCGCGTGGGAATTTCTGCAGAGCATGATTCCAATACATTCATGAAATGCGATCAACATTCAAACCAAAATCATCATGGGAAACTCACTCATGAGGCGTTGTCGGGCTTTTCACCATGTGCCTCCTGCAACGATAACAGTGCGTTCGGTAACGAGCAGGATGTACCTGAGAGAATCTTAGACTTCGAGGCTTGACACGTTCACCTGTTGCGTCCCTTTTCATCGTGATTGTGACTACCCTTCGTGAGTCGGTTGTTTGATCGCCTGATTGCTCTATGTGCGCAAACCCGGCCTATGGTGCAATTTCCTGCAAGAATGAGACTGTTGATTTGGTAACTCGCAACGCTGCTCAAGCTCGACAAATACATGCTACCTAATGCAGGGCGCAATACGACTCCTATCTCGACAAATGAGGTACCGCCTCAGGTCTCACTGTGTCTTGCGCAAAATCTAGTGTGTTGGGCAAACGATAGGAGACGAACAACATTGATACACCTTCTGAAAACGCGCTGTCCCTACCCATTGCACGGCATTCTGGACTCAGGGAAATCCTGGACATGGTGTGTCTCTGGACGCCATTTTCTTTGATACAAAATCCAGCACATTGTGCGCCACTTCAACGGCTGCCCATTGACTTCAGGTCTTTTTGTTCTCTGTAGCCTTTAATCCTCAATGTCCTCGCTTGCGCGGACGTTGCATGTCTGACGTTAGAGTACCTCGTAGAGATTCGTTGATTGTTCGTGTCTGCACCTCATGTCATACCCACTTCAGAGCTTCCTCCCGGACAAGGCTGCGATCACGGATGGTGAAACTTGCCCATGTAATGGCATGATGGCATATTCCTCCGAAAGCAATCCCAAGGAACTGACTCGTCAATGGCTCCAGTGATTGAAAGAACGCCAAGCCCTGATGTAAGATGGGCAATTTACCCGAGGCTCGTCCATTCCACAATTCAATGAACAGTCGAACATCCAAATCACAAAATCCCGTTGCACATCAACCGCTCAGAGAGGCTCAACTGTAAGGTCCCTAGTTCTTGTTACTCATCGGACGAACGTATTGGCGCTCAAACATATCGAACCCTGTATCCCAGAGAGCACTAATCCTACCCCACAAATTGGAAGCGAAGCTCAGCTAACCTTTGCAACTGCGCAGTACATCTCAACCAGTCCTCTCTTCACTAGCCGATCATCATGTCGAACCCCAGAATAGAAGAGCTCCCTGATGAGGAGCCTGACAAGAAGGCCGCAGCAGAAGATGCCTCCAGCTCCTCCGACTCCGAACCTGAAGCCGCTGGTGAAGGAGAGGCCAATATTCCGGCAGGTTCTGCAGTCGCAGTGCACAGCCGAAACGAGAAGAAGGCGAGAAAGGCAATTGGCAAGCTGGGCTTGAAGCACGTCCCGGGGATCACACGTGTTACGCTGAGGAGACCAAAAGGAGTAAGCTCTCATCCACACGATGGCACATGTCTCTGTCGAGAGTGTGTGAGCACTGGTTCTGTTGCAGGGAGCTGACTCTCGCCCATAGATTCTCTTCGTCATCTCTAACCCTGATGTCTACCGCTCGCCAACCAGCAACACTTGGATGTAAGCTGAATTCGTCTCTGCGTCCAAACGCCCACTAACAAAACTGCTAGCATCTTTGGAGAGGCCAAGATCGAAGACCTCAACTCACAATCCCAAGCCGTTGCCGCTCAACAGCTCGCAGCCGCAGAAGCCGCCAATGCAGATCACTCTGGCCACGATCACGCAGCTGAGAATGGCAAGGGCAAGGCTGTCGAAGACAAGAAGGCCGAGGATGAAGAAGACGATGACGAGGAAGTGGATGACAGTGGTCTCGAGGCTAAGGACATCGAACTCGTCATGACCCAGGCCTCCGTGTCACGGAAGAAGGCTGTCAAAGCTCTGAAAGAGAACGGCAACGACATAGTCAACTCCATCATGGCGTTGAGTGTATGATCAGGAAAAGGCAAACCAAAAGTTTCTGGATCTGCTCGCTTCTATGGGGGTAGTCGGTCTTCCACACAATTGGTTCAATGGTCCTCAGCAATCCAAGCCTGTATTGCTATGTACGCTATGTATGCGGACCTGAACCTCGAGCTATGTCTCCAGATGCTCAAATGCATCTCAACAAATGCACTAGTCTTTGACTAGTCGTTGACTCTTTCTTCTTTATCCATCTCCAAGTGTAGTTGAGTTGGGAGAAATTGAAGGTTTCTTTTAGATGTACGAGCAAAGCAGTTAAAGCGACGTCAGACCGGACGAAAAACAGCTTGTAAAATGTGCCAATCACGTGACGGGGTTTGGCATTGAGTTTCGCTGGAGCTCAGGGACCTTCAACTTCCGACCTTTCTCAAAATCAAGCTCGACAACTCGCTCACCCCTCCCAGTATCTTTCACCCTTAGACTCCTCAAGATGGCTGCTCAAGTACGTTTACAAGCTCCTGTCAACCACCCTCCAGATTTGCTTCGAAAGAGGCTTGCTTGAACGCCGTGTGACTAACTGCGCAATTTCCCTCACTACAGTCCCGCGCCGCAATCAAGCTCGACTGGAGCAAAGTCGGCACCCAACTCGGTCTTCGCGGCAGCACGGCCACATCTCTAGCAAACTTCAAGAAGCGAAACGATGACGCCCGCCGCCGGGTGCAAGTGCTCCAGGACCAGCCCTCCACTGTCGACTTCGGACACTACCGCTCCATCCTGAAAAACACGGCTGTGATCGATGAGATCGAGCAGTACTTCAAGACCTTCCAGCCGAAAACCTACGACGTTAGCAAACAGATTAAGGCCATCGAGAGCTTCGAACAGGTGGCGCTCAAGAATGCCGAGGAGACCAAGGGCAAAGTGGAGGTCGAACTGAGGAGCTTGGAGAAGGCTTTGAACGACATCGAGGGCGCAAGACCTTGGGATGAGACTACTGTTGACGAGGTTGCTGCCGCCGCGCCGGAGATTGACGAGTACACGGCAAGATTGGTCAAGAAGGGACGATGGATGCCTCCGGGATACCAGGTACGAATCTCTCTGATGTTCTACCTACCCACATCACAGAACAACAGTTTTCCACTTCAAGATCAGACTGCTAACTTAATGGCATTACAGGAGCGGTTCCCCAACTTGTCGGTGCTGTAGACGTTACCCTGCAAGAGAGAGACGGAGACGAAAATGGAGCAATTGGTTTGGGGGTGGCACAACCTTACCCAGAATCAATGCATTTGTTTCCTCAACCGAGAATTTATGTATAGTGTCTTAGATCAAAACACAAGCACTTGTTCAACACTACAAAGCTGTCTGACCACATGTCTTATTGGGGTCGCGTGCTACGGCCTATATAATCGCGCAAAAGCTGGAGTACACGGGTTGACTCGAGCCAACGTCACAATTTTGTTTTACAGGTCAGCATGAGCGTCAACCTCATAACGTGCGAGAGGACATTCAACGCCTATCGGTTCAATACTTGATCGATCTATTCTGACACAAATCCCGTCACTTTCGACTTAAAAGAACATACAACCAAGCCCGTCACAAAATAATCGAAAAGATCATGTGTTGCCAGCTATCATTCGTGAAAGAGCATTTTTTTCCCCCGCTAGACTCTGTTTATTTGGTCGCAGCCACATTTCTTACAAACCCGAATCTTCCTGCTGAAACACGGCGGTCTGGCTGTACGTATTCCAGTCGCTACACTGCTTGTACCAGTCCGGGCCGATGCCCAGGTTTTTGATCTGGTCGGGCTCCTCCAAGAACTGGGCGCCGAGTCCCAAGCCGACGTGCCAGGCGATGTGGCAGTGCATGAGCCAGGCGCCCGGGTTGTCGGTGATGAAGGCGATGACCAGGTAGCCCGAGGCCGGGAGCATGGCCGAGTCGCGGCGGGGCGGGTTCTTGTAGTTGAGGGTCTGCGAGTTGTTGAAGATGCCCTGGCCGGCGCCCAGGACGTAGAAGTCGTGGCCGTGCAGGTGGATCGGGTGCGGGATGGGCGGCGCGATGGTCGGCACCGCCTGGATCACCCAGTACGACCACGCGTTGGCCTCGGGCAGCGAGATCAGGTTCATGTTGGCCGCGTAGCTGGTGTTGTCCGACAGCACGTACTCGAGCGTCGGGTCGCTCCAGGGCACCTGGATCGCCGTGAAGTTCAGGTTCCACTGGAACAGCGTCTGCTGGGCCTGGTTCTGCACGATCGCGAACCCCACGTCCAGCCGCGACGACTGCGGGATCGTGAAGTTGCTGGGCACGTCCAGCTTGACGTACGGGATCAGCTGGCTGTTGGGGTTGTTGCAGTCCGGCGCTGGGGGCGCGTTGGCCCGGGTCGCGTTCGAGGGCAAGGCCGTCGAGTCGGCGCCCGCGTACGAGAAGATGGCCAGCGCGTTGGTGTTGAGGTTGCTGCTGCAGCCGGCCTGGGGCACAGCGTGGAACCAGTAGTTGCCGACGGGCTGGTTGGCCTCCACGACGACGTCGTACCGTTCGCCGATGCCGATGAACAGCCACTGCGTGCTGAAGGGCTTGATGGGCACAAAGTCGGCCGTGATGACGGTGAAGTTGTGCCCGTCCAGGCCGACCTTGAAGTTGTCGTTGGTCGACGTGTTGATCAGGCGCAGGCGGTATTTCTTGCCTTTCGTCAACGTCGTCCGGCTGTAGCGACCGGCCGTCCCGTTGAGGCTCACGTTGGTGCCGTTGATGAGGACGTTGTTGCCCGGCGGGGGGCCGCGCGGGAACCCGCCATACTTGATCAGATACCCCAGCTCGAACGCACTGCGGTAGTACCAATCGGTGATCGGGAAGGCACCCAGATCTATATCGTAGTTGGCCGTTGCGGGTCCGTTGATGATCATCGTCCCCACGACGCCGTCCGTGTATTGGTCCGAGAAGTGGCTGTGGTACCACGTCGTACCAAACTGCGTGCACAGAAAAGTGTATGTGCGCGACTGGCCAGGGGCAAGCGGACATTCGGTCACACCGTTGGTCCCGTCCATGTGGTTCGTCTTCCATTGACGCAGACCGTGCCAATGCATGCTCGTCCCGTTGGTGGTTAGGCTGTTCTTCACCGTGATCTTCAACGTATCACCCCAGTTGGCGACGATGGTGGGACCTGGGAATCGACCATTGATGGCGTACACCGGTCTGGAGAATCCGTCCGGGGCCATGGTGGTGTTTTGCACTTCGAGAAAATACTCCACCACCTTGCCCGTGTTGGGCCAGGTGCTATCGTAGTTGGTGGCGATGCTAAAGCCATTGCCCCAGCATTGGCGCGTAAATGGCCCATTGGTGCACTGGGAATCTGGCGTCAGGGTCGTAGTTGACGGACTGCCAGTCGTCGATGATGCTTGCCTCGGCAGAACACCGTTGTCAGTCCGAATCAATTCGGCTCTGGGGATAAATTTGGCAAAGGCCTGGTAGAAAAGAAGTGAAACGAGGGACAAGAAGAGCAACATAGCGAGTGACGAAGGTGAGGACAGACTTGAAGAGTGACAGTACAGAGGATAGGAAGAGACAGACTTAATGGCTCCCGAGTCTCATCAATATAAAGGAAGCCGAGATATTCATCCCAAATGATGGCTTCCGCCCTTGCCACGGCGAGATGTTTATCTAGGCACGGCATAGTGGATGTTGGGATCATCGTGGTTGAAAGGTGGTACAGACGAGGCTTTGCCCAGGTTGTCTTGGACCCCTAGCAGCTTGAAGTCGTACAGTAAAAGAATTCGACCATTCTCTTGAGCCACTCAGATGCTCGTCTTGATGGAGCCTCGTCCGACAAAAGCCAGATTGGGACAGCAGGTCATCGACGGCAAGAATAGAACCGAGACAATTTCTTGGGCCTAATTTCCGCAATAAGGGCTGCACTCGTTGTTTTCAATCTGGCCATGACGAATTTCTCCAGCGTATTCAACCATCAGTGCCGCAGCCCGTATTGAAATGCTGAGAATGACGAAGATGGTAAACAAAATCGATGGCTGGAGGTGTCGAGGTGGTCGAAGCCGAAGCATAGTCGTCTCTCCTTCCTAAAATGGTCTAGCGGGGATATATTGGCCAATCATACACTTTCGTTCCCACCCCCTTTTTTCCATGGTGAGGAATCTGGAATCTCAAGGGACAAAGTCGCAATCTTCATTGTTGCATCCCCCTCGCTTCTTTCCGGTCCACTTTGATACTGAACCACAATTACGATTGTCTGATGCTCCTTGCATCGCTGGGATTGAACTCAGGCATCACCACTCTTGTCCCAATTCCGGCCAGTCCAGACATTACGTGTGTCTATCTTGGCCCAGAGAAACCACTCATGTTTCTTTTATTGGAACCTCACAAGAGCTATGAGTTACACAAAGGAGCAGTTTAGCGAATTATGGCTGAACCAGATACCCGGATCTCCTTTCGAGGATCTCTCGTGTCTCTGGGCTCGCCTTATGCTATCTGGGGACCGAACCTTGACACCCCCTAGACAATATCGTTATGACCACAGCTGAACTTGCTACTGGAATCAAAGTCTTTGGCGATCCATTCCGCTGGCTTCTAATTTCGATTTCAAGCCCACATCCTAGATGTTGCTGGCCCTTAATGTCTCAGCCTGATTCTCACCAAAGCCAGATGTCATGGATACAGGGTTCTCCGGGTCTACATTTGCTAGGGAGCGGAAGACATTGTGTCTCAGATCTCAGAGTACCTCTTCAAAGGGGTGTGATACTTTGGCCTCCACCGCCAACAACGACCCGATCAAGATGTTGTTACATGGTCATATAGGCCGGGCATTGGTCCTTTTGTGAGAAAACACTTTCATCTTGTGTCTATGCGTTCAATCGTCAATATGCATTTTATACTTGTCGCCGTCTTTTTGGGTCTTGCAGGTAAATCTGCTGCAGAATGCCTGTCGTATGGATATGACTTTGTCAATCTTGGAGGACCTTACTGTGTCAATACGACTTCTACGGCCTATTTCTCATTTGGCACGGAGTTTTTTGGTGAGAACAGGCATCCCTTTCCCGGCCGAGCCAAACTCTGACAGTAACAAAGGCTGCCAGGCAAGCGATGTCCAAGACGCGGTCACTCCAATTCTCGTCGATCCAAATAGCGATGAGTACTTCTGCTCCGACATTGCCGTTCAACCAGACGGGGCGGATATGGTATCGACATGGTAATTGTTTGGGTCACCATAAACGAGTCTGCTTGCTAATAGCAACTAGCAATATTCCCGGAAATGAAGTGACCAAGAACAACATGTTCTCGGGAGACTGGACGATCGTCATTGAAGGCTTGACATTTGCCTGGATGAGATCGTTTTCTATCATTGCGGCACCACCAGTGGTCGTGACAACCACCCCGACTGCTACATTCACCGTCACATCTACCCCGTTTACCACGATCACAACGACAATCACCAATGTCTTTTCAACCACGGCATCTCCTTCTACTGTTACAGTACCGACTACGACCATCACAAGAACCATAACCACCACTCCCGCCCAAGTAACAGTGTATTCCACATCGACCATCACGCGAACACGCACCAGCAGAGTGTTTTCGAAGACAGTCTCGACCACTACTGTCACCACATCATGTAAAACGCAGCCACCGGCAAAGGACCCCACATGTACCATTCGGCCTACGAAGGCTACCCTTGCCGCAAGCCTCGAATCGATCACTATTCTCCCACGAATGCGTCAATTTGAGAGAAACGGTCGGAACGGGAATAAGAGAGCTGGCCAAAGAAGAGATGACTCGCCCGTTGACAGTGGCCCAGGTATTCGCAGGTGGACCTTCTGGTGGCCGTCGATTATACTGACATCTCCTCAGATCAATGCACCACAACTTCTGTCGATACTGCCAACGCTGTTTCTTCATATACCACAGTGATCGCCCCGACAAGCACCGAAATCGACACGGAAAACGCAACGACGACAACCACAGTGTAAGTTACGACGAGTGAAGCGTGCTGCAGGAATACTAACTCTGAGCACTAGAACGCCTCCTCCGGTAACGGCCTACTCTGGAAAAGCAAAGACGACAATCACAGTCACAGCGGCAACACCGACGCGCACTCGCACCACTCGCACTTATCAGACAGTTTGGACCACCTCGACCATATGGGCCACGTATGTGTTATGGACCTTTCTTTGGCCCGATGAGCCCATAGCTAATGCCATTGCAGGATCACCTCGACGGTCAAGACGACTCCATCAGGCTGGGTCTGTGCCACGTCCGCAGCACACTGAGAGCAAGGAATCGAGGAGATGTTGGGCTGTAGGAATGAAGACTAGGAACATTAGGGACGATAGAAAAAGGACATGTCATCGGCGGCAACTCACCGACTTTTGTACTTTCCTCTTCTCGGTCGAGTAATTTAGTTGCAGTTCATCTTTTTTTCTAGCAGATTCGCAGCGTGATGCTGCAATTTCTCGGTTCAATATCATCTCCTTCGAGTTACAAGGTCGTCGTCGCCGATCTCGAGTCCCACATTTGCTGAGTTGACGGCGTCAAACTGGCGTTGTGCCTCGCCCGAGCCTCCCACTGTTCAACCACAAAGGCTGTTCTCTTTTCAATCGATGTGAGTGTCGCCGGCAACAACTCGAACTCAATCTCGCTTTGGCATAACAGGTCGATGAAGGTCTTGTGCAGGTCGAGCCACTCGCTCATGTCTTCAGGCATCAACCTCACTCCATCGTCAAACAGCCAGGGTGGAACTGGCTCACAGAGTATAACGATGGCTTGGTCCATTCTCTTTCTCAGCTCTTCCCAAGCAGACGTCTCGATCATTTCTTTTGTAACCTGCGGCGGACCGTATAGGTTGGCATAAGCGATAGGGTCGATGCCAGATCGATCTGAGATGATGAATTCGTGGCCCTGGAGCTTCTGTTCCTCGTCGAGCTGCGTCTGGAGCACAAGTCGCTGGAAATTCATGGCCTTCTCGGACCCGGCTCGGATGTCGTCTCTGTTCACGTCTGCTGCCATCAAGACGCCGCGAGCAAGCTCCTTGATGACCGCAAAGGAAAGATGGGATCGGTCTCTTTGGATCCGTTGGGAGACAGCCTCGACCAGAGTGGTCTTGCCGGTGCATTGGGCTCCAATGATGTATATCGAGGGGATGGCCATCATCATCCAGTGGCTCCCGGATGAAGATCAGCTGCAATCACAGAGGCAGGCAGTCAATCTCACAGCCCAACCCTCGGAGGGGTTTGCATGAGTTGGCAAGTCAGGGCCCCTGCAAGTGCATATGCACATCTGCGCAAATGCAACCATCAGGCAGCTGGGTGGCTGCATACCATCACGTGTCACCCTTCTTGTCGTCGACCTCAGCTCTACAGACATTCCTCCTTCGTCCTCATGATGTTCTTCATCCTTCATTGCCATGATGAAAAGAGCAAAGTGTACATTACAGGACAACATCGCCGTTTCGGACACGGAGTGGCGGTACAATATCCCCGACTTGTCGGAAACGGAAAGATGCGGTAAGGCTGGAGACATCAAATCAATACAGCTGTGTTGTTCGTCCTCATCACGAGGCATATTCTTGGATTGGACCTCTATTGCTCGAAATCGAGCCACGCGCGAATACCGCCCAGAGGATCTCGTGCAGGTCAGCGTCTCGGACTTTCGACCAGTATACGACACTCAGGATACTTCGTTACCGAGGGACAATGCACAGAGCGTCGACTACGTTCGCCGGTTTCTCACCGCTGGTATTGTCATCAATGGTGTCCAGTATTCATTCTACGGCCACAGCAACAGCCAGTTGAAATCTCGGTCGTGTTACCTGCTGGCCGGGTCGAAGCAGGAGGTGAGCAGGAAGGTCGAGGCGCTGGGAGATTTCAGCAAGATCAAGACCGTGGCCAAAAAGGCCAAACGGATCGGATTGTTGTTCTCGACTGCCGACATTGTCCAAGATGTCCCCACCTCCCGGTGTCGAGACATTGAAGATGTCGAGAGAAATGGCTTCATCTTCACGGATGGATGTGGCCTGGCCTCCAAGGATTTTGTCCATTCAGTGGCGAGCAAGAAACCCATCATATTTCGCGAGCAGCGGTACTACCCCTCCGTCCTCCAGATCCGATACTCGAGCTACAAGGGCGTGGTATGTATGGATCCCCGGATGGAGAAGGGTCTCTGGCTCAAGTTACGCAAGTCGATGAAGAAGTTCAGCGGAACGAGTGACCTGAGCTTTGCTGTCGTGGCATTCTCAAAGGTATATATACAACACAAGAAATCGGTCTCTGAGTTTGAGAGACACTGACGACCTCCAGCCCTACACATACGGATACCTCAACGACGAAATCGTTCTCCTGCTGCACTCTCTCGGCATCGAAGCGGATGTCTTCCTCAAGAAACAGAGAGAATACTTTGGGTTTCTCGATCGGTCACGGACAGACCCTGTCTTTGCGTTCCGCCTGCTAAGCTCTCTCGGTATGACCGTCGAGGCCGAGAAACTCCTGGTCGAGGGGATGGAGAAGGTCGAAAAGATTGTGCGCAAGACGGTCACTCAAGAATACGGCAAGCTGCTCAACAAACGGGACGAACAGAAAACACGGATTCTGATCCCCCGGTCCCGACTGTTGTTTGGGATCTGTGATCCTTACGGCTTGCTCAAACCGGGCGAATGTTTTCTGCGTGTGGCATTGGAAGAAACCGGAACCCCGTTGACCCTCACTGGGGTTAACGTGCTAGTGTCGCGGAATCCCTGTCTGCATCCTGGAGACCTCCGCAAGCTCGAGGCCGTGAACCGTCCGGAACTCAGCCACCTCACAGACTGTGTGGTTTTCTCCACGGCTGGGAGACGACCGGCTGCTGACCTCATGTCCGGCGGCGACTTGGACGGCGATACATGTGGGTTTACCCTGGATCAAAGAGTTGTCCTCTTTCTTCTTTGCTAAATCAAGACAGTCTTTGTATGCTGGGATGCCGACCTGATTCCCCAGGCAATGTCAGAGCCAGCCGAGTATCCAGGAGTAAAGGAGGCGACTCGATTCGCTCCCATCAAGGTGGATGATTTGATAGCATATTTTGCGGGCTACAACAACATGTCCCTCGGACGGGTCAAGAAAGTTTACCTTGGATGGGCGCGCGCTCGGGGCCCTCGCTGTAGTCAGTGCCAGGAGCTCAATCGACTCTTCTCCCAGTGCGTCGACGGCAACCGTATCAAAATCCCCGAGGCGTTGCTCGATCCTCCAGACGTTCCGCCCAATGGCGAGCCGTTCATCCTAGACGCCCTCCATGCCGCAGCACGGGAACATTGCAGCACAGTCCGGAATGCGCCGAGGGCCCTTGATGCCGCGGGACACCAGAGTCTGGCGCATGCCATTCCCACCATGGGCATTGCGGATCGAGAGACCCTGGAATTCATTCTTTCCAATCCCGCACCCTTTTCGGATTTCGAACTGGCACAGTTGACGCTGAGCTGGTGCCGGAGGAACAATGTCCCCTTTGAAGAGTTCTGGGCGTTTTTCGACGCCTCGCAATTCACCGTCGACGAGCAGACGTGGATCCTGGCCGAACTGCCCCCGTCGCCCCGGTATCCGTCACACTTCAAGAACGGATTGCTCCAGTCGCACATTCTCTCGCGCGAGGACCTGCAGGCCTTCCGGCTCGACCTGCATTCCCTCCACTGGAAATGCGTCTTCGACTCCCAGTCCGAACCGCTGCGCAGTTTCATGGCGGTGGTCAACCGGACCTTTGCCGATTTCGCGAAGAAGCTCCTCGTGCTCCGCGTGGGCGAACGGCTGAGCGTGGCAATCTACTTTCCCCGTCCGATCGACAGGGAAGAAGACGCCGTCGTCCACGACACGGTCAGATTGTTCGCCTTTCCGCATTCTCACAGGGACAGAGTCGGACACCGACGAGGCGTGCCCACCAAGATGAACTACAGGTTCTACTATGACGAAAACGTGATGCAGCTCTACGAGAACGTCCGCAGAAACACGTTTGTCCACTTCGCTAGATCGGTCAACGACGACAGGACCTACCGCGATGTACAGGGCAGAGGTAACCGGGCTCGATCTCGCCAGGAGACAGTCCACCAAGGCGTCAACTGCGACTGGATAGTGAGTATAGCTCTGGGCAGGTTCAGTTCTCAACTCGCTACTCAAATCGGCCGCACGTGGAAGGAACCGGTCACTGATGCTGTAAGTGACAGAGGATCAAAAGCAAGTGAGAGACCATCGTTGACCTCCTGTGATAGGAACTGTATCTCATCAGCAACAAAGACGTTCAGGCACTGCGGGCTCTCGACCTCTGGCTCGAGAGTGTCGACACTCTGGACGTCCTTCCCAACTTTCCAGAAGACGAACAACCGCCATACAACCTGCCGACACTTGATGATGTCGACTGGAGTCTCTGTAGCGACTTTGTTGTCCAGGTTGTGCGACACAAGAGATACCCCCTGGTGCTGGAAGCAACGGATGCTCAACTCGCGGATCTGCTCGAATTGAGCTGGAAGCACGACCTTATCGATGTCGTCTCGGAGACTTACAGCCGAATCCTGAAGCTTGAGACTGTGGACCAACGTCCAACACTGCGGTGTGGCCCAGACACCATTCGACGCCTTGTCGAATTTCTCCACTTCAAGCCTGCAATGGCGATACACTTCGCGCGTTTATGTCCCTGGACACGACTTGCCGACCCCTGCTCAGATGCCCTTCTGCGGCAGGGTTCTACCATTCTTCGTGCTCTTTTCCTCTGCGCAAACAGGGCCGGAGAGCTGGTGGTGAGGCACCTGCGCGCTGTTCTGCAAGATATATCTCTGACCCTGTCCATGATGCGCGAAATGTTGGAAACTGCCGCCATAGCGGTTGCGAGTCCAGACTTGCTGCTGACGATCCTGATGGAATGCCGAGAAGCATTTGCGAATGCCGTTCAGGATCACGACGTTGATGTCGTCGCATATTTCTTGCGGAATATGTTCGGGACTGTGCTCGACCATTGCGCCGAGGCTAGCGATAATACTGAGACCACACCAGGCTCCTGGATGTTAAAATCAGGTTTAGCAGTCCACGGAAGAGTGTCCTCGGTGACCAGCCAGCGCCGCATTGATGCTCCCAGGCTGGCTAGGCTCGCAGTCGGCGACCACGTGCGATTCGTGGCAAAGACGACCGCGACGAATTCCTCTGCTGCCAACCCTGCAACGTTCGACGCTGTGGTGGAGGCAGCAAGTGACAACGCCATCAGATTTCGATGCCTCTCGCAACCTGCTACCTTTCTCGAGAAGACGGCCTGGGACATGAAGCATTGCGGCTCCGTGGTGAGCAGTCAGTCGGCCGGGGAAGCTCTGGTGCATCTTCTTGATCACAAGGACCAGAGTTGCAGCTTTTACCATACTCTGCTGAAGAAGAACAACGTCCTCGCCGAGAGCAAGAGCGAGGGTGAAGGAGCTTCATCGCAGGGTTGCGATCCTGTTGAGGGTCTCAATGAAAGCCAGAGCCGCGCCGTTGATGTGTCCATCAAGTCTCAGCTAACCTGTCTCTGGGGACCTCCCGGTACAGGTAAGACATCGACTATCATTGCACTGTTGAGGAGGTTGTTGAAGGAGCAAGAGGCAGAGAGGGTATTAGTCACAGCACCAACGCACAATGCCGTCGACAATGTGTTGCGCCAGTACGTGAAAAAGGCGCTGGATATCGATCCCAGTCTGCCACGACCAGTCCGGGTTTCTACTGAGGTAAGTGTTCTTGCAACTCTTTGAACAGACAGTCCATAACAAGTCTCTGCGCAGGTAATGAAGGTCTCGGATGATTTGAAAACCTACACTGTCGACGCAATGATCGGGAAGGATCTGAGCAAGGATCACGCTGCGAAACGTAAGGCGATACAGACGGTTTCCGCGGCTCGGCTGGTCTTCACAACGTGTGTGGGTGCAGCGTTGGGTCTGCTTCGGAAACAACTTTTTGACACGGTAATCATCGATGAAGCGTCTCAACAAACAGAATCGGCATCGCTTATACCCCTGGTCAAAGGCTGTCAGCGGGCCATCTTGGTAGGAGACCATGTTCAGCTTCGGGCAACCGTCAGTCCCCATGCGTCCACTCTGGACTATGATGTCTCTCTCATGGAACGCCTCTGGACAGAAGCATCGGATAACACCATCGGTCGAGTCATGTTGGACACTCAATATCGCATGTATCCAAGCCTGTGTACCTTTCCGAGTCACGAATTCTACGGGGGTCGCTTGTTGTCAGCCGAGTCTTGCCGCACGATCAGAATCCCGTCTTCGACATTTCCGTGGCCGAAACGCGCAGTCAAAGCGAAAGAGGCAGAGGTTGACAAGACCAGGGCGGTGTGGATTCAATGCAGCGACGCAGAAGACCTTGGGCGGAAATCAAAAGTCAACCACGCCCAAGCCAACATCTGCAAAGAGATCCTGAAGCTATTGACCACCGCGCCGGCAGCTGGTCAAACCAGTCAAGACCAGGGACCTAGCTCTCCAACACCACCATCACCGCCTTCCATTGCGATCTTGACACCATATGTGCGCCAGGCCGAAGTTCTCAAGCAGCTTTGCGCGGGCCACACGGTGTCGAGCATTGACGGGTTCCAAGGCCAGGAAGCGGACATCATCATCTTCATCACGGTGCGATGCAACTTGCAGGGAGAGATTGGGTTCTTGAAGGACTTGCGCAGGCTGAACGTCGCGGTGACCCGAGCCAAGGCCTGCCTGATCATTGTCGGGGACGAGTCGACATTGACCAGGAAGAAGGAGCAGGAGGATGCATGCCGAGTGTGGGATCGTCTTATCAAGACGTGCTCGAAGGTGGAGCTTCCTGTGCACAAGAAGTAGATGGGTGCATGTTCGCCTCTCAGTGTGGCGTCTGTCTGGGGGTGGACGAACAGGGCGCAGTCTTACCTCTTACGGCGCAGTTTCATTTCCGTCCGTAAACAGTTGGCACACTGTCAACCAATGAAAAGTCTTGCGGAGGATTATGAGCCAATAGGAGAAACTCACCTCCAAACCGGACAGATTATTCCTCCGACTCACGCTGGAGTCCCTCCGCTTCTCGTCCCTTTCAGGTTTTGACTTCAGCCTCGTCGTTGGGAAACCCTCCACCGGCCTGACATGCAGGTGCATTTCTGAGGTACCTGTGAGGATCTCTCTGAGCCTCTTCAAGCTTGCGTGTCATGAATCGCACCGTCGCTGGAACCATGTCTCCCCAGATCTCTGTGGCCTGGCGAAGCGCATACGGGAGTATCGTGTATAAAGACCATGGATGACTCTCTTACAGTTGCTAATCATCCAGGAATCAGACGAACTGAGAACGAACATCTACTGCAATTGAAATCGCAATAGCAAAAGGGCCAACATTTAAAGCAACACCAATATTTAACCAAGACACAAAATACATCTTCGAGGACGCCCGGGGAAAAACCAAAAGATCACAAAAGCCACTCACAAGAATCCAACCAAGCAACTCTATCAATGTCTTCCCCCACCGTGGCCTTCTTCGGCGCGACCGGCGGCGTCACCAACGCCATCCTCGTGCACACCCTCCAGGCAGGGTACAAGGCGAGCGCACTCGTGCGCACGCCTCAGAAGCTGCGCGACCAGCTCAGCGCCCAGGGCCTGTCCGCTGAGGTCATCGCCAACCTGACCATCGTGCAGGGCGACGCGCTCGACGTCGCGGCTGTGCGGCGCACGCTCTTGGCGGCGGCGTCTCCCTCATCACCGAGCGGCCATCTCCCCTCGGTCGTGGTGACGGGACTGGGCGGCAGCCCCAAACTGCATTTCGACTGGCGCCACCCGTTCCAGATCGCGCAGCTCGACAACCCGACGATCTGTGCGACGGCGGCGCGGACCCTGCTCGCGGCCGTGCACCAGATTTCTGCCGAGAAGGGAAACGCCACCACTACCGCGATAGACGCGGCATCAAAACCGCTCCTGACATTCATCTCCACGACGGGCATCTCGCGCGGACCCGAGGACGTCCCCTCGCCCATCCGCTTCCTGTACCACCAGATGCTAGCCCTGCCGCACGCGGACAAGCGCAACATGGAAGACCTGTTCCGCGCCGACGCCGCGTCCGCGGACCCGGCCTTCCGCGCCCTCGTCGGCGTCAGGCCCACCCTTCTCGCCGGCTGCACAGACTACCGCGACGGTGCAGGTCTGGACAAGATTCGCAGCGGCACGGAAGCCGAGCCGGCGCTCGGGTATATCATCAAGAGGGTGGATGTTGGGCGGTGGGTTTATGAGAATGTGGTAGATGAGGCGTTGAGGGGGAACAAGGGGAGGTGGGAAGGCGAGATGGTCAGTTTGACTAGCTAGATAGCTGATAAACGGCACTGGATCTATCAGTCAAATTTGCAGGGCGAGTCGGGGATGTAGTGGCGAATGATGTCTTGCGGCTGTATCAATAAGGGCGGGGAGTATTTCGGGTTTGGGGGCAATAGCACTCTTTGCAGCATTATATATAGCAATTTAATCATGAGGATTATTGGTCGTCAAAACTTGCGAAAAGAGTTGATTTCTTCTCCATCATCATTCATTTCTCTAAGCTCGACAACGCTACAGAAAGCGCCGCGGGTATCGGGGGACTAATAGTACAGAGGTATTATGCAGGGTGCTAAACAAACAGTGGGCTCTCTCCGTGTCTGTCCAAGCCACTTTGTCGATGAAAAACAAATCGGGTAATGTTCAATCGGGTGAATGCCTTGTGCAGTCAACTCAGTAATCTCTCCTTCCTCTCTCCACCTCGGTCTGATCGATCATGCTTCGTGCTTTGTGGACTCTCTTTTTGGTGACTTCTCCTTGTCTCCTTCACGAGTCGAGAGAGTCCGTTGATCAGATCCTACTCGTTGTGTGATGTCTGTGCGTTGTTGTACGAGTCCTATGTCTTCGTGTGCGGCCACAGGTGAGGCATGAGATGACAATGTCAAAGAGGGACACGATGCCGTTGACAATGGCGGTTATGATGGAGCCAATGCCGTTGACGATGGCCATCAGCACGGAGCCAATGGTGCGGCAGATTGATTCGAACTGTAAGTCAGACTGTTAGTCCTAGCGAAATCATGACGGGGGATACGAGGAAGAACATACGCAGGAGACGACTGCACCCATTGTGGCGGTCTGTGAGTATTGTGTGGGTTTATTGAGATGGTGAGGACTTGTGTCTGTCTAAATGGATCGTGGTTTCTTGTGTCTGAATATTGGAAGAACAGGATAATGGGCTGGCTTTTGAATGTCTTGATAAACTGAAGAGGATCGAGGATGTCTAGAATCTTCAGGGAAGATGAAGAAGTGGGGGTTGGGAAAAAAGAGGTCTTTGTACTTGTGTCACTTCACCATGAGGTATGGGAATCATTGCCATTGCGACTGCCATGGAGACAAATACATCACTTTGCTTTCTTCACATCCTTCGCTTAGCATGATTCTAACCTCCCTTAGATCTAGCGCTTGGACCTTTATGCACAAGGACATCAATCCCGGCCAATACGAGCAGTTGGGGAGATAAACGTCATGGAGCTATGACGTTGGGAAGTCTGTTTGCCCGAGATACCACGGGATCAAATTAGATAGCGATGGGTTGACCATCTCACGGCTGGGCCAGTGAATGCTAGCCTGACCTCGAAAATGCGCATCTGACGGGGTTGCCCGTTACACTAGTTCTGGGATGGGAAACCACCATTATGCCATGGTGGGAACGAAAGGGGAAAGGATGTGCTCACGGAAACCAGTTGACGTCTGATTTTGAGTGAGAAAACAAGGCAGACGGTGGCAGATGGCGACCGATGTCGACCGATAAAGAATGGCGGAGAAAGAAAGTCTTGGGCCATCGACGTCATTTGCAGATCCGTGCAGGAAGGCGCCAACCAACAGGCCGCATCCCAGGAGCACAAGTGGCACAAATGGACGTCACTGGCTGCTGGTCAGATGGATTTGTGGCGGTTGTGGCGTCCCGCATCTCGATTTCAATTCTCCAGCCACCGCTACGAGCCGCACTGTGGCGTCGTGGCGGTGCATGCAGGAACAGCTTCCCGCCCTCAATATTCTCCGCCAATGAAAACCAATGTGCACGAACCGCATCGAGCGAGATGCTGCAGTTGGTCAATTGGGCTACCGAGTCGTGGTGCTTATGGTTGTCCGAAGGGCACCTGGCAATCCCAGGCGTCGTGTGTCTATGCCTAATCGCGGCACTAACTATAGTCATTGGACGCCGATTTCTTTCCCTCAGCAGAGAAAGCGCGGTCCGTTTTACGGTCCGCATCCCTCAGGAGTTACGGTCATGGAATCCTGAGGATGTGGCCGCTGGTAACAACCCACAGGAAGAGGCACGTTGCTGTCCTGTCACTTGCTCCCGCTGGTGCTAACCCGTGCACGCAGGTGTCTGACGGTCGAATATACCCTCGATGTCCAGCGGATGGCCGTCGTCTAGGACCGCCCATTACTCCTGCAAACCCCTCCGTGATCGATTCCGCTGTTTCAGCTGCAGCACGAGCTCAAGTCAAATGGTCACAGACTACCTTCTCAGAACGATGTCAAGTCCTTCGAACGTTGCTTCGATATGTGCTTGACCATCAGGAAGAAATTGTGGCCGCGTGCTGCCTCGACTCCGGGAAGACTAAGATAGATGCCTGCTTCGGCGAAATACTTGTCACTGTCGAAAAGCTACAATGGACTATCAAACATGGGGAAAGAGCTCTCCGAGTGTCAAAACGACCGTCCAACCTCCTCATGTGCTACAAGTCAAATGCTGTCATCTATGAACCTCTCGGCGTGGTTGCAGCGTGCGTGAGCTGGAACTATCCCTTCCACAATTTCATCTCCCCGGTCATTTCAGCCTTGTTTGCAGGCAATGCAATCGTGGTGAAGCCGAGCGAGCAGACATGCTGGAGCACGTTGTACTTCATCGATATCATCCAAGGCGCATTGCGAGCATGCAACCACAGTGTAGATCTCGTCCAGAATGTTATCTGTCTACCGGAGGCTGCAGATTACCTCACCAGCCATCCAGGTATCAGCCACATTACTTTTATCGGCAGCAGAGACATCGCGCACAAGGTGTGCACATCGGCTGCTAAAGCATTGACTCCTGTCACGGTGGAGTTGGGTGGGAAAGATCCTGCCATCGTGCTTGATGATCCGAAGACCATCAGGACCATTGACGACGTGGTCTCAATCCTCATGCGTGGAGTCTTTCAATCTGCCGGTCAGAATTGCATCGGAATTGAGCGCGTCATCGCATTACCCGCAATTCACGATAAATTGCTGGCTGAGGTTCTTCCCAAGATAAAGTCGCTTCGTCTGGGCTCTGTTCTCCTGTCATCTCCCAACAACCCGCCCGACATGGGCGCCATGATCTCGTCACGCAGTTTCTCCCGTCTTGAAACCCTGATTTCTTCTGCTGTCGCTCAGGGGGCAACTCTGCACTGTGGAGGCAGACGCTTCAATCACCCCGGATATCCCTGTGGGACCTACTTCACGCCCACGCTCCTCAGCAACGTGACTCCTGAAATGGAGATCGCGCAAAATGAGCTCTTCGCGCCTGTCTTCTTGCTAATGAAGGCCGTGGACGCAGATGACGCGATCCGTATCGCGAACTCGACAAATTATGCTCTCGGTGCCGGAGTTTTTGGGCACAACCAGCGTGATGTCCAAAAGTGCGTCAGGGGTGTCAAGGCAGGAATGGTCGCCGTCAACGACTTTGGAGCCTACTACGCGTGCTCGCTACCCTTTGGCGGCGTCAAAGGTTCCGGCTACGGACGCTTCGGAGGCGAAGAAGGCCTCCGGGCTCTCTGCAACACCAAAGCTGTCTGCGAGGATCGTTGGTTAGCCCGGTCTCTGGGCATCCAGACGAGGATTCCCCCAAAACTACAGTACCCCGTTTCCAAGCATGGCTGGGACGTGTGTAAAGGAGTCGTTGGCACGGGATATGCCTTCACCCTGGGCCTGGGGGAGTGGGCCGCATCCGTGGTGATGCTTTTGGTGGCCTTGACGAGAAAGGAATAAAGGCAGCAGACACACCACATACGGGACAGTGGGTGGATGGGTGGGTGGGTGACACTAGCTGGACCAGAGAGAAGGTAGAGAGTAATTGAGAGAAGAGAGGATATGAAGTACTCTCATAATTCTCATCCCTTCACCTCATATACATTATCGATCTCGATCCTCCCATGTCGCTCATTTCGTGCGTATCCTACAGAAATAGAAATCTTCAGCTGCTCTGGGAAAACGTCAAGGTTGGTAAGCCAACTCCAATATCATGCTAGAATGGCGATTACCCGAGGACGGTATCAACACACGTGACCCAGCCCTTGATCCGACGTCTTATTTCTTCTATGTAATGTGTATAGCGTTGGAACTTTTCGACTCCGCAATTCACGACCATGATATCCCCAACATGATGGCGGCACCCACAAACATTGCGGCGAACTGGAGAGCCGTCTTTTTCAACTCGTCGGCTTTGTTGGGACCGGTCTCCAAAAGCTCAGGAATGACGGCCACGGTGCCTACGTACAGGAACGTGCCCGCGGTGAAAGGGAGGAGCATGTCGCCCCACGAGAGGCTGGTGCCCCAGATGCCGCCGAATGCTCCACCTGCTCCAGCTCCGGCCGTTGCTTCGTCCGCCGCGCTCCTGGCGGAGCCGCCATACTCTTGCACAAAAATGCCGATCAGCGTGCCCAGGAAGGCGCCCACCGCCGTGACGAACTGAGCGCCCATGGCTTTCCGCTTTGAAAACCCGGACTGGATCAGCAGCGCAAAGTCGCCCACCTCGTGGGGGATCTCGTGGAAGAAAACGGCCATGGTGGTAGTCGCGCCGAGGGCAGGGCTGGCGTAAAACGAGGACGAGAGGGCTAGGCCATCGGTGATGTTATGCGTAAAGTCGGCGATTAGGTTGAGGAGACCAGCGAGTTTGACAGAGGGATTTTGAGGCGAGGATGAAGAGGCTGGAGCAAGGGCCTTGGTGTCTTTCTGGCCCTTGCGTTGTCTCACGTCGCCATCTGCTGCTTTCCCTTTCTTTGCGGACGTAGTTGTGGCTGAGCCATTGGCAGCATTCTCGTGCTTCTCGTCGTGAGAATGGGAGTGTGAGTGCGAGTGGCCGCCGTCCCCTCCGGTCGCAATGCGCAGGGCTTTATCCATAGCCATGAATGTGACCAGCCCAACTATAATCCCGACTCCTAGGAGCAGATTGCGGTTCGGTTCGACCATGACGAACTTGACTTGATCATGCTCATCCTCACCCAAGAAAATCTCAGGGAGTAAATGAAAGAGCGTGTCTCCTAGAAGACCTCCGACCGCAAAGGCGACCATGATACTGAGCGACGACGGGTCGATGTTGGGGGGACATAGCGCGAGCAGGAAATTTGGAGGGCCCGAGATGTAAGCTGTTGCGAGGAGGGCGTTGATCGCTGGTGAGGACGAGGGGAAGAGGACGGCGAAGAGCTGGGTTGTCAACGAGGCATGTGTAGGGTTGCTTCTGGCCTTTGCCTCTGACAGTGTCTGCACAAAGGCACATTGCTATCACTCAAAGCCTCAGCGCTGACCTATGCGGTCAGAGATTTGGTCTTGCGCACCTGGAGGTTCTCCTCGATTTCATCCCTTGTCAGCACGCTGGTGTCCTTGCCTTGGACAGTCTCCGCACAGACCGAGACTACCAGACCGAGAAATAGTGCATAGATAGTGTATTTGATCATCCTTGAGGGTCTGAAACGTAGAGTAGCCATGGTTTCTACCTCCAGACTGTAAAATGAAACGGCACGCGACTGCGCAGGCATTGACGAGGGGACCATTGGGAAAAGTGCAGTGAGCTCACCCGCATCAGGGGTCAGGATGACGCCGCCCTGTCCTCAACCGCAGCACACGCGAGTCACGCACTGCGCTCTAACTGTGCCCTGAGGCAGGTACGCAGGTAGACAGGCTTGACAGGCTATCTGCGGTCTTCCTTGTTCGTTCCTTTGAGCTAACATATAGCCCTGGATCTACGGGAGATCTGCCAATGACTTCGTGCACCTAGAGCTTTGACTTCGTCTATCTCCGTCTGAAGAGGTACAGAACAAGGCAATTGTGCAACATGAGGTTTTAAAGCGGCAGCTTCTAAATGTGCCAAAATAAGAAATTCAGGGGTTTGACCAGGCGTTATCGATAACGGCAAATCCTCGGCTAAAAAGACAACATTTTTGGCCCAAACTGCGGATTTTCTGTTCACTGGTGTGCTATTGCCAATAATTCCTTTGGAACGGACAGACACTCCATCGTTGTATCTGAAGTTGTGAGGTATCCCTATCATAATGGGTCGCGAACGACAGAAAAAGAAGAACAGGTCTTCCATCCCAAAAGCAAGGCCAAAGGATGGAAGGACAAAAGCCGGTAAGAAGAGGGTGAATTTTCTGGGGAATGAGACCATTGCAAAGAATTGGTACGTCTGCAGCTATATGACATCCACAGATTGTCCACGGCTAACGTCTTCCACAGGGATCGAAAACTTACCTTATCGCAAAACTATAAGCGACTGGGCCTGTCTTCCAGACTGAGTGCTGTGACAGGCGGGACCGAAAAGAAAGCAGCCAAGGACAAAACCGACTCAGAAGAGGTGAAAAGAGACTCGCTTGCCATCGCCGGACCGCTGGCCGTCAACTTGACCCCTCAAGAAGTCCAAGTTGAGAGAGACCCGGAGACAGGTCGTATACTCAGGATCATCCGACCAGAGACAGCGAATGACAATCCGCTGAACGACCCTTTAAACGACATTATGGACGTGGAACATGAAAAACCGAGGCCACAGCCTGCAAGTGGCATCGTCGCAGAGCTGGAAGCGCAGGCGGCAGAGGAGTCGGAGTTGCTGGCAAAGAAGAAACGGCCACGACAACAGAGCCATCGGGAAGAAGAATGGATCGCCAAACTAGTGGAGAAGCATGGCGACGATATTAAAGCCATGGTCAGAGACCGAAAGCTCAATCCGATGCAACAGAGCGAAGGCGACCTTGCTCGCAGAATCAAGAAGTGGAAGGCAAACCACGGAGACGTCATGACATGAGACGATATTTTAGCGAAATAGTCGCCCAAGATGCTCAGTCTTCGAAAATAGACATCTCTCCAACCAGATGCGAAAAGGAAGAACCTTACTTGAACAAATGCAGCAGCACTGCGCCGAGGCGTCAGGGCTGTGCTACACAGAAAGAACCGTTCCAGGAAAAGGACTTGGATATCGGCAGCACACATATCCAGAGCACAAAAATACACCCGACAAGCAAGATTTGCTTACAGAAAGGTCGCAGGCTTAGTAGGGCCTAAAAAGGAGGGTGCTTGTGCGAGGACTATCCATCCATATACAAGGCTTCGATTACCGAACGAGCGGCCATTACGACCGAGTGCGACCTTGGAAGATAGAAGCACCACCACTGTTCCTCCAAAATCTCCAAAACCCTACTCAGCCATCCAACTCGGGAGCAATGGAGAAAGGGGCCGGTAAAGAACGGCGGTGCGATGACTTGCATGCAAAAAAATGACGAGAAATATGGAACCACTCTCCCCGCTGCCTGCATTGGCTATTCTTGAACAAGATGCTGAGTAGACGCGGGAGGGATTTTGGACCAGATTACGTTGATAATCGCCCTCTCTGGGGGATTCAGCAGCGGGAAGCGATGCCCAGACTTTTCGGGGCGGAGAAATGTGGATGACGAACTAGTAGGAAGATAGATACAATTGGTCGTGTCCACAGCGAACCAAGCGGCTTCTTCTGATCCGCCTCGTGCTGGTTTCCTGCATCCTCCTTTCGCGTATCTAGCTTTGAAGCTCTGTTGCCATCAAGTCATGAATCTTCATGTTTCCACACCCTTCATTCCCGTGGGTCCCCTCTGGTGTCCTTATGACAGTCAGCGCAGGTGCTCAAGCTCCCTTCCGTATATCAGCGCAATGTCCCGGCGAAGTTCTCGCCCTGCCGCGATCAACGCATCCAAAATGTTACAGGACAACGGCCCATATCCATACCGTCAACAAAATCCAGACATAGACAAGGAGGAAGAGCGTTACTTTGAACCAGGGTTTCTGCCGCACCCATAGCAAAACCACCTGCAAAAAAGGTCCTCACTCTACTTGGCAAAGGGTTGATAAATTGTTACAGCAGCGTGAGCATGATGTTGGCCATAATATCTTCACCCAGATCTCTCCGGTCAAACCAGCATCGCGCCATGAGTGTCGTTTCCAAGTCTATGCCGATCAAGGGTCCTTTCACCAACCCAACAGCCTCCAAAATGAATAGTCCTTGCGCCACCCCTTCCACGACAACAGCGCCTCTGATTCCAGATAAGATCTTGCCAAATCTGTACCTGTCAGAGTGAGTGAAGTCTCCCCCATTCATTATGTGCGCAGGGTTTGTCTGACCCTTGTCGGACAGCATTCACACTGCTGCCGCAGTCCTCAGCCCCAACTACAATGCACCAAATCGGCCAAGAATCAAATATGTCCTCTCCGTCATCGAGAATCCGGACAAGCAGCCCAAAGTGCCCCCTGGCCATGAGGCAGACTTCGTTCTCAAGTTGATCAGTCTCCGGGATAACGTCAACGTTGACCTGCTCCAGTTTCTGGGCGAGGCCTGTGCTTTCATCAAAGCAAGCCTCAAGAACAACGATGGCGGTGTTCTTGTCCATTGTCAGAAAGGTATATCACGATCTGTCGCAGTTGTGATTGGGTTTATTATGGAAGAAATGAACCTCGATTTCGACACGGCATTGCGATATGTTCGTTGTGGTCGCTCAAAGGCGAAACCGAATTCTGGTTTCCAAACGCAGTTGGAGCTCTGGGGTCTCGTCCATTACAACATTCACGACGCCGATGGCAAAGAGAAACCAGAGTACACTTCCTGGAAAGCAGAGAATGAAGAGCAGATCAAGAAACTGGGAGCCAGATGGATCGTTTAGGCTTCGGAAAGCTGGGCTTGCCTCTAGCACTCAAGAAAAGCGCCGTGCTAGTTCGGAGTACGGCCCCAAACTCTTGCGGGTATGCAGTAAGCCTGGTTATCCTGGCAATTGCCTGTCCCTTCTGTGTGTGGAACAACCACGACTATCGGTGGTATTGTGGCGATGGCATGGACGGTAAAGCGTTGGCGCAGGTTCATCGGTGGTGGCGCTGATTTGCATATTTCGAACACAGGACATTGCGATGGCATCGATAGAGCTGACAAGAGTGGTCTTTTAGTCTCGGAGCTTTGCATAGTGGGAGTCAAAAGATGGATGGGCTGCAGATTTGGGTTTTGCATCAGGCCAGAGACGAGCAAAATGCTTCCTGCTGAGGACAACCCTGTTTGAAGCAAAACTCCTGGCCTTTCTTCCTTCCCATCCTCTATCAACTCCTCGGACTATCAGGAAGGAAAACAGCCAATATCAATCTCGCCGATCGAAGACCCTGGTTTCTCCGCCCTTGGCCTGGATGCCTGGGCGATGCTGGCGGAGCGGAAATCGGTTGTGCACCTTCCGGTCTCCCCCAATCCACCCCTCCTCTCGACATCCAATGGGCGGCCACAAAACAGTTAAGCTTATTTCCCGAACCCCATCTCCAGTCTCATCCTCTTCTGCTATGCATTTCCAACTCACTTCCACCTCTGTTGCACTGTCTCTTTCTCGTTGATATCCTTTCCAACTACTCGGATACTGTCATTCTTTCCCGTCACCGGCCCGTCATCAATCTCGCACAATTGACTTTGCAAATTGTGTCCGATTTGAGACCCTGTGGCATCGACTGGACGTCACTTTGCATTTACTCTGCCGCCGAAAAGTGAGGTTCAACCACGTCTTGTTCCCGTTACTCTTTCGTTGCCTTGTGTCGTCGAGGAATCGTCTTCGGGGTATTTAAGCGTCCGACAATCCAATACTTTGCCGACTTCCTCCTCTCAGAACTCCACACCGTCGCCGGTCTGTCAACTGAAGGACTGAGCAAGAAAGGTATGTTGCCTCCCGCAAGTTCCAATTGAGACAGGCATTTTGCTTGGTGCTGCGCTGTTGCTGTCTTTGGCAACTTGACCTTGCGTCTGTGATTGGCGTCGAACGACCTGCTGACATGGACATTTCGCAGGCCACTGCCTGAAACTTCGCACGACACGCTGCCTCCCAATACTCCCCTTGGTGAGTTCCATGCCCCAGCAATACTACACTATGAGAGTTGCCGTTTGCGCTCTGCAGTTTGTCTGTCGCAAGCTCCGGGCGGAACGGGTGTTAGGTCTCCGGAGACAAATAGCAAACAGATCCCTTCAGCTTGCTCCTCCAGACACTTCTAGAGTCTGGAAAGCCAAAACCTATTTAACCTGCCCATTCCCATGAGCACGTTAGTTCTCTGATAGTCTGACATGCACGAATATATACAGATCACAAATACCCCAAGGTACGCCAATGGCCTTCTGAGGGCTTCGGAGAACAGTCAATTCCATGCTCTGAGGTATGCCCATTTCTCTGACTGTGTCCCTGTCCATTTACGAAGCTGACTTTCTTAGGGTTTGATCGGTCTGCCTGTGAGTCTGTTCTCTCCTGTCCGTCACTTTCCCGTCAAGGCTCTTTCAACCGCTCTTCCGTGCCTATCCTTCTCCCTCACTCCCACGTGCCAGGCCGTGCAAAGTTACTGCAGCGGACCTTCCTGGCGCTGGAGCCTGGCCACAAGGACCACGTGTCCTCCGGTTGCCAGCGGAGAGTGGAGCGAGGAGGCGGAAGACGGTGACGTGACGACGACGAGCATGTGCGAACATGTGCTCCTCGTCGCCCATCGTCTATATATATTACTCTCCTCCTCCCTCTCTCCTCCGTCTTCTTTCCTTCAGCCATTCCATCAACAACTTCTTCACTCACATTACTTACTTCTATTTAGCCTCGACATATCAACATTCTCGACCATATCTACAGAAGCAATTTGTTTTCGACTGCTTTCCGTTTTCGCCATTTGAGCCTTTTCGCACGGTCTACTCCACATCAGACCAACGTCACTTTGAGATTTTGTAAGTCATCTACATTGTCCTTTCTGTCTCTGATTCCACCCGATCCTGGACAATCGGTCTCCCGGAATTTGGATGGTATGGAATTGTCCGCCTCCTTTGTCCCTTTGGCCGCCTGCGAAGATCGACAGCGAAGAGGTCCCAGGTTTCGAAAGGGCATTTCCTGGTATCATTTCCGGACGTCACTTGTCTTGCGATTTGAGACAAAGATTCAAGTTGACAAATCCGCACGAGTTGGACCGACTTGCAACAGACTTCGACCGTCCAGCATTTTTGGCCTCAACAACAGGCTTTTGTTTACACCGCCGAATCTGGTCGTTGAGTTGCCTGTTCAGGAAGGCGGGTCAGCGCCGAGCCTAGGCAAGGCTGAGGGTGTCTTCACCATCAGAGTCAGGCCCCGCGCATATGAGCGTTGACAAGGCTCCTCCGACAATCGACATGTGACAACTTTACTATAGAAGCGGGTCTGCGCCGAGAACGACAAGGCTGGATCCTCAATCGACATATGCTCAACATCTATACAGGAGACAGTCCAGCGCCGAGATGTGTCAAGAACTCAGCCCCAGGTCGTTGCCGTCTATTCTTGACTTCCAACTATCCGACTTGTTTGCCTCAACTTCTTCCCCCATCACATCTGACCTCTTTCTTGTTCAATGACTTCGCGTGAGACTGACAAGATGATTTCCTTTAGTTTTCGAATTTGTTTCAACCGCAGTTCCAGCTTCCAAGATGGTGTCAACAAGAGCACAGCAAACCAAGGGCCGCACGACTCGAGCACAAGGGTCCAGCAAAGTCAACATTACCACCCAGGTCACACAAGTCTCCACCACCGTGTCCGCTAGTGCCAGCACAGATGTCGCTATGCCAGATGTCAGCATTGCCACCGCTTCCACCGCTTCTTCTGACCAGACATCGAATAGCGCTCGTCGTCTTATTGTCACTTTCAAGCTTGGTCCTCGTCTTCGGCAATTCGGGGTTACCGGCACGAATGTTGTTGTGGCTTCCAAGGTCGATATCAAGGAGAAGCCCAAGCGAAATAAATCAGTCCGTCAACAAGCTGCTGCCATTGCCAGGGGGATCAAACGCGAGTCCACTGATCAAGGTTCGTAACGTGATGTGGTTATTGCCTGAATCGAAGCTAACTCTCCTTAGATCTTGACACTTCGCCACCCAAGAAAAGCAAGCAGGCTCATGGGGAGGACGAGGACGAGTTTGAACCAGACCATGCAATGACACAAGCTCTAGGCATTCCTACCGCCGGTCGCGCACTTCGTGGTCGAGGAGGAGACGGCACAGTCACGGGGCGGATCAAGGCTACTCGAAAGGCAAAGGAAGACCTCCGTGGCCCCTTTATCACTCTTCAGTCCAAAGGTCTAGGCATGTTCTTGAAGAAACTGAGAAAGCGCCGTCCCGCAACGCCTTACACGAACACCCAACGATTCCAGTTCGGCCACGACCACCTGTGGTATTGGACATCGCCGAGCCCGTATAACATCCGCAAGGTCTACGAGATACTGGACGAGGAAAAGCCTGCCATCAATGAGGCTGCCGCACTGGAAGGAACAGCAACCAACCCATTCCATGCAAGCGTCGGCATCTCTGTCGACTCCATCGTCCGCGTCATCTTGTCTCAGGCCTGCACAAACGAAGCGGCACTGGATGCACAGCAGGCAATGCTCCTTGCATATCCTTATCGCGTCGGACACACATGGGTCACAGGACAGAAGCCGAACTATCACGCAATGCGCGTCCAGAGTCTGACAAAGCTGGAAAAGGTGCTGAAAAAGGCCGGTCTTGCCAACAAGAAGCCAAAAGCGATCAAAGACATCCTTGACATCGTCTATCAAAGAAATGTCGCGCTTCTTGACCCACTTGAGGTTGGTGAAGTCCTTTACGATGGCAACGAGAGAGGTGCCTCTGACTTCGTACCTGGCCTGCTGTCTGTCGACTATTTCTGGGACATCTACCGACAAGAGGGCAAGCAAGCTCTCCTTGATCACCTTGTGTCTCTCCCGTTGATCGGTGTCAAGTCTGCATCCTGCTTGATGTGCTTCAACATGTCGTTGCCTGTCTTTGCCGTGGACACTCACGTCGCCGGAATGGCAAAGCTGCTCGGTTAGGTACCGGAATCATGCAACGACGAGATTGTCATGTGCACCCACCTTGACACTGTGCTGCCAGACAAGATCAAGCTTTCCCTCCACCAGGCTTTCTGGAACCATCGTCGGAAGTGTGCACGCTGCAGTGCACGAAACAACCCATCCAGCTGGGTCTACAACAATACCACCTGTCCACTGGAGCTCCTTGTCAAACGTCCGCAGCCAAAATCCGACGAAAACAAGCCGGCCAAGCTTCAGACCAGCCCACCGAGGCAGGTTACCAAGAAAGAGCCTAGCGACGAGGAGCGGGTCGCGCAGGGACTTGTCAAAGTCACGTACGAGATTGACGACGACTTTGATGCCGCAGGCGGTACGGGGGTGAAGAGAACGATCTGGATCCGCGATTTCAGTGCGGAAGAGTACGATCCTGTGGACGAAAAGGAGTTTATTTATGAGGAAATTTCGATTGATTTCAGACAAAAGGCAGCATAGTCGGTGAGCACCAAATATATGGTGGACACAGCCGTTGAAAGCTTTGACAATATGGTGGAGTTTGAGGACTTTACGATTCTGATTTTATGATAGCAAAACGAATCTTGAGCTGATAATAGAATGGATGTATTCCCAAATAATATCCCTTGTGTTTCGTGATGTTCCTTGATGGTGGACTTGTCGCCATCACGTGATGGAGATGGTGAGATACGCGAGGCGCCTCCTTGACGCCCGTCCTGGGTGCCTCGGCCACCTGTGCAGAGGGTCACCTCCCCTCCTATCTATCCCGTACCTACTGATGTGTCCCTCCCACATATCTCTGCCATCTCTGCCATCACCCTCAGGATGAGCATGGGAAGTGCCTTGATACCAACTGGCCTGCCACCAATCATTTGACGCGGCGGGATTCCAACCATCAACCCTGGCTGCCGCGTGCAGCCGGGATCAAGGGCTCACCAGACCCATTGTTCGCCTCGCCTCCCAAAAGCTTGGACGGACACCGACAGGGCAACTCAGGTTCAATGCTACCTTTCCCCACGACCCGATGCCTCTTAGAGCTCCTACCAAGCCCCTCCTCGCCTGCGGAAAGCCTTTTTATCGGCCCTTGGGACTGTTTCTTATCTTCGCCACAGTCTGGAGCAAGCTTTGTCGATGAGAAAGCTTACCTTAGGGTAGCAGCCATGCCCTGATCGCCAAACAGAGAATACCTGAACAGGCAGCTCCCTATACCAGCCTCTGCTTCCCTCTGCGACTCTGCTACCTTGCTAGCAAACGGCTCTTCTTCCTATTCCCTACCATGTCTAGCAGACCCGCCTCCCTAGCTTCTCTCATCCAATGCCATCGAGAGGATTAATTGTGATGGTTCCTTCGGTCAATCCCGAGCTCGTGGGGGAGCAGCATCGTCATCATCTGAGCAAGCTGTTATTCTCTCGTAGCTATACCTCGGATCGAGAAGGATGAAAAGAGCAAGGTAGCTCGTGCATGACGGGTGCTGATGGTGCTCCGTGCGTGGTACAAAAGGATCACCATTGCCTTTTTTCTCTAGAGTGACGCGGGACGAGCTCTTCTTCGGTGCTACCCTCCTCGATCTTCTTTTTTGTCTCGCTCAACCTTTTCTTTCCTGCGGAGTGAGTCCGGAGTGCGTTCTTTGACTGCGCAATTCCAACATGATCTCTTTGCTCTCTGCAGCTCTGCTGCTGGCTTCAGGTGCTCAGTTCGCTTCCTCCCAGTTCGTGACCGCGCCAACCAACTTTACAACCAAGACTGGTTACGCAGGTGTCACGGTCCGCTACAAGTCCGTGCCCGCGGGTATTTGCGAGCAGGATCCCGACGTGAAGAGCTTCTCTGGCTACGCCGACGTGTCTCCCGGTCAACACATCTTTTGGTGGTTCTTCGAGGCGCGCAACGTCGACCCCACGACCGCACCGCTGACCATCTGGATCAATGGCGGACCGGGTTCGTCCTCGATGATCGGTCTGTTTCAAGAGCTGGGACCATGTCGAATCAACCAGGACGGTGAGGCGGTGGACAATCCGTACTCGTGGTCCAATGTCACCAATTTGATCGTCATCGACGAGCCAACGCAGGTCGGCTTAAGTTACTCGTCGCCTGTGCCCGCCTACGAGGACCCGAACTCGGGAATGCTAGTCCAACTACCCAACAACACCTGCCCCGACTATGCCAGTGACTGGGGCTGCGGGACGTACTCGTACTGGAACGAGTCTCTGACAGCTAACAGCACGCCCGCGACCGCGCCAAATATGTGGAAGACACTGCAGGGGTTCATGGGCGTATTCCCGCAGTATGCGAGACAGGGGATCAACTTTGCGACGGAATCATACGGTACGTGCCCGGTTCTGCAGGGAGGCCTTCTGAAGGCAAAGGGCCTTATTACAGATCTATTCTCCCATCTGCCAGCGCACCCCAGTCCCCAAGAGATTGAGTGCGAGAAGTACTGGACCCAATTGACATTTACTCGCTTTAGGTGGCCACTATGCACCCATCATGTCGGAATACTTCGAACAGCAGAATGCGAAGAACATCACCGGAGCACACAACATCCGCCTCGAGCATGTGTTGATCGGCAACGGCTGGTACGACCCGTTGATCCAATACCAAGCCTACTACAACTTCTCAGTATCCCCAGGTAATACATACGACTATGACCCACTGAATCAGACCGTCAAAGGTGTGTTTTCTCTCCCTTTTCTGTTTTATGCCTCGTTTCTACTTTTCGCCCATTTTTTTCTGGCTTCGCCTTTCTGCCCCCCTGCATGATTGAGTGGCAGACAGGGATCCTGACCTGTGGACAGACCAATGGTTCAACAACCTGTACGGGCCGGGCAACTGCTACGACCAGACACTCGACTGCAACACACGGAAGATTGACGAAATATGCACGGCGGCCGACAACTTCTGCCTAGATCAGGTGGAGAGTCTGTACGACATCTACCTGAACCGTGACGAGTACGACGTGCGCTTCTTGATGCCGGACCCGTTCCCACCGGTTGACTATGTCGACTACCTGAACACGGAGCGCGTGCAGGCGGCCATTGGGGCGTACGTGAATTACACCGAGAGCAACGCGGCTGTGGGCAATGCGTTCGGCAGCACGGGCGACGACGACCGCGAGATCGGCACCGTCGAGGCCCTGCAGGCGCTGCTGCGCCAAAACGTCTCCGTCACCATGTACTTTGGCGACGCCGACTTCAACTGCAATTGGCTGGGCGGGCAGGTGGTGGCCGACCACGTCAGCGCGACCGGCTACGCGAACGCAGGCTTTGTAAACATTTCCTCCTCGGACGGCGTCGTGCACGGCCAGGTGCGCCAGAGCGGCAAGTTCGCCTTTGTGCGCATCTTCGAGTCCGGCCACGAGGTGCCCTTCTACCAACCGCTCGTCTCCCTCGAGATGCTCGACCGCGTCCTTGCCGACACCGACATCGCCACAGGCAAGACCACCATTACGCCCCAGTTCCTCACCAAGGGCCCCACCGTCTCCTCGTACCGCGAGGGTAACGCCACCATCCAGCTGTCCGTCATCCCCCCGGACGCCATCTACAACACCACCACCAACATGCCCCAGAACTCGACCTCCAGCGGTGGCGGTGGCAAGAAACTCGCCAAGCGGGCGAAATACAGCCTGCGACAGGCCAAGAAGATCAAGAGGGACAAGTTGGGTGGATGGTCGAAATGAGTGATGAAAAAAAAATAATGTTACAGAAACTGCGAGAGATACATGTCTCGCTGGTTGGCCGCCCAGGGCAACTGTTCTGGAGGTGCAGAAAAGATGGATACAAAAAGAGCCCCTTGTCATGGCTGCTCCAGATACACTGTTGTTGTGACAAGTTCTGAATGAGTGACGACAGCTGAAAAAAAAGGAGAGGAGAGGAGAGGAAATATACTCTAGTAGTAGTAATCGAGAAAAACAGGGCAATCCAGTTGATCAGACATGTTCTTTCGATTCGTTTTCATTTAGCAGAGCATTTATTCACCTCGTACATCTCTCCTTTTTTTTTAATTACCCGGAAATTTCTGCTTCCCCTTTCCGCCTCTGGGATTCGGATATTCCTGGATAATACATCCTAGCCCTCATTCTCATTCCCGCGTTCCCTTCTCTGCTCCGACACGTCGACACGTCGACACTTTGACAAATCTAGTAGATCTCTCCCCACTCACTCGGAATCTTGTAGGAACGGTGTACCTGCGAATCATCATGCATGGGGCGTGAAGCGCGGAGAGCGGAGAGCGGTTCACGGTGCAGAGGTGGAAGGTAGGCACGTAGGACAGACAAAGTGTTTCTAGGGTAGGTAGGCAACATAGTTAGGAGGCACGTAGGATTGGTAAAGTGTTTCAAAGGCAGAGAGGTAGGTAGGTAGGTAGGTAAGTAACCCAAATGATATTCTTTTGCGCTATTTCTTTTTTCCTTTTTTCTGCATCAGGATCAGGATCAAGGTCAGGGTCAGGGTCAGATCAAAACAAAACCCTGATATGATATGATACCTAGGTATTGCTGGATGTCATCACGGGGCGTTATCTATTCATTATAATGGTACACCTGTAAAAAGAAAAGAAAAACCCAGAGAATTAGTACGAGGACAAGTACCAGTCACACATGGCGCAAGACTTACAAAGTAATCGGGGAGGCCCCAGACCTCGAACCCAAGCCGCTTCGCCATCTTCGCGAAGCCTTCCGTCTCGATGAGATGATAGAAAGGAAAGGGAGGAAACATGGCGCCGTCGCGGTGCACCTCGGCCTTGACCAAAAGTGCTGTTCCACCCACGCCGTCCAACGGCATCAGACGCCGTTCATCACGGTCCTTGCCCACCTTCGCCAGCTTGGTCATGAGTGTTCGATATGTGGCCATCTCCGCGTATCCCTCGAGAAGAACTTCGTCGGGACCCATCTTGCTGGCGAGCTCCTGTGCGACGTCACTGTCGCGCCAGGTGTTGAAATCGTAGGGCCGGATGTCCTCGTTCCCTTGGTCGTTGACAAACCGCTGCATGCAGCTCGGGGCAATGACGGATTTGTCGTGACTGGCCAGATCCTGGATCAGCGTAGTGGGAGTCTCGACCACATCACCGTCCAACCACAGCACCCAAGACGTATGCGGTCCGATGGTGGTGAAGAGCAAGCTATTTCGTGCCCGCGCCATGGACCCCCGCCGGATCTTTTGGTTTTCCATCTTGTGGCGTTCCTGTTCGTTTTGTGAATTCAAGGGTGGCACAAAGTCCTGCCTCAAAATAGTCACCGATTGAAACCGTTGTTCTTCCGGACCCGATTGCGTCTCCCTTATTGCCTCTTGTAGGGCGGCCGTCGCCGCATTGCCTTCCTTCGTCTTGGGCGTGATGAAGCCGAGACTGATGTGCTCGTGAGGGTAGCTCAAGGTCATGAGATTGGCCCAGTATTCGGGGTAGAAGCGCGCTAGGGGCGTCAAAATGAGGACTTTCTCGTGCTTTTGAACGGGCAGTGCTGACGCGGTCAGGTTGTTCAGTTGGTAGTGAACGACGGGAGGCGGCCGGCGGACACCGTGGGCATTTTGGGAGTTGGATTGCTTGCGGAAGGCTGAGGTCGGGGGAGATAGAGGGTTCTCGGCTGCGGATGTTTGTACTCGCAGGCGGAGTTCGGACTGGTCGACTGAGGTGTTGTGGATGCTGTAGAGGAAATAGATGAAGACAACGCCCAGGAGGATGCTAAGGGCCAGGGTCCTGTTGCTACTACGTGGCTGTCGCATGGTGAAAGCATGCCACGTCTGTGCAATGGACGAGGTTTGAACAATCGTGTCACCTCGGGGCCTGTTGCGTGGCCTGTTGGAGCATGTTCGTAGGAGCAGGCGGCCTGAAAGGGGACGGGCAAAACGAGGTGCTTCGGGGCTCAAAGAGCAGCGGAGAGCTCTGCAATGAAGGAGGAAAAAAAGAGAGAGGAAGAAAAGACAACGAGACTCAAATGAGTGAGCTGCAGTTGTGGGTGTGTTTCGTGTTCAAGTCGCTTCACTGGCTGTCGAGAGTGACATTTTTGGAGCCGTTGGTGAAACATGGATGACGGACCACAGACCACGGACCATGCACCGCCACTTTGGCTTTACACTCCATCTTTGTGCAGATACCCCAGCCACAGGAAATCCTACGTGACAGGTACACCCATACGAAGTCATCTTTCCGAATAGTACGAGGTGATGTGTTGGATTTGTCAATATTCTTCTCCCTCGTGTGGTCTATCTATGCCCCATGGCCATATAAATATAGACCGGCCTCTTTTTTCATGCCTATCGTCATGATGCTCAGAAATGACCTGCAACCCTCGCTATGCAGAGAATAGCCCAGTCAATCCCTAATGGCAAAACCAAGATTGCCCCAAGGCAACGTTGATGGTCGAATTTGTAGACTTCCCAACGCCAATGCTAGAGTCTCAGGTGATACCTGATGCAATCCGGGTACCCGATGCAACCTTGATGCGAGGCCAGTCGCAACGAGTCTCAATATGCTAATAACAAAAGGAAACTGAGAGGCCATCGAACAGACCGACCAAGTGTCAGCCTGTGAATCCCCAACTCTGCTCAACAACAACAGTATTGCCGCCATCATTGATAGACATCGGCTTGTCTGATTTTCTTTTTCTTCGATTCCTCCTTGTCCGACGAAACATCACTACGTGGACTTCTTCCCGGGCCTGGACTTCCTGCTGGTGACACTTTGCCTGCTCCAGCGACTTGAAAGTAGTCGTCACCTTCTTCGAGTGCTAGAGGCGTGACAGGACCTTTAGGACTGCCCAGAGGGTCCAACCGTGGTGCACCGGGTTTGATGCCCATCGAAGAGGCTGCAATCTTGGCTGACAACGTGGTTCTCTCTATGAATTCGCGTTGCTTCTCACGCATCAACCTCGGAGATTCCAGTACGACGGGCTGCGTTACCCGGTTTAAGGTAATGGCTGGGCTCTGGACGGTGGAAGATGGTGTGGCTGGTGTGGCTGGCGAGTCAAGATGACCGAAATTGGCAGGATGGAATCGAGGCAGAGTCATGTGCATGTTCCTCGATGCTTGCCGGCCATGTGGTGCTGGCCGACTTCGGGTTGATTGAGGAGAGAGTGGTTGTTGACTAGCATGGAGTCTCGGAGACAACGGTGAGGTTGGGGTGTAACGCCCAGAGTATGTGTCGCGGTTCATCGTGTACCCCATCGAATCAGGAAGATCAATATAAATGGGAGAAGCGAAACGTCGCAGGCCGTGTTTCTGGGAATCTCTGCGACGTCTCTGGGAATCGCCACTTGTTGTGTGCATGCGGCAGCTGTGGTACTGGTGCGGTTACCTCTTTATGAAGAGTCTTATGCCCATCGAAGTGGATTGGTACTGTTTGCAAAGTTCGGAAGTCGGACCAAAGGGGCCAAATTGTAGACACCAGGGCTGCGAGGGGTGCCGGAAATGTGGTTGCTACCAACTTGTCAATCCTTTAGGTGGGCTCCGCGTGACGTCGAATTGTTTGTTGCAATGAGCCCGAAAGAGGGGCAATGCTGAGTTGATTTATGTCGGTAAAAGAGGAGAGTCCGCAACAGGAAGAATTGAAGAAGCGGATAGGTATTTGGCAAAGGGATGCCCAAGGTTGGCGTGCTGCACACGACTGGAGGATCAGGCACCGAGTTTGCCAAAAGATGGGTCTCGTCTCAGAATTGCTCCTGTAGGCCTCTCGTCGCTCGCCCTTTACCAGATGTAGTACAAATGAGAGTCAGACTCAGAGTCACGAGTTTGTCTTGATGGACAGGGATGGTGGCAGGTGCTTGTGCTGTTGCGCCTGCGAGCGTGCTGGGGGGTCTGATCTGCAGTGTTTTGGAAAATTGCGTGAGAAATGATCATCAGAAGGTGCCGGGATTGCCAACAACCAAGGGTACGCTGATCTCGGTGCCGGAGGGTTTTGATGTTGATAAAGGATTCCAGCCTCGAGAAGCGTGAGTAGAATCAGTACCAGGGGGCACAAGGCAGAGTATAAGCGACCTGGGCACCAACCTCTTGTTCCCAGCTCTTAAGGCGTCGTCATTTGAAACCGAAAAGATCTTCGTGCTTATGAAAATGCTGGTATATCAGGAGGCCTCATCGGCGCCCCATGATTTTGAAGAAGGTTATCGAAGGGGCGACGGTTTGCCAGTGATCGATGCAGGGCCATGTACCTCGTAGACTCAAGCCTGGAGGGACATGGAAAGAAACCTCAGTAGGTATTGGCTGATTGCGATTCGGTGGATACGACAAAAGGGAATCCCTGACATGGCCTATGACGGTAAGCGTTGAAATGAGAACGCCAGCACCACGCCACCCGTCCTGGCTGACCAACAGGACGACTAGCCATGGGGCGAATGGCATGGATGAACAGGGGTACCGGGGCGGAGATCAAACAATAATGGAGCCTCCGAAAAAAGCCTTGAGCGCCGAGAAATCATTGTGACCCCCAAAGATTGCTGGGTGTTGATCAAGGGCGGTGTCGCTGCATTTCCAAACAAAAAAACAAAAAAGAGTTCAGGGAATGTGAACGGTGTAGAAGATGATGATGTTTTGATCAAGAAACCATCCGGAGAAAAAGGCGAACGCAGTTACAGAACTCAATCCGATTCACTTCTTGTTGTGATGTCATTACAGAGGCTGAAAGGTTGAACGGAAGGGACAGAAATTCCGTGTCTGACAGAAAATCCATTTGGTGCCAACTCATCGGTGTTGGGGTGCCCTCCGTGGCGTCTTTCCGTGTGATCCGAGAATTTGACCGTCTGACAAATTCATTAATTGTACCCTCGAGCCGTCTGCCCAGGATCGCACAATTGCGCGGGTGGGAAACGTGGCAAGCCCGTAAACTTCGAGCCAACATCTGTAACCCGTCCACTTCTCCCCTTCTAAAATTGCCGGACCAGAGACCCTCCAGATCCCATTCCTGGGTACCTAAGCAGGCTACGGTAGGGTCTCTTACTCGCAAAGTGCCCGCGAGCAGTGAGCTCCCACAGTGTCAAAGTCCTGAAAGAACTGACTTCTGGATTAGCCATTGTCCCGCTTGAACCAGAAATGCCGAAGACCGAGTTTCCTCTGCTAGTTTCCAATATCCCTTGAAGGTTCCCGGGGCCATGATGCAGGGAAGATGGAGCCATCGTCCAGACTTGTTCAGTCGCGTTTTGTGCAACCTCTAGGTCCTTTTTACAGGTGCGGGGCACAGGACGGTGTCCAACATTCCTTGTATCGATCTAGGCAAGCGCAGAAAATAGCATCACTTGTGAAGGCGTTTGCGGGGAGGGAGAAGCGAGCGCTCGAGGTTTTTCCGCAGGAAGTGCATCAAGTTGTTACCTACCCTGCCACCCTGCGAGCCGCCTTCAAAAATGGATAGTGCCAGTCCGAGACACGACGGGATGACCGCCCTCTCAGAAATACCTCGTTGATACGGTTGGGGCACTGGGGAAATCCCCTGGAAATGGCCATGTCCCTACAGTCTACGACATTGCAACTACAGGAACATTTTCCTCGCCAGTCGGAGCAACTTCTCTCGAGTGTCGAGTCACTGGGTACAGAGAGAACGCTGTGTCACAGACAACAGTTACATCCGTACTCGGTACACTGTTACAAAAGAATGTACGAAGGAATGAACCCTGTCCTTGGAACCCGCTCAGAACTGGCATTCCTTGGAAACGTTTTCCACTTGAACATTAACACGGACCACAGACCGAGGACAAGTGATTGTGCGCCATGATCAAGGCTTACCGAGGGAGTAGTGCCAATGCAAACCCGTAACCGAGCACTACAAAGGACGTATCCGCGACTCAAAATACACGTTTTTGTTGAACTCTCCGCATTTGGATTGTTTCGACAGACGTACGACTCATGAAGCTATCCACTTGGCTATGGGACTATCCACAAATCGTCTTGACTCTACTGTGTGACGGGAGGTACAGTCGCGGTTCGAGACAAATCTATCGACCACCTGACAAGACGATCAATATCCTCTTACTCCGACGGATCCGTTCTCGCTTCGGCAAGATCGTCGATGAGGATGTTTCCTCCGCGCGCAGTAGATAGTAGGCCAACAGACCTTGTTATCTGCTGTGTACCTAAAAGAGCTAGTTACATTACGAGGGCACAGCGAGGATACCTAAAGAAAATGCCCACACACGGATGAACCCCTCACGCGCAATCTTCCCTGTCCCCGTTCGCACGAAAGCGATATGGGTAGCAGGAGGAACCTTATCATATTACGAGCCATCCCCTGAGAGGGTGGGTTATGTACCTCGTACAGTAGGGCACGAGGGGACAGACACACAAATGACAAAGGGGGTCCACGCCCAAAAATCCAAGAGGCGGGGGCTAAATGGTGGGCTTAACCGTGTCCATGTCTCAATGCTGGCCTTGATCACTGCACTGCGCCTGCGAAGGGCGCACTTTCCTGGATGCCTCGATAGGTTCTCCGATAGCGGATAAGAGCTTCGTAACATCTGGCTGTTGCAGGTGTTGCACCGGTTTCGAATGGCATTCATGGGCATTGATAGTATCTGCTCGTACCTCGTACTTGTAGAAGAATCGATGCCCCTCGCTTAAACAGCCCCCAGTCAAGACTCGAATGTCTTCGCTTCGCTGATATACCGGTAAGATGCTCAACTATCAGCCACATTCAACGTGTTCAACTACCAGCAGGGGCGTGAGAATACGAAGGTACATGCTATCAGGGCTGTCCATAGCACATTAAAGATGTATCCCCCTCTGACCCCTCTTGGATTGAATCGTGTTATCGTGGCGCAGCATGGCGGAAGTTAGAGCAGCCGAGTAGGCGTCCCCCAATCCCGCCAATGGCCGCTGCGCTCCCTGGGCGCAGCCTGAAGAGCCACCAAGCAAGCGAACCAACTGCTTCTCTTCTATCGACCATGCTTGCCCAGCGGAATCTGCAGCCGTGCAGATTGTTCCCCCTTCTTGGATTGGCATTGACTGGCTAGTCAGGGACCTCAACTCGGCCTGTGCTCGTTCACCATTCTTTTCCAATATCGCCTCCTCGAAACATCCTACCACCAGTGCAACGGATGAGCGTTATATAAGGAGCTCCCTTCATATGCCCTCCTTCGCCTTCCGAAGACAGTGGCAGACTGCACAGACACACGCGCCATGATCACTCCTCCGCAGCCAGCCGTGGCCGCGCCGCTCGACCTGGAATCCGCCGGCCGTGAATTCGACAAATGGCTGGATTGGAATGGAACTGCAGATACCTTTCCACGAGCTCCCGAAGAAGACAATCTTGCTACAAATCAAGCCCTCCACGCCCTTCCGATATCTCCATCATCGACCGCAAATGGAGATTCTCTCCCTGCCCAACTCAAGACTGACCTCCTCACCGCCCTTCCCTCCCAAGATCTGTTGACCCCGCGACACAGTTCAGCATCCCCAGAATCACGATCTAGTCTCGAGATGCGACTCAGCGGCGACACACTAAGAGAACAGCCAACCCCAAGTATACGACCTATGCTCAAACGGAAACTGTCCCCCACCGATATACCAATGACGGAGTACCGGCATGAAGCTCCTGCCAAAAAGCGGCCGCACAACATAATTGAGAAGAGATATCGTGCCAATCTCAATGAGAAGATAGCCGAGCTGAGGGACAGCGTGCCTAGCCTCCGGTTCGCACAGAAGACAAAAGTTCGTGAATCAGCCAATGGAGAATCTGACGAGGAGGATCTGGATGGCCTCACTCCAAGCAACAAGCTCAACAAGGCTTCGATATTGACAAAAGCGGTCGAGTACATCCGCCATCTCGAGTTCCGGACAAAGCGCTTAGAGGAAGAAAACAAGGCACTAAAAGAACGGCTCGAGACCCTGGACAAAGTAATCGCCCAAGGCGGTCATGATGCTCAAAGAGCTGCTGCTTTCACGAGCAATGTGGTAATAGAGGAATCTTCACCAGCTTCAAACAGCCAGTCCCCCTCATCTGAATCGACAGATGCAACCACCCACCCTCCACAGGGCCTGATCCCATTGCCCGAGAGTTGGAGGCGGCTACGACAAAACCAACCACAGGAACATTATGGGCACATCTATGAAACCCCGTCAGAACGCTCGAGACTCAAGGGGAAATGGCCTACGAGGATCATTCTAGGTTCAATTGCCAGTCTGATGGTGATAGATGGCCTCAGTGAGTCCGATATGGGCTCAACATCCCGTGAGAAGGGCCTATTTGGAATTCCCCTCGAGCTTCTTGATGGCTGGAAATTTCTACGTTCTCCTCGGATATACTTGACTGCATTCAGCCAGTTCTGCCAGGCCGGTGGCATCATACCCTTGGCCAAAGGATTCATTGCCCTGACATTCCTGGCTTTCCTCATCTTTTCATATTTGTTCAATTCCAAACCTCCACCGAAAACCGATGTCGAGGAACTGGGCACTACCTCGAGACAGGTTCCAGCTCCAGCCTCGCCCATTCAAGTCCGACGCCGCGCCTGGAGCACGAGCATGCAGGAACTACACCTTCCTCATCATCACTTCTTCCCTGAGTGGATGGCCATTACTTGTGAATGGCTCAAGTATACCTTTGGCTATCTCTTTGGAGCACGCGCCTATGCTTGGCTTACCGGTCGCACTGCTGACGACGACGTGGCTCGGATCAAGGCGTGGGACATTGCAATTGACGCACAATTGGCTGGTGGTGATGCCGAAGTGAGCCGAAGCCGACTGCTCCTGACAATCTTTGGTGCAGGAACTCTGCCCCGATCACCTCTGCGGTTAATGCTGAAAGCACTCCATTGTCGCGTGCTCCTGTGGAACGTGGGCTCACTCGGAACTGGAGTATCCAGGATCGCTAACCGCGTCGGGAAGTTTTTTGCAAACAGGCAATGGGGCCGCGCCAAAGACTCGCACAACAATTTACCCCTGCATCATCCGGACCCCCTCCCTCCGTATCTTGCCAACATGCTTGATATGCCGTGCGATCATGTGTTCCTGGATACAGTCTGTCAGAGGGCGTACAATTTGATGTACGACCGACCCACGCAGGAAGATTCTCCCAACCCCCTCCTGGACGTCGTGGTCGAAGATCATGCAGTCAGATCACCGCTTGATGCTGTTGCTGCCTGGCGGTCAATGTTGTCACTGACAGAGGCTTTGGAGCTGTCTCTGCACACAGCCGAGGAACCCGCTCGTGTCCAAGAGCACTTGAGCGCTGCGCTCCGGATTGCGCCACCAGGCTCCGCAGCTGAAACGCGGGCGCTGGCCGCAAGCTCGGTCCTGAGCGATACTGCCCAGTCGGTCTATTTCAGGCGGGCATCAGAGGCTATGAAAGTGTTGTCCACTCCCACCACGCAGCCAGCAGCCGACACTCGACCCCCTTATTTCATCGACTCGTCCACTCCTCCATCCGCTAGGACTGATATCATGAACTGCTTGCATTGTGCAGAAACTTTGCGGATTCTCGATCGTGAAGATTATGACCTTGAAGACAACGAAACAGAAGCATTGGCCTTTTTCAATTCGAAGAAACTTGAGATCGAACCCACGCACCTGTTGGCGCAGGCAGCGAGGAAGCACCTTCTCCGACGGCTGCCAGCTATTGAGAAACCAGCAACTGCTGGAAGGGAAGAGGTTCGCGTTCTACCACACGATCACATATACGCTGCTGACGTGTTGGGTATGCAAAATAGTCAAAACAAGATCCCGCGCCGGTATAGTGAAACTAGCACCGACTCTGGCTATGACAGTCAGGATGCTTGTATATCCTATTGGGACATGGATGCTGGGCCATTGCCGCGAAACACAACTTGAATGTTCTGACGAGGTACGGTGTCGCGGTTGGAATATGAAAGAAATGGATTCGAGCTGGTCTTGTCCCCGATGGTGGTACATATGATGATGATGGTCCTGTCATTTGCGAATAGCATACGATTGTTGTCCATGTATAACACTTGTCAATATAGTACTGTCATGAATTAATCACAGCCTTATGAAGAAGCTACATCCAACCGTCAGCTATTTCTCGTAGGCTAGGCTATGAAGCAGTGTTGAATCCCCCGACCGTGATCTTTCTCCCTCTTTTCGGTGATTGATGAAGTCGCAGATTTTGAATGACAAAAAATGATGTCATTTGAATATTGCGTAAGTGTGTCTTTCACATTGATCATGTTGTGTATTCCTATGTTTTGTTGCTGAAAAGCTCTCTTCTCCCCTCAATCTCGCAGCACAGGGAACCGTGGTATTCAAGAGATGGCGGAGACGTGCGATGCCAATGATGGTGCCATCTGGCAAATAGGCGTTTTCGACGCTCACTGCCATCCTACCGACATCATGGCCTCGATCAAGGACATCGCAAACATGAAGGCAAGAGTTCTCACGATAATGGCCACCCGGTCACAAGACCAGGAGATGGTCCTGGAGACTGCGAGGAAATACAGGTTGAAGGACTCGAATTCGGATGCCAGAGAGAATACCTCGAAATACGTGGTTCCAGCGTTCGGATGGCATCCTTGGTTCTCCCATCAAATGTACGACGACCTGACGCAAGACGTCCGTCCTGATCAGATTGAGCACTACAAAGCGGTTTTGACCCCGACACCCGATGACGATGAGTTCTTGAAGACTCTTCCTACCCCTCGATCGCTGCGTGACTTTCTCCGAGAGACAGAGCAGAGACTGGAGGAGTTTCCCTATTCATTGGTCGGGGAGGTGGGCTTGGATCGATCGTTTCGGCTGCCACAAGGCCCAAGTGCCATGACCGGCGACGTCACGAACAAGACTGGTGGTTCAGACGAGGACTATACCCCCGGAACCCGCGAAGGGAGACCGCTCTCGCCCTACCGCGTCAATATTGATCATCAGAAGGCGATCTTGAAAGCTCAATTCGAGCTCGCTGCAGAGCTACGGCGCCCGCTCTCTGTGCACAGCGTCCAAGCTCATGGATTGGTGTTTGACCTTCTACAAGCGATGTGGAAAGGCTACGAGAAGCCATCCAAGAGAGAAAGAAAGAGGGCTCTGAGCGCCCCAAAGGCCCATCATAGCGACGACAGTCCAAACACTGGGAATCAAGACAAGACATTCCCATTTCCGCCACGAATCTGCATGCACTCCTACTCCGGGCCTCCTGATGCTTTGAAACAATTTCTCGCCCCTACCGTGCCGGCGGAAATCTACTTTTCCTTTTCGACGGCCATCAATTTCTCCAATTCTTCGACCGCAAAGGTCACCAGTGTCATCAAAGCGGTGCCAGATAACAGGATTCTCATTGAGAGCGACCTACACTGTGCGGGGGAAACAATGGACGGGCTTCTTCTGGAGATTATACACAAGGTTTGTGAGGTGAAGGGGTGGGATGTGCGAGAAGGAGCCCAGCGACTGAAAGCGAATTGGGAGAACTTTATCTTTGGGTCGAGTCTTAAAGGTCAGAGCTCCTGGACTCGCACGGAACCTGTATAGATCGATCAGGAAAAGGCCAGAAGAGTCCGAACTGCTTGACGCCCCAGGGACTGGTGCAGCTCAGCGCGAATGCTCAGTCTACGACAGAAAATACTGGGGAGGCGTTGTGCACTGATACCCACTGTCCATCCCCGGCTTTGTACCAGCACTTCAGACGACGATCTTGTTGTAGTAGGTGGTCACCTCGAGGCAAATGACACTCGCAAAGACCAACCAACCCACACTCTCTCTGGAGGTCGCTGCTTTCACAAGTCCTGGTTTTAGGAGATACTGGAAATCGAGTGCTTCACTGACCGATGGAAAGTTCGACTCAGGTCTTTGATGGTCCGCTTGTGCAGTCTTCACCGCGTGAAGACGGCGCAAGGGGCTGCCTCACCACATTTATGTGATTTGTCTTTCCGCCAGTCGCCATTTTCCACAAACACTACATTCGACAATCACTCTCAACAAGATGCACGGTCATCGTCTCAGTGAGCATCACGTCATCCGAGGGAGCTCAATGGCAACCTCGTCAAAGAATGTTTTCCGTCTCGACCCTCCTCAAAGGTTTACCTACAGAGACTTCGTGATAAGAGTACCATTGCCTCGACTTCCTCACGGCATGCCTGCTGATACAGCAATACGAAAATATCCACGCACTCGCTTGAAGAGGCTGATTAGAGCCGTGGAAGCTCGCCTAGGCAGACACCGTTGCTTTTTCAGCGAATGTCAGCCACGAGATCAAAAGAAGGAATCACAATTCGAGGTCAGCAGGCTCTATGCGATCTATGAGGTTGAACACTGGCCAGGCGCGTTCGCGCAGTTTGACTGGACACAGTTTGTCATGGCGAACGTCGAACGCGACGCACTGCGCATTGAGTGTGGTCGAAGTGCGAAACTGTCATGTATGTCTTCATGACCGCCTTAACCCGTGAGCGCCTCTGATATCTTTCTGTCCAGTACCCATTCTCCCAGCATCCGCCGTGCCGATCTACCAGGACATGTTACGACAGGAAAGTAACGACCTGGCAAGGATAGTTGTCCACTCGGGCCAAGTCGCAGGGGCGGTTTTCAGAGGCCAAATACGTACCTATCCTGAGGATGATGTTCCAAAACAAGCACGCCGTGACGGTCCAGATCAACAACACGGCTTGGTGCAGACCTCGTTGATGCCACAGCTCTCGATATCTCCGAACATGCGCGAAGCCCTCTCTGATCTCAGTACCGAGCAGCTAGAGGAATTAGTCTGCAATGACCAAATGTTTCGTGACGCCTGCGAATTGCATAAAAGAGTGGTTCAAAAAGAGCTGAGACAGATGAGTCGCCTTTACCTGCGTTGTGTCGGTCGACAGCCTGGAATGAACTTGTTGACATGGCAGGAAGTCATCTACGAAGCTAGAAAGATGATCAAGATGACCTTCATTGAGCAGTTGGAGAAATGGCGGCGACAACGACCAGACGTACAGTTTGACTTTCAGGACTCGACGGGGACGATCGCGGACCTCCAGCTGAGGTATCTGATCTCACGGGTTCAGCACCACGACCCTATTCCTCCCCAGGCTTCGCGTCAGTTTCGAACAGAGCTCCATCGTAAGCACCAGATCGCCGCGATGCTGAGGCAGCGCCAAATCCTCCGGGAGTGGACCGCGGCTATTGCGAAGCGGTCTAGCGTGCGCGACGGAGAGAGGTATCGGAAAGAAGGGATCAGCATCATGGACATGTGGACAGGCGGGGTCGAGGACTATGAGGCATTCGACGAGCGAAACAGGAAGGAGAATACACTACTTACTGCCGCCATTTTGCCTATGGCGACCCAGCTCCGCCTTCGTACATCCGGGGCTCAAGAACAGGTCCAAGCTGGAAGCTGCGGACAGGGAGAGCAGCTGGACTCGGCGGCGCCATCCTCTCAACAAGAACGAGAATAAGGACAAGAGCAGGACGTGGATCAGGAGAAGGATCACATGCGGCTACCACCCGCTGCGAAAGCACCAGACCAGCCGCAGATACAAGCCCTGCCACAGACACAGACGCACCTGCAAGGAGCAGACCACGTGCAGGCGCAGGAGGGTCATGTGGAGGAGAGGCTGGAGACAGAGAAAGAAACACAAGGACAAACACCAGACCACCAACCCAGAGACACCGAAATGACCGATATCGCTCCTCCTACACCTACCACTGAGACTGTGCCTCACGCCTCAGGATAAGAACCCTTGCAGCACGGACTTCTACAATTGGCCCAGGCAGCAGTCGAGTAAGAACGAATGACAAAAAAAAACATGGTTTTGAAAGCCAAAGAAGGGCCATGTATGTTTTATTGAGCTCGTGTTTTTTTCCGAGGGCTCGTTCGCATAGAAGATACCTAGCTATATTCTGTATCGGATTGAGGTCACAGAGTCGGTCATGTCAGAGTCACAGACCCCAAGCACAAACGCGAGCGGAGGTAGATAGGTAGGCATTCGACCGGTCATGCTGTATGAGCTGTTCAAGCTATTCAAGAGACCTAGGTGGATAGGTTAGATGAAACACAAACCCAACAGCGAACAGCGCTGCGTACCAGCTATGGAACTCACAATTCAGGTAGTTTCTGGACCGTGTCCTATGTACCGTGTATACACCTTCTCCTTGTCCTCGCCTGGTCGTGGTCGTGGTCGTGGTCGTGGTCGTGGTCCTTATCCTGAACCTGACAACCAAGCACGCTGAACACGCTGAGCTATCCATGAGCAATATAGCCAGGTGTCTAACTCGCGACCAGCGCCCTCCTTGGTGCCGGTCCTGGGGACGGGTGCCGGGACCGTCTATAAGCCTCCATACCTACCTACCTACATACAGTACCTCTCTGTAGTATTTTCAAAACTTGGGCTGCCCACTCACTTCCCCAGCGGGTAGGTAGGCAGGTAGGTTTCCTGGTCTGATCGACCGACCGACTAACTGACGGGCTTGTTCTTGCTCTTGCGTGCGTGGCTGGATTTAACCACCTCTCCTCGAGACGGATACGGTGATGAGTGCCAGGCGTACCGCGTGGGAATGGAGGTGTTGGGAGGAGGCGGGAGATGATAATGTCAGCGGATGGCACTGACTGACTGTCTGACCGACTGGCGGACTGACGGGTAGATAGGTTAGATGGTGATGGTGATGATGATGATGATGATGATGACGGTGTATGCACAATCTGACGCCTGGTGATGTTGGAACAAGTGCCGCGATGTCCAGGAATTCGAGTTGTGTAAGGGAGGAATGGTGTGTGTATCTTGGTTGCATCGCACCATGCATGCCCATGGACGCCGTGCCGTGAGTCGAGATTCTCATCCAACTCCAACCCATCATCCCAATCTGACAGCCTCCTCAGACTCGAAGTGCTTTTCCACACGCACTTGCTCTCTCCCGTATCGCTCGAACGAGTTGACGACATATTCATATGCCCTTGCTCCTCTTAGCCCAGCTAGCTTCCCCTTAGGTTGGGTGGGGATAGACATCTCGGTGAACGCAAAAGCCATCGTGGCTGAGCTCTCGCGTTTCGCGAAAAACGACCCAGGTATAGCCGTTGGCAGCAGGTCTTGATAGTCCTTTCACTGGGAGGATGTGGCAACGAGTGCATCTCTCTTTCTCGAGTACCGTATCGGAGGCTCCTGTATGATTGTTCTGTCGTTCATGCTTATACTTGGCAACAATCCCTCGACACTTCGTTGATGTATTCCAAAATGTCACGCTTGCGTCGAGCATCTTGTCCATGCTAGGCGCGAAGTTCGCGTGAGAAAGCCAGGCCGCATTGCAGACTCGCAGTACGATAAGGTCGTCAATATACTTCTCAATCGATGAGATATTGAGCGCGGACTTTGAGGCAGGAGAGTAGTAGGTACAGTGTTGGGTGGTAGGGGCGTCAGGAGAGCGCCAACACAGGACAATCTTGCGTGTTGTTTGTCGTTGTCTCAATCTTGATGGCGGTAGTCCCCCATGGTTCCTTGAGATGCAAAGAGACAGCCACCTCTTCGTTAACCCGATGTCGAGGTAACAGAAATCAAGCAATGCATAGCGAGAGTAGAAATAAGGCACACACCTCCATTGCAATATTTGTTCGATAGCAATCGAAGTTCCTCTCTCTCCCATCTCAACTGGCCGAGAGCAGATACGCCGCCTCTACTTGTCCACTGTTGTCGGCAATGTTCTCTTCTCCCCGGTCACTTTTTAGAAAGCAGTTCCCCTGGATTCCGCCCCTACTCAGCGCAAGGGTGATGTTGGCGCCGTAGACGACCGCCTCGCAATTCCCACCCGCAACGTTGTACGCAGCGCATTGATCGACGCAAGCTTCGATACTGTATGCAATGACGGCAGTGAGGTCCACCACGGTGCCACCGCTGAACGAGTCCACGCCGCTCGGCCAGTCTGTGTCGCAGAGGATAGTCCAGGTCGCGGTGCTGAGTAAGGGGGACACGTAGTTTGTGTTGTTGTCTGCGGGACAATTGTAGGTTCCTTCGCCAGAGCTCGAGGTTGTGGCTGCAGCGGTCGAAGAGGTGGAGGTGCTGGTTGTGCTTGTTGTGCTTGTTGTCGAGGATGAGGATGCACTGCTCGTGGAAACAGCGGGATCGGAGGTGGCTGATATTGCTGACGCCGAGGTCGTTGTTACCGTTGTCGAGAGTGCAGGAGCTGGAGACGTGGTGCTGGTCTTCAAGGTCACAATATCAATATGCGCACGAATGAAAAGTCAGATTAGTCCAACTTTACCTCTGCTGAGTCGGCCTTTGCGCTGTCTGAGCTATGTTTGTTTGCCAGGACGCCACCTATACTTCCTCCAATGACGGCGGCCACAACCAAAGCCGTGATCACGGCAATCACGATTATGAAGGTCCTACTGCTAAGACCACAGATCTTTCGTCTGGACTTTTCCTTGGACGAAGCAGGGTTCTCCTGATCGTTGGGCAGAAGGTGATGAACAGCTTCGAGACCCCCACCTCCACTGCCGCCTTTTGAACTGTCGTTGTTGGTATTGTTAGGGTTGGCATATGCATAGGCGTCCGGATAGGGCTGTCTGACGACCTCTATACCATGATCGACGTTCGACACGATCTGCTTGTCGCTGTAGGACGAGTGATCTTCGGAAAACTCTGCAGAGGCCATGGATAGATGATCTCAAGCAAAAGAAAACCAAAAAAGAAATACAACGAACGCGAGCAAAAGTGGTTCTGATGATGGGAATGTTCACGTAGTGCGATCGCAAGACTGGAGCATACCTAGTCTAGTACCCGTGCCAGAGCGGGTCACAATCTTGCGGCTCGAGGCTGGAGATGTGGACACGACCCAGTCATCACCGTCTAACGAGTATTCGTACCTTGTAAAGCGGGCGAGACTTGGGCTAGCGGCGCAAGGACGCCTCAAAAACGGGTAGGCAGAGGGTGGCCTTGCATGCGACGAACCGCAAGGCGTTTTAGAAATGCGCCAGAAACATAGGACAGAATGCAGCAGCCCGGCGGGTGAAACGGGCCAGGCGACGCCACGGGCAACAATCAGGGGTTGAGCGGGACCTCATTGGAGGGCACCATAGATGACACGGCACAACAAGTGTGCGAACAGGCGAACCATGTGTGCGATGCATCGACTTTTGAGACTGGGAAAGGGGATACAGTCTGGAACCTGGAGCCTGTGGCTTTGATTGGCTTCATCGACTGTATACAAGAGAGTCTCTGAGGATCAAAGAAGGGAGAAGAATGGGAGCTTCCGAGCTGGGCGCACAAGGCTGTAAAGCTTGGCGGTGACGATCAAGTTAGTGCGCTAGGGCATAAGAGGCTAGCAACAAAGCCTCGCCAAGACTGTGCTTAGTAATTGCAGATCCGTACAATCAGTGGGTGATCAGAGTGTACCTCCGAGCCTCGAGAGCACGGTCAATCTTCCTTTCAAGATGCTAACCACTACAAGTACTCTGTACGGATTGAATGGACTGACCACTCATTAGAGCACACCTCTACAACTTGCCCCGTGTCTCCTTCTTCAGCGACAAAAAGTTCCTCACTCCATCGCTGTGGACCCGTCCTGCCCGTCCAATCTTCTCATCCGTCCCGGTCGAAAGCTGCCGCAGTGTCTCCTCGTCCGCGTGGTTGGCGACGAACCGGTGGTCGTTCTTCTTCAGTCGACCCACGATATATGCCCGGAGCGGGGTGTTGTCACGTTTGAATTCAACAGTGTATGTCTGTTTGTTTCCATCGGGTGCCAGACGTTAGCAAGCTTTTCGCCACGCTTCTCAACAGTAATGTCCATCGCACACGCTCGGAGAGCAGGGCTCTGGAAAAAATAGGAGCTTTGAAAGGTTATACATACCTCGATGACCGCATCCTGCTCTCCCTCGACCTTGGCGTCGATCTTCGGGACAGTGAGGCCAGTCACAAACTGCGGCAACGGGTCTCTGTCTGGGTAAGGGGAGCCATCTCGTCGGCGTGTCGTCGACAAACACAACACGTGCTGGTAAGTCATGACACCACCGTTCGCAAGGATCAGGCCGTTTCGGCCTTTGCCCTGTCTCAGTTGTCGCGTCATCTCGGTGATGGCCTGAGAAGAAGAGGAGCAAAATGTCAGCGATAGCCCACCCATTCTGTGTTGCGTTGAACTTACGTGCATGGAGTAATTGTTTCCTGCACCTCCGAAGCTGGTCAGCCCGCCAAGGAGAGTGATTGGCTTGGTTCCATGCGTGATGGGTAGGCCCAGGTGTGTTGCAGCGACCTTGGGGACAATCGGGAAACATCTGCAGCAGATCACCACATCAGAGACGGCACTGGTGGCAACCAGCTATTGGCAGCCGACTTACGAATAAAAGTCGAAAAGGTCAATTTCTTCCTTGTCGACACCCGAGACACGCAGTGCCGTGTCAATGGACTGTTCGATCGATGGACTTGTGTAGAAGTTGGGTCGTTCCCAAACTACGCGATCGATGGTTAGTTGTTTCTGCAACATCATTGCCCCTTGAAAGAACTTGTCAGGTACGTACAGTTGTCGCAGTCTTGTGTGCCAGCACCACCGAGGGCATAGATCCACTTTTCCTTGGGAATACCAAGTTCCTCGGCGTAGGCTGTCGAGGTCAGAATGCATGCGCCGGCCAGATTGATGGTGTTGAATGCATTCATGAGAAGGGGATCTAAGGTCACTTTCGTCAGCCAAAGAAACCCTGCCATCGCCCCAAACCACCTCCCTGGTGCCTTGGTGATCGGCAAGAAAACTCACAGGGCAAGCAAATCATGCGATTGCGCTTCGTTACCGTCCCGATGACCTCCTTCGTGGGCGCCGGCTTGCCGTAGTTCCACGAGTATGGCGACTTCTCAGCGACTTTGGCGAATTCGGCGTACAGCTGAGACGACTCCTCGTGGTTGTCGGGTATCGACTGGCCGCGGTGGGCGCGGAAACCGTTTTCGAAAAGCGGATAGATATGGATGGGGGCGCCTATCGAGTGGATGGCACCGAGATCTTTTTGTTACATGAGTTCGTGAGCGAAGATCAACAAGAAGTCAAGCCAGAGAGCACCTGTTTCATGCGGGAGAACCCCCTCGTCCCCGGGATTTACATACCTTTGCCCATATCTCTGTCTGTGGGACTGAAAACTCCGTCGACCCTTACCTTCGTCTTGGTCCAACCCGGCGGCGGGAACTTCTTCGCCGCAGCACACGCGCTCACTAGATTTCGTAGCAAAAGGAAGAATTAGCCCTCTAGACAAGGTCCATTTGGTGGAAGGCGGAGAGATTGTCTCACTCACGGGACGCCAAAGCCTCTCCTCCCGTGACAATCGCGACGTTCGTCTGGCCCTGCGAGATCCTCCTCGCGGCATGATCGAACAATTTGGCGACCTTGTTTCCGCCGTGGTCGCTGTAGAATTTATGGCGCGGCTCGACCCCGAGGCCACGGGCAATGTCGCCCGGGAGGTCGTCGTAGGGCCAGGTCCACGTGCGGACGACGTCGATGCTGTCGACGGCGGCCTGGACCTGCCGCCTCTTGTCCTGGGGGAGACCGGTGTCGTCGAGCGCGTTGTTGATGGCGTTGAGGATGAGCGTCAACGGCTCCAGCGCGTCGGCAACCGCGGTGGATCGGTTGACGAAGTCGCCGACGCCGACGACGATGGGGATCTGATGAGCCATGGTTCCTCGGGATCTCGACAAATTCTTTTCACGCTCCCCGACAGTGAAAGAAGCCTCACTCTTGGTATTTATGATCAACTACAAGAAGAAAACAATCTCGACTCATATTTTCAGAATTAAAAACAAACCTACCAGTTCTTTCGAGAGAGATCGCACAAGCCCCGTTTCGAGAGAGGGACAAGAAAGAAGCATTGTGTGGTGATTGGTCGCACTGCCGAAGAGGTGCTGACAACGGTCCACCGCAGCCGAGGTATCCTGACCTTTTTGATACCAAAACCAGGGGGCCCTGATGCCGTGCCGGTGCCGGCAAACTGCGGCTGTTACTTGGGGACAAGGTCGTTTCGAGGTTATTGCGTCCGAAAGAATAATAATCAACAAATCATGGCAAGAATCCAAGGAGCTTTTGGCAGATGACCTTGTCCAGCGTCGTGTCTGACAGCCTTGCACACAAGCCTTGCACTTGACAGCCTCGTGCGGCGGCCGAGGCTGCGGAGTTTTTGTCGGCGTTCGATGTTCCGAGACCGGATCATCATAAATCCGATGCTTGCTGGGAATCTCCACCACCGCCAGTTGTCAGAGGTTCTTACATCGGAATCTCCAGAAGCAGCCTGCCAGATGTGTTGGCGGACTCTTGGGTAAGTCTGGTCTGTGCAATATTATTTTGGTCTTTTTTGGCATGAAGAGAATAAGTTTCGAGCTGCAAAACAAGCCCAGTGCCATCAAAACACTCGGAGCAGGTAATGGTTTGGGACAAGATGCATAACAAGGCTTCTGCGAATGATAAAAGATCTCGTGGTGCAGCTATTTCAACGTGATATTGCCAGGTTCGCAACTTTGGATATGGCTCCTGGAGTCCCAGACACATACAAGTTAATCCCCACAATACGACACAGCCCCAGGAATCGCCTTCGAATATCCGCAATGTCGTGTGCAAGTTGGATCACCGCTAGGGCCTCTTTCACGAGACCCAAAGGTCTAAATCTGATTGACGGGACACTTGCTGCCTGAAGCCACTGTGCAGCCCGGACGTGGAGATGGAACCAGCCGTCATGAGTTGCGAGTCAAGCACCTTGTCGGCTCCATCATGGCATGTTGCCGTCGAGGAGGTCCCACGCCGGTATATCGTTTTACCCGGTGACCCACTGACATGACGAGTTTATGTGAATACGAATACCGAGAGAGGGCGGCACAAAGCCTCTGGTCAGCGACGTCTTTGCAGTTGGCTGGAGCAGTGAGTGCACATCCGAAGCCCACCATGGTGACAGAAGCGTTGGCCAATAAAGGTGCGTCGGCACGCATCTCACAGATCCTTATTAGAAGCTGCAAGCCTGCGGGCTTGGCTGTTTGCCAGCAGTCAATTCTCCCAAAGGAGAAGATGGCTCCTTGATTGTCTGGCAGATGTCCAGCAGCATTGCCTTCTTTCACTTGGCACTTGCCTGTCGGCCGTTGCACTGCGTCTGCGTGGTGTCTGCAACAACTCACCAGGATGTGGACCATACCTGAAAGGGCACATGCCACATGGATACCACGCCAAACATGTCAAATGCCAGATGAAGATGTGACTGCATACCCAGACAGCCGACTTCACTTGCTAGATCGAACTACCGTGCAATCTCACCGAGATTTAGACAAAGAAGAGTCGGCTGCACAGCTTGTTCATAGCCTAATACAGGCTATCGGCCAGCGTTAGAGACTGACTTCTCCGATGTACATATATTCAGGTACCGTGGGGAGCCTCCGTGCCTCCCCAGACCTAGATGGTATTTCGGTTTCGGGTTGGCTAGCACCTCCGACTGGAGGAAAACACCGGGGAGCCACTTGAGTAGTGTTCCGTTGGATATACGGGTAAAACGCTTTGTTCAAGAAGTTGACAGGGGGTGGCGTAATACGGGGACCAGTCATGCCGCTTAATCCTTTAGGCGGAAACAGATGGGAGTTGGCCCCCTCTGTGATGGAGATCTCGCCTGCATGAAGATCTGGTGGAGATTTCGACAGTCAGAGTTTGATGCCCATGCGGAGAAGTTGCCATGGGATTCTCGCGCTTGGGAATCCCGATTGCATTGCCCAGCCACGCACCTTCAGGGGCCAGGGAATGCTCTTCATACTTTAGCCGTCACGGTCATTGCCACTATCCTGCTGCTTGTGGGGGTCGCCTCCACGTCCGGTTCACGGAGTCGTTGCGTCCCTGTTGGGAAGGATGCCTCGTCATATAAGCATCATAATCTCTTGGGTGACAATGTTTCCCGTATCTCACAGATTCAAGACCTGATCCTGGGGGCAAGCATTGGACGGAGCTTGATAGTATTTTACCTTCCAACACAGAAAACATGGCCGAAGACAGCAGCATGGACGACTCGCTTGAGGTCTTCAAACAAAGAAGCCGTATGGCTCGCTGGCGACAGTATCTGTCAGAAGATGCGAACAAACAATGGGGAGATTTGATCTTGATTGTCGCTTGTTTCATCTCAGGCCTGGTTGACAGTGCTGTCTTCAACGTCTGGAGCTGCTTCGTGAGCATGCAAACCGGTGAGTTGCCGTGATGGACGTAGCGGTGAAAAAGAATTGGGTTACTGACGTTCTGGTTCGCAGGAAACACTGTATATGTTGGTTTGGGCATGTCTGGCCAACCGCTCAGTCAGCCATATCGATGGGTGAAGTCTGGCACGGCAATCCTCAGTTTCTGCTTGGGGACCTTCTTCTTCAGCCGCGTCTGTCGTTACCTTGGACCGCTTCGCCGGGGTACCCTGAGTGGCTCGTGCCTCTTCCAGGCTCTGCTCTGCTTCATCAGCGGGATCCTCGTGGTCAGCGATGTGGTGCCCAATGATGCCGGTACCCAACTACCCTACAACTACATCGTCCTGCTGCCTCTGGGCCTCCTCTCATTCCAATCCGCCGGTCAAATCGTGATGAGCAGGATGTTGCTGTACAACGAACTGCCAACAGTTGTCCTGACAAGTACCTACTGCGACCTGATGTTCGATCCGACCCTGTTTACGGCACCCATCACTCAGAATCCCAAGCGCAACCGCAGATTTGTGTCGGCCGTGGCGCTCCTCCTCGGAGCTGGACTCGGCGGGGTTCTGACGGAGGGTGGAGATATTTCTAGGCCATTATGGATCGCTGGAGGCACCAAAGTCGTGATGGCCGTGGTGTGGCTCTTTTGGAGGGCCGAAGGATCAATCAGGCTGGAGTGATTGAGGTGGTACAGCGCCTAGGACACTCGCAAAGGACATATGTCCGTTTATTTGGCAGGATGGGAACGAGCGAATTGAGCGGTGGAAAGGCCGAGTGTCCTGTATATAGTGTTTTCAACTAAGAAATGGCCTACGTCGATTGTGCAACTCAGCAACAATCAACCGCATCGTTGGTGGAAGAAAGAGTAGGAACACGCTACACGTGCCCGGCGCGGATAAACATATTGTTCCGATATTTTAAAAAAGGGGCAAAATCTCCTGCGAACCAATATTCCAATATTATTCTTCAAGCCTTTTCAGCCCACCCGTGAATACGTTTTTCCAGCCTCTCCCAAATTTGCAGGACCCCGAAATTGGCCGATGGAGCTGACATTCGCACGGGCAATGCCTTATCTCTCTCGCCAGTCCAGACCGTGGACCATCGCCCGACAAAGATGAGACTGATGGGGGACCTTCGCCGTCTTTGTGGAGAAAACCGGATCAGGCTCAGACTCGACACTGGGCGGTGAAATTGCGGCTGCCGGCTAAATGTTACGACAGTGTGTCCACCACACACATTGTTATCGTATTTGCGTTGTGAGAGAGGAATATGGAGTCGGTCACTAGGTAGTGGACCATGCTAATAGTCCAACAAGGAGAAGCAAAAAAGGAAGAAAAAACTAATGGACGATGGTATTTCACTGTTGCTGCTGCCACTGCTGCTGCTGCTGCTGCTGATGACTGACTGACTGATTGATAGATAGATAGATACCCTGTGTGCCCTGCCTGCATCCCACATGGCGTCGTTCATATAACACAAGAAGAAGCTCTTTCTCCTTCTTGCCCCCTCCCCCTGCCATATCGGAAACTATACAGAAAGAAAACCACAACACCCTTTCAAGAGGTCGCGCGCGCCTGCACTAGGTATGTATGTGCACTGCCACTACTACCCTCGCCTTCTCACAGGAAAGGGGAATGAACCCTGCCGGCTCCCCAGTCTCAGCTTCTGCCTATAAACGTGCCCGCCATGCCTTTGCGCAGCAGCATGTTCGTCGCCATATAACAATGATCGTCACTTCATACACTCATAACACTCGAATCAGCCCGCAAGACTTCCGAGCATTCGCAAAGACCCAACATGCTAAAATCACCGGGCTCGAGGCAAGACCCGCCCGCTCTGCCAAACAACTCGTTGAGGAGGGGGGAAACAATCACATCTTCTCGCGATGGTGAATTGTGGTGTTCTCCTCGCTGCTGTCCGATTTGACGACGACCTCGCAGATTTCGTGGTCTTGTCTCGAGGCCACAACAGCGTCGGCCACGGTCCGGAATACTCTCACCGATGTCACCTTGGAGGTGTCCATCGAGCTGTCCCCATCCAGCAGGGTCCAGCCGGCTCGCTCGAAACGTTCACGGATCATGTCGCTGAGGGCAACAAACCGGACTTCGACGCCGTCACCGGCATAGTGTCTCAACTCGGCAAAGAAGTTCTTCAGGCCTACGACACCGCTCGTGTCAAAGTAGTTGACCTTTGAAAAGTCAAGGACCACAACGTGAATCGGCGGCAAGCTGACACCTTGGGTCTTGGCGTGCCGGCGCAGTCGAGCGATGCGTTTCTCTGACTCCACCGACCAGTTCCGTTCAGCCTCCTCGCCGTTGCGGTTGTTATACTCGGGAGCGTGGTATGTCTGAATGACGTTGAGGATGTGGCCCTTGACCCTCTGGATGTTGGGGAAAAAGAAGGATTCCTCGAAGCGGAAGACCCGGGTGTCCGGAGGAATATGCGGCGGCATCCCGCGAGCAGAATCCAGCGAGGCCGCAAGTTCCGAACGGGAGTCCGCTCCGACCGTCTTTGCTTGCTTGAAGACTTGGCGGAGCAAGACATACACAATATTGAAGCCCACGGCGCTGGCGATACCAATCTCGGTCGAGACGAACAGCGATACCCAGAAGGCGACCATAGCGGCAACAAAGTCGGCGAATGAGGTCTTCCAGAAATGGTAGTAAGTGCTTGGTTTGCCGATGAGTGGCCAGATGGCTGTGATGACAATGGCGGCAAGGGTGGCCTTTGGGATCCAGTACAATGCTCCCGTCATCTTGTAGATGGAGAGAACAATGACGCCGGTGGTGACCAAGCCAGAGAGCGGGGATTTGACATTACATTGAGAGTTGACGGCCGTCCGGGACATGGCCCCTCCGACGCCCATGACGGTGAAGAAGCTGTTGAAGATGTTGGCCACCCCGAGGTAGCAGAGCTCCTGGCTGGGATCGATCACATAGTTGTTCCTCAAGCCGAAAGCCCGGGAAATACCGAGATGCTCAATTGAGGCACCCAGGAACGCGGCGATGCTGCGTCCGGCCACTTTTCCCAGAAGAGCCGAGTCCACTGCTTTGGGAGTATGGATGTTGAGGGAAGGCACCTTGCTGACATCGAATAGGTAGTCATCACTATCACGACCCTTGTTGACGCCGTAGCTGATGCCGGTGAACAAGAGAAGAGCGATGAAGGACCGAGTGATGGACAAGAACCAGATGATCTTGTTCTTGCTGCCCCATTTCTCGCCCATCTTTTGCAAGAAAACCAGGAGAACGATGCCGCCAAAGCCGACACCCGCAGCCCGTCCGTTGCAGGTGCCGAAGTTGGTCAGAATGTCATGAATCTGGTTTGCGGTACCAGTGCCCACATTGTCCTCACCGATGAGATTGGCGACTTGGCCGAGCCCAATGGTGATGGCAACGGCGGAAATGAAGCCGGTGAGCACTGGGTAAGAGATGAAGTCAAGCAGGAATCCGAGCTTCAAGACGCCTATGCCGGCCATGAAGATGCCCATGGAGAGAGCGACCGCAGAAGAGATTGCTTCTGGAGCGTAGCCCTCCTTTTGGAGGTCATCCACGACATCTGCCGTCAACAAACCGATCAACGAAGTTGGTCCCGTCGAGACATCTGCCCAAAGGTGTAAGTAAGCAGGCCGTGGTTGCCTTTTGACAAGATGATCTGGGGAAAAGAAAACTGTACCTTTTGTCGTGCCCATGATGGCGTAGATGACCGCAGGCGCCCAGCAGGACATGAGACCGTATTGCACCGGGATCTTTGCAATCTTGGCATAAGCCAGACCTTGAGGAATCAACATGAGCGACACGGTCAAGCCGGCCACGAAATCGGTCAGGAGCCATCGAGGGTTGTATCGAGGCAGCCACCCGACAATGGGTGCTTTTTCAGAGACATATCTTGCAGCTACCCTCGGGGTGGCACGCAGGGCTTGTTTCCCATAACGGGCGACGCGGTTCCAGGTAACATCAGTCTTGAAATCATTCTTCACCCTCTCGTAGATCTGCATGATGATAGCAGTCTCTTTCAGGGGACACACAAGCAGTCGACTTGGGTATACAAAGTGCAAAGGCCGGCAGCAAGCAGAACGACTGAGAGAAGGGGGAAGGGGGGGAAAGTAGACTTGTCAACAAAGTGATATTTGATCAGGATTGAAAGAGGCTTTTGATAAGCTGGGGAAGATGGCCGGGAATATAATCAATCATGCATGTCAGGGATGTGACACAACAGGACAGGGTCCCCCTCTCTCCGTTCCACGCAGGATTTAACCCAGCGAACCCATGTCGATTTTGTGGTGTTGTGTATGAGTTTCTGTCGCCCTCTCTCGTTTAACTGAATGTGCATTTGGGTCCGGTTCGCTAAATCAGGGAATGGATGTGTCTTGTCTGGTCTGGTATGGTCTAGAAAAACCAACAACAAAAGGATGTGTGTGTGTGTGTGTGTGGGTGAAAGCACAAACCACAATAGAGAACGTGGAGAAATTCCACTAGCGGGGAGCCGCCGCCAGGACGATACTTGCTGCTTCCTGCTTCCTGGTACTATGCGTATATGCAGGATGTCAGAAAAAGGACAAGACGATCGCAGAGAGAGAGAGAGACAGACACAGAGAGAGATTGTGTCTGGGGGGGACGTGGGTGAGCAGTAGCTGTTGCCAAGCAGGGTTGACGGTTGGCTGCTTAGTAGCTTAACTTCTGCGCTAAGCCGGGGTAGGGGGGTATTCTAGGATATAGCACCGACGAATCACACCGTGTAAAATATCGCGCTAGTACCGCTCACTCCGCCCGGCAATGCGGGGGTGGAGAAGGTAATTGGCCGAAACGACCTCTCATCCCATGGCGGCGTCGCGCGCGCCCCTTGCTTGATTATTGCCAACCCAAGCCCCCCCCAAAAAGCTGAATAACCCCAGTTCGGATTTCGTTCCCTTGTCACAAACGACGCACCTGTGTACGCTTAAACCTTCTCCCGAACCACTATTCCCAATGCCTCGCTTCTCTACTACGTACACGACTCTTGAAGCAATGCGTCACACCCAAGGCAACACTTCTGCCCTTGCAATCTCCCTCCCCAAGCCCACACGGACCCTACTTCCAGGCATGACAAAACGTCGAGCTCCGGAGACCGTATCTTCCCCCGCATAGCGCCGCATGGCGGGTTACCCCGCCAGACAGTGGTCGTCGCCCGTAATTGCCAGCCAGCCACCAGCCAAAAATCCGGGGTTTCTGGAGGTCTTGGGAAGAGCATTTCTGGGGGAAAAGGTTAACACGCTTCACACGATGGCGTTCATTCAGGACTAGCTTCGTCATGAATACAATATCAATACCATAAATCGTGGTCAGGACCTCAGGCCGGGAAAACAAATAAGCTGCATGGTGCATGGTTGAATAGTTTGTCTGGAGGCCGGATTTCTTGTCGAAAGACACACACAACCAGCTCTGCAACCCATCAAACGCCGCGGCCCAGTCGCTCGCCTCTTACTTCGGTAATGAGATCCCTGATCTAATTTGGACGTCGTCAACATCTTCAACAGTGCCCTTTTCCCGTGTGCGTGCCACGCCCATTGGTGTCATTGACACCGTTCCCCGTGGTCAGTGCTCTGTGCCGTCCAGGAGAAGCTCGCATGACCACGCCAGGTTCAGGGATCCCCTCTTCTAGACCGGGGACCGGTAGTTGAGGACCATTGATCTGCGGTTCCAGCACGGGGTTTCTCCCAGTCCAATGAGCACCGATGCAGATCTCACACCGTTACAGGGCCAGGGTAGCCCGTGGCAAACATGCATGGGGGCCCTCAGCCCAGACGTCCCCAGTTGGATTTCCTAGTCTCAAGCCCGTTAGCATGACCCGATACTCGTGGCGATGGTATTTCGTGGCCGATTCGTGTAAAGGAGGAGGTCCGTGAAAAGAAAAGAGTTCTCTGAGCTGAGATATCGATTTATCCCGAGCTTTTATATTCTTGTCCAGATGTTGAGTCTTGGGATCGGGCACATTCGGGCTAATAGTTATTGCACTTTAGACCACGGCATGAGCACCGGAGTTCCAAACGGCTGTTCTCCCCTTCAGCGGACGCCGACAGAGTTCCGTAGCACATCACACCTTATCTTTGAACGGCTGATAGCAAAGCTGATAGCTTTGCGTATGCCGGGAACCCGTCACATGCAACAGCTCAGGTTGGACCTCGAGGAAACAGGGCAGCAACAATGCCCGCCGAAAGGAGCAAAGGGCAAAGATCGACCGACCTTTTCCCCGACCAGTCACCAAGGCACTGGACAGCCTTCAAGAATAGATACCTGAACTTCCACCCCAGCACAGGTGCCGAGCGCCCGATCACGTCGTCCTCAAACGATACCAGACGGTAAGACTCAGTGACTCACCGTGATCCCATCCCTCCACAAGTACAAGGTACAGTCCTCCAAAGTCACTTGATCTGCTGGATGAACATTTAGCCAGAAGCACGCTCGCTGCCTGTGAGGAGAGGTCCGAGGCTCAAAGGGTATGTGGACACATACGTCTCAGCAGGGAACCCTCCTTAGTGTCGTTGGATTGAGTTTCTTGCTCCAGAATTCTGGAGCAAGCGGAGCCCCGGCTGGTGGAATACCACACCCACGAGGGAAGCTCAGCGCATTGGTTGTTCTGTGGCAAAGATAACATGCCTGTGGCTAGTCTGGCTGATTTCAGCGAGCACTTGCGTATCTGACCTCTTGAAGTCTTGCCACCCACCTCGTGCCGGTCTGGGAAGTTCGATTAACCGGCAGCTTCCTCGTGAGGACACCCAGATCGGTGGCGCATCAGTCCTCAGCCGGCGCGAGAAGTCAGGAACGACGTGCCCGATTTCGCGAAAAGTCTTGCGAGATGTGCTAGGGGTTTCAACCTTGGTCTCAGAGCAACCACATGTCTATGAGTGGAGGTGGCGACCTCCCCAAGTGCGGCATGGGTTTGAGGGTATCTGTGGAGCTTGTCGTGGAGCACGTTTACGGAGGAGTGATAGGCAGTCTGGCGACACATTCTTGCAGCAAAAATCGCCACTCCGCAGGGGATGGGCGTGGTCTCTTGGGGCGAGAAGCATCTAGCCACAACCTGACCTCCACCTGCCTTTCTGCCCGGCGCCTCCTTTGGGCGCCTCAATCCCATCACCAAGATGTTGCAAGATTTCCTGTAGAGCGATGTCTCTTCAGCAAAGAGGGTCGTCCGGCTAATGAATCAGCCCGAGTTCTCGAGCGTGGAATGGGAAGGGCGTCGCCGAGGTCATCGAGCTGTCACGACATCCCCATGGGGCTTACCCACACATCTGCGCCTTGGAATCTCCAGATAGTATCGATATCGATTAGCCGGAGATACAGACTTGTAATCGTCATGTTCTGGGGGGAACACCTGTTGTAAAGACACGGTCGAGCAAGAACTTCTTTGTGGTCAGGCCGTGCTGTATCTGTGTCAGGCCACGCTATGTGATACCGTCCTTACGTCGGAAGACCAGGTTGAGCGCCTCGCTCCTGGTGGGCGGCTATAGACTAATCAGTCTCTGACATTACTCAGTTTGTCAGGGAGAGGAGGGAGTGAACCGCCTTGTGACTGTTTGTCGCAATGACAGATGATTCGACATCAATCAGACCTCTGAGAGGCAGTCCCAGGCCCATTTTTGTAGCGCTCGACAGAAGAATCGTTTGATGAGCATCACTGTTGAAACGAACGCGTCTGCGATGATTGACAGAGAAACAGCTAAGGAGGAATGAAGATGAAGTTAAGTAGCCGCTAAGAACCGCGCTAGCCTCATGTGTGCAGATCTTATCGATTACGCCGCTAAGATTCCTGCACTAGGTCTAAAAGCGGTCTAATCAGATACAATGGCGCGAATGCCTGAATCTTCTGTCCATTACCCACGACTGTCACGACACTCGAGCTGGATCCCAATGACCACGTCCAGGTGTGTCAGAAGAACAGTAGGAGGCCTGTTACGACTTCGCGTCATCTTTCAGCCCAACTATTCTGGCTGTTTGTTGACACGCAAGCCGGTGTCTACAGAAACCCAGGCCCTGGAATTGTCCCCCCAAAATCCAAAGCTTGTGCAAGATTACGATCGCGTGACGGCGAAAGAGGGTGCTAATCAGAGGTAGAACTTAGTTGTCAGCCTCCGGTAGAATATTTACGGCCAGACGGCACGGAAAGTCGCCTGGAAAGCAGCACAAAGATTTCGGCATAATACAGTCTCTGGTATTTGACCCTGCTGAACTTCGGCTCAGCCTCAGCGTTGGCCGCGGTAGATACCGCCCCAAGAAATTACAAGACACTATACAACGACCAGATGGTTTGAAAGGACTCGAGAAGCCGAATTTTGAAAACCATTCACTTTGGACATTTCTTGTAAAATGTTAGGAAATGGTGCAATCCACTACGGGCCTTGAAGTTCGAACGCGTCATTCTCGTCAATGGCATCTCTTCCCCTCCATTAAGAATACTATATCAGGTGGTCTTGGGCTGGGAAAGGCGCCCATGTTTGCACACTGAGGTAGGCAATGGAATATTGCTTCAAAAATGCAGAAAAAACCCCACCACGATACTCTCTCATGTGGAAGCCAGAGAAGATTGACACTCACTCACCTCGTTGGACCCAAATCAATTTTTTTCACCATCCTCGTAGCGGAAAGGAGTAACAGATCTGCGAAAAAGTAGATTCATTGTCAATTGATATAGCTCTACGATGAGTAAAGTAAAATCATTGTTATCAACTGTGAAATTAATTGCTGTGATTCCTGACATGTCCTCGAACTTTTGCACTCTACGCCCCGTGCGCGGGTCCCCGAGCCAGAAACCTGACAGTATCATCGTCCGAGCGAGAGGCCAGCAGTCGCAGCCATCCACAGTCCCATAGTCTTCCTTGGGTCGGATACCTAGGGCATGGAACCTGTCGATATAAAATCAATTCAATAACAACCTTGGACACATCGCCGCGACTTGGCTTTTGTCGGCACGAGGGCAAACAGGTTGACCGTCGGAACCCACATCGCTATCAGATGTTCTCAAGACTCTGCAACTTTTCTCCTAATCTTGTGTTTATGGTGAGATCAGTCTTCTCATCCGCTGACCAAGCTTGAGAAATCCCAAAGCTCCTGGCCGTTTGGGCGTGGTAACTCGCCAGGTCTTTCGAACGTTGTCGAAGTGTTTCTGAACACCTCTCTGCCTTTCCAACGGTAAGGTATCATATCCAAATGTGTCGAGCATCGTGTGAGCCAGGTCTGACGATTGATCTGAAGTCAGTTCCAGCCCTTTTGTCAACTCAAGCATCGCCTTTGTAGCCTCAGCATAATCCATGTAGACTTCGCTAGTGGGACAGACCCTGGCTCGCATCATTGCCAAATATCTGCGGTATAGGTCCATAGCCTCCGAAGCATCTGCGAAGCATCTGCAACGCTTCAGAAGTAACACTAGCACTGAGACATCTAGCTCATTGCCCATTCTCTGCGCGCGAGACATCATGGCTTCAATGTAGAATTTTGGACTGAGCAGATTCTCATTGATGCTGAGGTTTTCCTCAACATACGCACTCACACCATATAGCACTGCCAGATATAGATGAGGATCTTCCACGTGTGACCGAACACGGTGAAAATCCAATGGCTCAGTATAGACAGGCCACCTAAACGCATCATTCCGGTAAGGGGACTGATTAATTTCGAGCATTACGCAGACCATCACGGCCGCTTTGTCGAAACATCTTGCAATGGATGAGATAGGTCGGCCCTTGACACGGTTCATCTGCAGCGCGCATTCGTTGAAGTGCTGGATTATTTTGTGTGCTTCTTTCCGTGACACTCGATGTCGATGACTTGTGATAAACTCGTCAATGAACACCATGTGCTTAAGGTGGGCATTTGCGAGGTACCACGACGTGTCGAATGCGCCATTGGCGTAGTTGTTGGGTAAGTTCTGAGTCGCAGGTGAACCGAGAAATTCTTCCACCGTTCGGTGCAGATAGTCCACTGCTGAATTCTGCCACGGGTAACCATCTTGTGGAATCTCTTCGTACTCCAGTAAATCCATGCACTGACTTTGGAAGAGCCGTCTCATCGATAGTACCCTGGCCCTGATAGCATCCAGACTCTCGGGTTCTTCCTGGAGAGCAAAGTCGGCACTCTCCTCGTCCGTAAAGGAGAGTATCATAAGCGATGGCCGAGTGGAAGGTCGGATGACTTTCACGAGCTGAAGGATTCTCGATACTCTTGCCTGATCTCGTACGCTGATGGCGGAGAGCATGAATTGAAAGTACTCGTCGAGGCCTTCGGGAATTTCGTCGAGGAGCTTTTTCGGCGACCTCAGGCCATCCTGCATCTCAGCCAAGAGCCTCTTAGTGACCAGGTAAACCCAGAGGAAAACCCCGGAGGACTTTGTGACGACCTCTTCCCGGATATCTAAGGCCTGCTCTGGGTCCACGGCCTCCAGATCTCGAAAGGCCTTGCTCTCCTGACATTCAGCCTCCACAAAGCCCAGGATGTCTCCTCGGGTCAGATCTTCCAGTCGCAGACAAGGAAACCCTTCGAAGGCATCGATGAAGACATTCCAAGGTCTACTTGAAACGCAGACTTTGACAGTTTCCAGGCCTCGCAACGACAGGAAAAGCCTGACAAGTTCCTGCCGCTCGACTTTATCGCGGCCAAACTCATCAAGCCCATCGACAAAGAACACGACGTTTGCAAATTCAGCTATTCGTTGTACCGCCGATTCGAACATGGCTGTTAGCTCAGGCACAGACCACGCCTCCGGGACGAAATTTGAGCTCTGACATGCGTACCACCGCCACGGAGCAATGTACTCAATGACTGCACAATCGACTCTTTTATCCATGAGTATTTGGAATAAGAGTGTCCTCAGCATTCCTTGGAGAGACTTTTGTAACTCTGTCCCTGGATTCCAGAAGAAACATTTGGCCACCAGCAGGTGCTTTTGTGATTGCCATTTTGACAGCAGCTGGAACGTCGTCGGTGATGTCGAGAGATATTTCATTAGTACAGACTTACCTGACCCTGGCTTTCCACTTTGCCAGTATATATTGTGCAACGGCTGAGGCTCTTCCAACCACTGTGCGAAATTGTGCCAGGATGCATATCGTTGACCGTCCGGATGAAGGACCCATTCGAAGGTCTTTTCATGCGCCTGTGCTATGCTGCCGTACCGATCATCGATCTGGTGGAAGCGAAGGTGCGAGCAGAATCGTAAACGAGTTTGCTCCTGCAAAACCTCAGCAACCTTTCCTTCCGCCAGGGTCATACTAGGCTCGTGTTGATGTATCCATGAGGTCATAATGGCCCCCCGTAATGACTGATCTTGCGCAACGAGTTGATGACGAAGACTGGAGAGGTAGGAGTGGAGTTCGTCTTTCAGCCCTTGTAATTCTGTTAAGATGCTTGCTGCTGTATCCGCTTGCATGTCTTTCAGTTCACGAGTAGCTCGTTCACGCCTGTCGCTAAAATGGAATCATTTAGCATCGACTCCAAAGGGAGGGAGGAGGGATCAGGGACCTACTCGTTGTAGAGCAGCAAGAACAGCATCAGCTGTTGACGTGCATTGGACAAGCGCCGGCTTGCGTCGTCCAGTTTTGAAACACCCATCACACTGGACAAGGCATGGCGAAAACTCTTCCACTTCCTATGGTCTCCCGACACGGTGAGTTTTCCCACGGCTTCAATGATCTGCTCAGCACAGTCCGTGCAATAACTGTAAGCTTCTTCGAGCTGGGATAAAAGCAAAGATTGGTCTTGGGTCAGCGATGTCTGAAGAGACCGCAGGTCGTCCAATTTGTGAGGCAATTTGAAACTCCGCAACTGAACGGCTGCCTGGCTCAACTCCACATGCTCTGATAGTGTGTTGTACTTGTACAGTTCTGCCCCTTTCGAGATGAGTTTGGCAGTGAAATCCACGAATTGAATCGCATTCCCAGCGATGGAAACCGCTGTGATAGGATCCATAATGGGATCAATCCCTAGCCGATTCTTCAGGCGATGTCAAACGGGCTCATGAAAAGGAGACTCTCAACATCAGTAAGGACCTGTAACAGAAGGGCTGAGGCTGAATCACCACAGGCACCAAGGGCTGACTGTACCTGCCCTGCGATTGAATCAAGGTCTGAAGAAAGGCGTAAATCGCGCATTACAGGCTTTCCGCAAACTGTTTTATAGCAAGTTCTGGAGGAGAGTGGATGTGATTATTGTGAATTTGTGAATTGAATCGATGTTGAGCGAATCTGTCGCCCTCACCAAGTCGAAAAAAATGACAGTTGGCCAGAGAGATTGGCGTTTCCAACCACAAGGCTGCAACATCTTGACACAGCCCCAGGACAACGCATTGGTCTATTGCCGAGCCAATGGCTCGTCCCGGTCAACTCTAGTCACAAATGGCTGGGTTCTGGGCGGCGCCAGTTCGCCTTGCGTGCGCCGCAACTTCTCCCTCTTGCTCAAAATCATAAGTCGTCAGTAATGGCGACAAATAGCAACGACAGGATAAGGAATGTCACGGTTTGGAATATATGCCGAGACCTGGTATAGACCCCAATTGGGTTTAGTGCCTGATCCCCCTATAACGACCCTTTGCCTCGCGCTACGCCTTTGTCGCACCTGGATAGGTGATATGTAGTCCTTTGGACTACTAGTGCTACAACTCACATCATATTACGCCACTACGAGGTGGATTCGATCCCGTCGCGGTGCCTCGTGATACCAGATCTGTAGGGAGGGGGACCCCTTTTGTGGCGCAGGCGCAGCCTTGTTTCCCTCCACTCAGCCCCCGTACTCCGCCACCCTTTCATCCATACAAGGGTTGACAAATGTGGAGAATGTGTCTTCCAGAGGACATACATGTTGAAGAGATGCCTTTTTTACCTATTTGAAAGGCTCGAGTACAGTGACCTGCCATCAGGGCGATACGGTGACACCGCCTTTTGAGACCGCCTCGTTGGTGAGCTCATTCAGCCCTGACCCTTTCAAATTCGCTCAAACACAGGCATCACGTCCAGTGGACAATCCACCTGAACCTCCCTTCCACCCACAAAAGTCTGCCCCTCTTGGACATCCCCATCATCGAACCTTTTCCACGTGGCACCCCTCGGCAGGTACACCGTCCTCGTGGTCATGCCCGGGTACATGACCGGCGCGACGAGATACTGGTGTCCAAACATGTACTGGTCCTCGACCTCCCAACACCTCTTGTCGCCAGGAAACACCAGGAACAAGGTCCTGATCACCGGCGTGCCCTTGCTGTGTGCTTGGACCATGAGGTCGCGGATGTACGGACGGAGTCTCTCGCGCAGGAAAAGGTACTTTTTCATGATCTGGTAACACTCTTCGCCGTAGCACCAGATTTCGTTCGGCGCCCCGGAGAGGCAGGTCGCGCCACCGGTGGTGCCGTGTTGGGGCTGCTTGGGCTCACGATCGCCATGGAGGCGGAAGACAGGGCAGAAACAGCCTGAAACCAAATCAGCATTACAGTCTCAGAGGGCGACGGCAATGTAGACGGGGATTCTTGCGTGATCCACTCACCGTATTGGAACCATCGAGTGCAGAGCTCACGGAACTCAGGGTACTTGGGATTTCCTCCATGAAAGCCACCTTGAGGGAGTCAGCATAATTTATAGAGCAGCGTTCACAGAGTTGACTGACCAATGTCTGTAGTCCACCATGGGATGCCCGCAATCCCCACATTCAAACCGGCGGCAAATTGGTCTCGAAAACTATCCCAGCTGCTTGCAATGTCACCGCTCCACAGCAACGTCCCAAACTTCTGACTCCCGGCCCAAGCACAGCGGATAAGGTTGCAGACGTCCTTCTGTTTGCCATCCCTCACCATTCCCTCATAGAAGGCCTTGGCGTATTCCACCGGATATGCGTTCCCGGTGCTCAAGAGACTCCCGCTATGGTACCGATAAATATCAAAGTCATAGGCACTGTACTCTGGCTCCGCCTCGTCAAGCCAGAAAAGCTTCACACCCTTGTCGTAGTAATTCTTCTTGACAGTATTCCAGACAAACTCTCTTGTGGCCGGATTCGTAAAATCAGCGTGGACGGTCTCTCCTTGAAAGTCCATCGAGATCCGCAGTCCTCGGTCTTGCCGGATCAGAAGGCCGTTTTCCAGCATGTGCTCGTAGTTTTCAGATCGTTTGTCGACTGTCGGCCAGATGGAGACAAGGAGTTCAATGTTCATCGACTTGAGCTCCTTGATCATGTCGTCTGTAGTACCAAGCGTCACGACACTTCGTCAGAGCTATATTCTTCCACCTTGATGGCAGGGCCCTTTTCAGGGGTAGAGTGCGGCGAGAAAGAGTCGAGTTGGAGTTTGATGGCGGAAGGAGGAGGGGGAAAGTGGAATTCAGGCGCTGACTCCGTCGCCGACTCCTTCCACGTCGATAACAGTCTTCGCATGGCAGACTCACCGGGGTCTTTCCAGTATGTGGGGTCAAACTTCCATTCTCCTTGCTTCGGCCCTGTTGTACGGTGTCAGCGACCTGTGCGAAGGCGTCACGTAGCCGTCAAATAGCACCTGTAGACTCACAATGAAAGAAATCCACCACGATGACATCGAGCGGCAAATTGCGTTTCCGATACTCTCGTGCAACATCCAAGAGCTCTTCCTGAGTCTGATATCTCAATTTGCACTGCCAAAAGCCCAGTCCGTATTCAGGCATCATCGGTACCTTGCCCGTGATGTCCGCGTAAGCTTCGATGATCTGGGTGGGGGTGTCACAAGCCACAACCCAATAATCAAGCACCCTCGTGGAATAGGCCTCAAAGCTCATCGTGTTCTTCCCCAGTACAGCTCTGCCGACGGCTGGGTTGTTCCATAGCATGCCGTATCCTAGATTAGAGAGCATGAAAGGCACGCTTGCCTGAGAATTGCGCTGGGCCATTTCCAGGTCCAGTCCTTTGAGGTCAAGAAATGGTTGCTGATACTGGCCCATGCCGTAGATCTTCTCATTCCGATCAATGGATTCCAGACGGTAGGTCAAATGGTAGTCACCACCCATCAAGGGCTTGAACTCCCTTGCTTCGATCATCAAGGCGCTGCATTTTGGATCCTCGACATCCGAACGGTTGCGCTGGTACTCTTCAAGCAGTAACTCGCCCTTGGAATTCTTGACAGTAATCTTTCCCCGCGAAGATATCGTGGCACAGATATTGCCGTTGCTGATTGATGCATGCCCATCATTCATAGAAATAGATACATCGGTCTTGGGCGGCGAAATTGTCAAAGCCCAGTCTTCCGACGGCAGGGTATGAAACTTGGTGGCACGAATCCGAAGGGCATTCGGACCCCAGGCTTCGATCTGAACCCGTTCGGAATCGTAGGTATAGTGCAGAGTGTCATCTTTGGAGAGTAACATGGTGGGCTTCGTATTCCTCGAGCAGGCCGGCTTCCTCAACGCGTCTTGACTTTTCGCACAAGGCACAGTTTTTATCTTCAGACCTGGTGAACTGTAAAGAATCTGCTGAGCCTCCCCGCCAGATCCAAGCTAAAAGTGAAGGTTGTAGTATCCTACCAGCGTGGATACTGCGACTTGCCTGATCAGCCACGGAACTTCTCAAATCAGCCATGCCGCCCGGCTGAATTGCGGAGATGGGTCTTTGATATCAGGCACATTTTCGGCTGTTCATGGCTTCCGTCCATAATCCTCCTGACCACCGTGCCACCTACACCAGCGCTCTTCTTGGTAAATGTTCCTGGGCTCTCTTCACATTCTCGGTGCATAACCCCAAATCTGAGAGTTGTGTGGATGTGATGGACGCACACGTGGATGGACGCGCTGGGGCACTGTGGCGGCCACCCGGCCCGCGGTGGAGAGTTGTTTCGAGCATTGGAACGATCATTGGATACCGAAGCGGCAGAAATTGGATATTCAGGCGAGGAAATCGTTCCAACGGCCGCTTGGCCCCATCATAGTTATGATACACGAGGTGGACTAGAATTTCTGGGATGCTCATCCACGGATCCACGTGATCTAAAGAGGCCGAAGATTATCCTTTGTCACGTGTCAGGCTGGGACACCCTGGGTGCCATCCACTCACTACCCAAGGATTCAGGACTGACGAAGGTATTGGCAACGAGATACCTCGTATATGGTATGCATGTTGCAGAAAACCCCTGCTTTTCGGCCTCGTCTATCCCATCCGTCCTAAAGAACCTACCTAAGACGACTACTGCAACTGTACATCCAACGGACGGGCTCATCATGGCTTCGTCCTGACTGTCAAATCGTCAAGGACGTCCGCCGTCGTCCCTCCCCTTTTGGTTTCAGCGACCTGGAATGCACTTCCTTCGCCTCCCATATCCAATCCCTTCGCCGCCCGCTCGTAAGCCTCATCGCTCCGATCTGTCAATATCTTCAGCTCCTCTTCGCTGAGGATCGGTCTCTTTCGATGTTTTCCTTTCGCTTCGTTCTCATCATCCTCTAGATGCGGGACATCATACTTTTCAAACTCGTCGTTGACAAGCGCGCCTTTAACATCATCCGCATCAATGCCAGACGACAGAAGAGACCTGAATTTGCCTTTTTGAATGACCAGTTTCTCGAGTTTCCTCTTTGTGTCGGCCTTAAGGAGCAGTGCCTCCTCTACGGTCCCCCGTGTCGCAAGGCGGTACACAATGACAGGTTTTGTCTGGCCAATACGGTGTGCGCGGTCCATCGCCTGTAAATCTTGCTGCGGATTCCAGTCGGAATCGAATAGAATCACCGTGTCTGCTGCAGTTAAATTGATTCCTTGCCCACCAGCTCGGGTGGTCAAGAGGAACAAGTTGTAAGACTTGTCCGTATTGAAGTTGGTAATCTGCTCGTAACGCTCCTCTTGGGCGACCGAGCCATCAATGCGACACGCCTTCCAGCCGCGTAGTTCAGTCGCATACGTTTCCAATATATCCAGTGTGTTCTTGAATTGGCTGAAAATGAGGACTTTGTGGCCGAGACGGAAAAGTCGGGGAAGTAACGTGTCAAGCACAAGGATTTTCCCTGAAGCCGTGACGAGACTTTCATCAACGCGTGGGTAGTCGCCTGACTGCTCCTCGGCTGCTGTGCTTGGTTTCCATGGCCAGTAGAAGTTGTGCGGACTATTGCACGCTAGTCGGGCTTGCATCAAGGGGTTCTGAAGCTTCTTAGCGGCAATCTCCTTCTTTGCAAGCTTGAACGTTTGGGCTCTTTCGAGCTCTTCTGCGTCATCCGATGAGACATCTTGGGAGCCGGGAGATGGAGACGCGCGGTCCAGGTTAATGTCTTCTTCACCTTGTTCGATCCGGCGAAGTCGAGCATTGAATTCCCGGTCTGTTACATCTCGATAGCTTGTGCGTGCTCCTTTGCGGCCCCGTCGGACGGAGCCGGTGGAAGCAATAGAGGCTGGTGTGGAATCTCGACTGGGTTTCAAACTCTTCTGGGGTGTTCCGCGGCCGCTGGTGGCTGCTTTACGCTTGAGGGAAGCCGTGCGGCTTCTCGCGTCAATGCGTTCAATGGCCTTTTCTTCCAAATACGACCTGCTCGTGCCTGCGATGATCTCTCGATACAAGTCCTTCTGTTCCGAGGTCAGGGGTGCATACAAGATGTACTCCCGTTTCTTCGGGAGATCTGACTCGACGTCCGCTTTGACCCGCCGGAGAAGGAATGGCTTTAGAATGGCATGCATAGTCGACACGAGATTGTTTCTGCGACTCAGCGTCTTCTCGTCAGCCTCCTGCTTGCCTTCCAAGACACTTGAGAAGTCGAACCACCGTTCGAAGCTGTCAAGGTCGTTGAAAACCTCGGGGAGTAAGAAATGAAGCAACGACCAAAGCTCTGCAATATTGTTCTGTAACGGCGTGCCTGTGATCAGGAGTCGATTGGCAGATGTGTATGTCATCAACTCTTTGATCAGTTTGCAGTTCATGTTCTTCAGGCGATGTCCTTCATCCACAATGATGTAGTTCCATTGATAGTTTGCCAGGAATTTTCGGTCGTTCATGCAAATCTCGTAGCTGGTGACAACGATCGGAAACTCGTATTTGTGCTGATCTTGGATCCTCATGCTTTTCCGCCTCATGGTTGCGCGCTCTTCCTTGCTCCCATGGTAGAGAATCGTGTTGATACTAGGAGTCCAGTGTTTGAATTCCTCCACCCAATTTCTCACAGTACTCAAGGGAGCTGCGATTAGGAAAGGGCCAGAGACATTGTTCCCTTTCAAGAAGGCAATCAATGAGATGGCTTGCAAAGTCTTTCCCAGACCCATCTCGTCCGCCATGATGCCGGAAAGACCGTTCATCCAAAGCGATTTTAACCACTCTAGACCTTCGAGTTGATAGTGCTTCATTTTGCCTCCAGTGACTAGAGCAGGCTGCTCTGTTGCAACAAGGTCGTGAGCACCGAGTCCTTCGCCTTCATATTCATCAGCAGCCTCTGCAAGGGCTTCCTGAACCGTTGGACCCTCTTTTGAGGCCTGAAGAGTATTCGCGCCGAAGTAATCAGTTATGTTTTTCCTTGCAGCATTGGCCTTCTTGGGTGGTCCTCCCCGACCGCGCGTGATTCTCTTCCCTTCTTTCTCCTGCTCGTCTACCACGCGCTCATCTTGAGCATGGCCTCTTGTAGACTTTCTTGTTGGGCCTTTTGACTCGGCGCTTTTGGCAGCTTCCTGTTTCTGCTTCGCCGCCGCCCGTCTAGCTTGCTCCTGATTGCGCTTCTGTTCCTGCTTCATCTTGTCCGCCATGATCGCAACAAACACCGAGCTTGTCTTGAGGAGATTTGTGAGTGCCCGGGTCTTGTAATCCATCTCTTCGACATTGTCTGTGTCCACCTCCATTTTGTTCGTATCTTGCTCTTTCTTGTCACCGCCAGTCTCGGTTTGGACCTCTGCGATGCTGCCATCGAGTGGCGAGGTGGGAGGGGTGCTTTTGCCAGAAGACATATCTGGTGTCGTTGGCTCCGATGACGAAGACCTTGTTGCCATTACTACCGCTGTAGTCTAGGTGTAGGCGCGAAAGGGGACGCTGAAGGCACTGATATCCCCTTCGAGATCTTCCGCGCAAGTGAATCTCCGCAAACGACAGCGATATGAGGATCAAAGGAGGACAACTTGCCTCTGAACCCCTTAGAGAAAGTATTAATAGAAAACAAGGTCACAAGTGGTCTGACTTTCCAGCTCAGATATCATTCTCGACCCTCGACCTCGACCTCGAACCCCGTTACTGCAAGAATGTGGTGTCGTCACGAAAGGCAGAAAGACACGCCCTTTCGTGATCCACTTTACGCGTCCGAATACGCGTTGCTCAGCGCTAAGATCGGTTGCACCAAAATCTTATCGTGGAGTCAGAATGTCACGAGAGTTGGAGAGGTCAGGAACAATCTAGCAATATGGAGTGATTGTGCTCCTGTCAATATGGACCATGTATCTGGGTATTTCTCTCGTATAAACCAACTCTGCAACACAACCCCAAGTCATAATACGATCATCAGCACTGTACTCGTAGGAATCCCACACATATATCAAACACTCAGTCAGGTCTTATGCCGCAACTGTTGCCACAGGATTAGTCCCTCTTCCCGCCACACGTGTTCGCTGACGCTCTGGACGGCGTAACGTGTATCTGCAACCTCATGTCAGTGAAATACAAACTCGGCGGAGTTTGCGACCTACTTTGCAAATGCTCTGGCAAGTGCCTTCTTGCAGCTCAGCTTTTGACTGCCGACAAATGAATCGACAGTCACCGCAATCGCACGGTCAATGTCTTGCGAAGAGCAGAAATCAGATAGTCTCATCTTGCAGAATGCTTCTGCAATTCTCATGATTGCTTCAAGATGACGGACCTGGAGAAAGAGTTAGCCACACATCATAATGCCTTTATATGTCAATGACCAACCGTGATAGGGTACGCGCCCGTTGCGAGAGACTCCCTTCGCATATCGGCAAATAGTCTAGCCACCTTATCTTGATCGATCTGATAAAGTTTCGGGCGGCACTTTTCTCGGGCATACATGATGTACTTGCGGAGTAACTCCTGGGGAATTGCTCCTTCTTGCCGTGGTTCGCCATTGTTGATTGCATTCTCTTGTTCAGTTTCCATGGCGGCAATGTCCCCAGCGTCCATCTCGAGTCTCGCCGGATGCGCTCGTCCATGGCTGTTGACCACAAAGTTCGCAAGCCGCTCGTCTTCATCAGGGTCAACTGTATCTCGGACCACACATAAAATGTCGAAACGAGACAAAATCGGCTCTGTGAGCTCGACATTTTGGCTAAAAGGAATGGTACTGTTGTATCGGCCTCCGGTTGGATTGGCTGCAGCAACGATGGCGCAACGTGCCTGAAGCGTGGTGACAATACCAGCCTTACTGATGGAGATGGTCTGTTGTTCCATGGCTTCGTGGATAGAAGTTCGATCGGCATCATTCATCTTGTCGAACTCGTCGATCAGACAAGTGCCTCGATCAGCCAGGACAAGAGCACCACCTTCAAGTCCCCATTCTTGTGTGAGCGGGTCTTTGCGAACAGAGGCAGTTAGACCCACTGCGGACGCGCCCTGTCCTGTAGCGAAGACTGCTCGATGTGCGGTCTTCTCGACATACTTCAAGACTTGAGACTTGGCCGTACCAGGGTCACCAAGCAGTAGGACATTGATATCGCCGCGGATCTTGTGTTTGCCTTGGGCCTCTTTACTGACACCGCCGAAGAGAGACAGCGCAACTGCCGTCTTGATATCCCGATGCCCATAAATTGACGGGGCAATTGAGTCAACGATTTTGTCCACAATATTGGGGTCCTTTGAAAGAGCTCTGATTTGTCGTTCGTCCTCCTCCGTCAGTCGGAAGCCAGCGAGTTGATCGTGGGTTTTGATAACGTGGTTGGCTTCGAGCATCGTCGCAAACACGGGGAAGCCATTCTTATTATTGAGCTGACCACTGTAGTTATTGCGATAAATCGCAGTCACTTCAACTTCTTCGCCGGGTTTCGCCTTGTCAATCAAGTCCGCAAGAAGAATGACTTCTCTGTGTCGTGGTAAACGACCCGCTGGCACAGTGCCAGGCGACTCCTGCAGAGTCAATTTCTGATAGTTCCGGTAGACGGTCTTCTCGCTGTTCAGCGTGAAAGGACCCCGAGATTGACAGTTCTGGCAGAAAGTCAATTTGACTTCGGTTGATGTTGACTCCTGGGCAAATGGCCCAAGAGTCACGCCGCACTTCTGACATGTGAACTTGACCATTTGGAGTTGTGGGAAGACCCCAGTTCGTCTAGTAACCACTCCGGAAACTCGAACAAGACAATTGAGGTGTGACTGTCGCAATTGCCGCAAAGTATATTGAACCGGCAAATCTGAGATTCGAACATGAATCTCCGGATGAATCAGCTCGTAGTTCGGATAATGTAGTCGGACAACCTCAAAGGCGGCTTTATCGAAGATCTTGAGCATCTCCGACGGAGCATTGGCAAGAAAATACGCCAGGATAGCTTTGGTGGAGGCCAGATGATCGTAAGACACTTCGAGAGATTCTGAATTGACCTCTCCCAAAGTGCGAATGCGGGTCCCGTACACCGACGTGCCGTTAGCATCGATGTACTCGGTAAGAAAGGACTTGAACTCGCGAGCGATGGTCTTCATAACCGAAGGCAGAGTGACCCATTCGGTGATGTTCGATGCCTTGACGTCTTGCAACGTTTCCAAGGAGAGCTCTTCCTCCATAATATTTTCGTCAAGGTCCATGTCATCTTGATCCTCGTCATAATGATGGCGGCGTCTCCGTGGCTGCTTGGTCAGGTCAATCCCAGCATCATCGTCGTCGTCTGGCATGAATGCTGCGGGCATGCGGCGCCTCCGAGCCAGCTCGCGGTCGCGCTTGTTGAGACGTGCTTCCAATTGACGCCGAGATGCCAGGTCAAGTTCGTCATATTCGCCGTCGTCGTCAATCATTCGGCCTTGATAGGTCTCTTGGTCGCCACGTTCGCGTTCATCGTTCATAAAATTGTCTCCAAAGAGATCTATTCCATCTTCATCCTCGGCCATCTCGTCGGCGTCGTCAATGTCACCAATAAGGTCATCCTCTGTTTGCAGTTCATCATCCCCGAGATCATCATCATTCTCGTTTGTGGGGAGCAAAGGTGGAGAAGAAGGCAGCGCTGAGGAAGTTAGTATCACTGGTACCCGGAGAGCGAGGGTGCTGCTTACCAGCTGGCGAAGAAGACATGATCTCGTCTTCTTCATCGCGAGCCCTCTTCCGCCTGCTTGCGTTCCCTGGGCCTCTGTTTGCCGCGGACATGCTGGGTCGAAGCGGTGAGCTGTCAAGTTAGTATTCTTGCTACGATCCAAGCATAGGCATAGACACTATCAAATTACATACCTCATGATTTTGTGACTCTATGCAGAAGCCAACCGTTGTAGTCTAGTATGGAAGGGGGTTGAATTGAGTAGGGAGTGCCGCAGGTGCGCAGTTCTTAAAACCACTTTACGCGCGAAGACGCGTCCCAAGAAACACGCTAAAGCCCATTCGAAGTGGGGAATTGAGGTCATTTCCAGTTCGAGTCTCTCTCGCCTCGAATGCGGTGCAACCTTCAGTAACCATATCGAATATCTCCTTCACTTGTCTTTTTCTCTGATATTCTCGATCGTGAAGATGAACACTGTGCCCGAAATGGATGAATTGAAGCCATCTCAAGACTCACAAACCGCATCCGAGTTAGTCCCCTGTCTAACAATTCGGCGCTTCTCATTGACAGTGACATTTCCAGTTTCATTGATCAACAACTAGCCCTTGAGGCTGATGCGCGAGAGGTGCTTCCATACGTATGGCTTTACCCTCTGGGTCACTTGAAGCAACAATCAGGTCGCTGATATCTCCCACAGAAATTCGACAAGTGCACCAACATTCTCGGGCCGCTGCGCCAGAACGTCTTTGCTTGCCTGACATGCAGCCCTCCACCCGCTTCTGCGGCGCAAGTCTACACCCCCGCGGGAGTCTGCTACGCTTGCTCCATATCTTGCCATGGTGAACACACCCTCGTTGAGTTGTTCTCACGCCGCAATTTCGTCTGCGACTGTGGCACTAGCCGATTGCCATCGACCTCGCCTTGCACTTTACGATCCGATCCCGTGACGGGAAGTCGAGGGGTACATTCGCAGGATCCGCGCAAGGGAAATCATTACAACCACAACTTTCAAAACCGCTTTTGCGCGTGCGGCGAGGAGTACGATGCGGAGACAGAGAAGGGAACCATGTTCCAATGTCTGGGTTTGGGATCGGTTGAAAGCGGTGGTTGTGGAGAAGACTGGTACCACCCAGAGTGCCTGATGGGCTTGCCCAGAGACTGGTACAAGTCGGTCAGCCCGAACCAAAAAGCAGAAGATGGGATACAGAAAGGGCAGGAGGCTGAGGATAAAGAGGCAGAAGAACCCAGCCATCCAGTTCCGCCAGGCTTCCCGAATGAAGATGACTTTGAGACCATGATATGCTACAAATGTGTGGAGTCCAATCCCTGGATCAAGAAGTACGCTGGCACACCAGGATTCCTGCCCGCTGTATTCAAAAAGGACCTCCAGAGGCCCACAGTGGACGACCCTTCTGACTCGAGCACGCAATTGGAGGGCGCATCGACATCGACCGCACCTGTCTCCCTCAAACGCAAAGCCTCCGACGCCGATATCGAAGCCCGACCACCTAGCCCCTCAAAACGCGTTAAAAACGACGATAAATTCACCGAGATTCCCCCCACAGAACCTACAGACGCTGAAACCGAATCGAAGCCCAAACGCAAGCACGAACTCCTTCCCGCTTCGGCCCCAACGGGAATTTTCTCGCTCTTCCTGCGCGCAGACTTCCGCGACCACTTCTGCCACTGCCCGCTGTGCTACCCGCATCTGGGCCCGCACCCGCAACTCCTGGAAGAGGAAGACACGTACGAACCGTCGCTGTCGTCCGAAGGGGCATCGTCGCACGAGAACGGTGGTGGCGGGGGAGGTGGTCACTCGCGATCCTCGCGCGCCTCGCTGCTGGAGAGAGGCGAAGCTGCCCTGTCTAATATGGACCGCGTCCGCGCGATCGAAGGCGTCATGGTCTACAACCACCTGCGCGACAAGGTCAAGGAGTTCCTCAAGCCGTACGCGGAGAGCGGCCAGGCCGTCAGCGCTGAGGACATCAAGGCCTACTTTGAGAAACTCAGAGGCGACGAGGCGGCCATCAAGGAGGCCAAGGAAAGGGATGGCAGGGCCAATGGCCACGGTCACGGCGGCGGAAGTGGCGGTGGGGGAGACGCCGAGGGTGGAGGTGAGGGTGACAGGACCACAAGGAGGGAACAGTCTGGGTATTGAACAATGGTCGGAACAGTGCCAACGGTCCAAGCGCCCCTTTTGCACCGGGCGATGTATGAAATGCGCGCTGCTGGTCGTCAGAGAAGAGAGCTGAAGACAGGTAATCCGAAGGGAGCAGCTACAACTATAATTGTGTACCTGGCACGTCGGAATCGGAGTTCGAACCCACATCAACGCTCAATTCCGGATTTCTCAATTCTGATGGATGTGGAAAGGGGAAGTGTCGAACAAAAAGTCTATCCTGGAAAGCACTTTTGTATTAGGGTTCACTCGCTCGCAGCAGCAATAGCAGCAGCAGTGGTCGTCACCACGTCCATAGGTCTAAGACAATGTTGATGATTGGGGTTTTTGGCCTTGAAGCTCTTTCAGTTTTGAACAGTCCCTTCTGACTCCTTGTTCCACTCAATTACCACTGTTCTTCCCCAGCCCGTCTTTGGCTGCTCTTCAATGTTGATATCAATACTCTGTACATTTCTGTCCCTTCTGATTCTCCTCCAGGTCCAGCCTTGCAGTTGGAGTACAAATGCCGAATAGCTCGATGTGTCTCAAGAGCCCTGTTGAACGATATTGCTGGTCTCCTGTTCTGAAACGCCTCAGTTGTCGCTCGAAAATGCGTCCTTCTTCGATGCACTGGTCTTCCATCTGCCCTGCATAGCTCGCTGTGGCCTCTTCGCCTGTTCAGGTAGTCTTGACATTCCCACTGTTCTTGACATTCCCTTCCTCAGCAAGTTTTGCAAGCCGTTCCCGCGTTTTCCTGTACGGTCCTCTCGGTCCTCTCTGGCCCCCGCGTTTCTTTTGGTTGGCGGTTCTTCTCTGCACTGTCCCTCCCGACCGAGTCGTCCTGGATGTCTGTTCGCTCGTCGTGCTCGAAAGTGATGCTTTATTTCCTTGGTCCATTTCGACATCCCCAGAAGTGAGTTGCTTGTGCTGATCTGTTCCAGAGGCGTTTTGGTTAACCACATCATCTACAATGTTCGGGGTAGTGTCCTGGATTTCCTCTGATGACAGATAAGAGCCTGCGCCAGAGCTTCGTAGATGTCTATCACTTTCTGCCAGTGCGGCCAGTTTTGCAGCACATGTAGAGGAAAGGGTAAGAGCGAGGTCTGGGTGAGAAGAAAGGCCGTCGCTGAGGTCAGGAACCTCTCCCCTCATTCGATTCATCGGCCGGCCCCGGAGTCGAGCTTGGAAATCCTGCAGATCTTCATTTTCGGAAATCGGGGACCACGACGGAGAGACCGGAGATCTTGACTCCAAGATTTCTAGTGGTGCTGTGCCCTCAAGGGTGCCTGTGACAGCTGTTGCTGATTCAACACTAGACGTTCCGTCCTTGGCTTTGGTGTCATCGCCGTTGCACTCCAGCGAGATAGCTTTCGAGGGAGTCGCAGAAGCCAGAACGGTTAGCAGTCGTTGAACCTTGCTTGTATCTGGACGAATATCAGATTGAGAAGGCTTTCGCTTTGTGCCTTCGGGTGCCACGAGTGCTGAAGGACCTGGACGTGACTGAAGTTTGACTGGGAGACGATTTTCCGGCCTGAAAAGGGTAATGTCAAACATGCCACAGTGCAGAGATCGTTCCACGTTCTCCACTACGGGAGCCGTGCTGAAACCAGATACATCAATACTGTGTGACGGGGAGAAGAGTGATGAGCCCTCAGAAGGATTCGCGGCCCGCTTCAGCGAAAGTGCTGTTGTATTTCCAGAATTAGCAAGTAATGCTTGTTGGCCCCAATCCGCGTGTCTCGGTTTCGTTCTCAAGATCTTAGCCAGCCCGTCCTTGTTCTGTATCCTGAGAACTAGGCGCTGGGGATTTGGTGCATTCCCAATCTGCGTACGTTCTTCTGACAACTGTGAGGCAGGCTGTTGAGAAGCGTCATCACCTTCCAGGTTCCGAACGCGTTCGTTAGCCTTTGAAAGAAATGCCGCCAATGTACCTTCGGAGACGGAGCGATCATGGGGGTTGTCGACAACCATTGGATCTTCATCTCGTGTCTCGATTTGCGGCTTCTGGGAAGTTTCCAAGGTAGAATGAGGAGAGGTAGCTTTGGTTGACTGCAAACCGGCGTGTGGGACGCCTGTTCGCTTCTCATTGAAGTCTCCTGCATCGAAAAATGGATCTCCTGATGAAATCTGCAACCCACCAACCTTGTCGACGACAGCACGGGGATGGGGTGTGATTTTCACCACCAAGTTCGACTTGAAATTTGTCGAGGGAGGCTCGAATGTCGGACGATGTTTTATCGAATAGACCAAGCTGGTTGGAGTCGTTGGCTTTGTGCTTCGCTTTCCCGCAGTCCTCTTTTTGATCAGGTCGTGTTTAGGCTGCGAGTGTCGGTCGCTCGACTTTGAATTAAGGGTCTGATCCGCTTCTGAAAGGGATGAATATCCTGAATCAATTGCCAGATGATTAATCAACAGACTCGGCCTACCCGTTGTGCCAGGGACATGCCTGAAGAGTCCGTCAAACGGCACATCTGAAGGATCTGGCATCCACGTTCCAAGCACTTCCGTCGCAATGCCACGACTAGACAAGAATTCTCTTGCGAGGCGGACCTCGGACTCAAATGCTAGCTCATAGTTGCTCGCAAAGACCATGTAGCTAACGTACTCATCGAAGACATCCGCATCAATGACGGAGGGCGGTTGAAAGGGTGCAGAGCCTTCAGCGCTAGCTTTGGAACAGTAGTCCCAGATCTCCGCAACCGTAGCTGGGTGCAAAACCCGCATGCTCACAGCCTTCTCGATTTGGAACGCTTCATGCTCCGTCAATCCCAAAAGGATGGGCACAAGTTTCGAGGGATAGCTTCCCGATAGAGCTTTGTAGATATGAGACTGCAGGGACACTGGGAGGTGGTCCCATGCTACAACGCAATTGGTCTGTAAAGTATCAGCTGACATGAGCTTTGGGCGGTTGAGTAGTCCACAGACATTTGAGCTGGTGGTTGGGACTTCTGCGCCAATTGGGTCATCTACAATTGGTCCCTCGGTTATTTCGGTGTCTTGCTGTACTGTGATGGGTTCAACTGTCTGGCATTGTGCTGGTGGGTCGTCTTCTTCGACCGAACCGCTGCCTGCCAAGTTGATACGGAGACCTTCAAGTCGAAGTGAATGAAGTGTGTCAGGGATGTTCACCATCTCTTCAGGTCCGTTTGAGTTTCTCGCAGCAGGTGTACTGGCAGATGTCAGCGGAAGCGAAGGAAAGGCTGCTGGAGGGTTGTTTGGATTGAACGGGACAATCTGAGCTTTGAGTAACGTGGGATAAGCTGGCTTTGTTCCATTGCGATTTGGCGATGAGTTGTGCACCTCATCTTCGAAGCGTGTGGGCACTGTGACAGTTCTCCTCAGTTGCATGGTGGCATATCAATAAATTCCATGTGGTATGAAAGAGAGATCGATAGGGAGGTGAACATGTGAAGCAGTCTGAGCACGATAAAGGAGCGTGGGTGATAACACGTGATGAAAGGGGAGTCAGTTACCCAAGACAGGGAGGATGGAAGACAAAAGCAGTTTGGACGGTTGAAAAAATACGTGTGAACTGTTAGACCAGACCTGGCTGGGTATGTGAAGAGTTGGACAGTGAAGCAGCTGCCAGTGAAGTGCTTGCCTGTGGGAGGCGCCTTTGATAAGTTCTTTCTCACGCGACACTCCAAGATAGGAGATCGCGACCTGCTAATCCAGAAGGAGAGGTAAGCTGTGGCCGTGAAATGCCTCATTAGCATTTGATGTGCTGTATTCCTCGATGCTGTCCTTCATACGCAGACATATGCAGATGGTGAAGTTCCGTAGTGTCCTGTTTCTCGAAGTGCATGTTGCTCGAGGTCCTTGTAACGGAAGTTTGTGTTTCTCTCGCACCACTCTTCAAGGGGTTCATACCTTGCTCTCGTGACGATGACAACAGATAGATGACACGTGACGACTTCATTCGAAGATTAAGTTCTCTTGAAGACGTCCACGGGAGAGAAGTATTGCCAGACTGGTTGGTTAAGAAGGGGTACGGCATGCTCCGCTCGATATCATCCGATGGTAGATGTACCGTTCGTCCTGTTCTTGCTGCGAGGCGTAGGTTCGCATCCATTGCCCAATCAACAGTGTCGCATGTCTCTTTGCGAGAACGCTCACAGTCAATCGAACACGTCCACAAACGGCGCCACCCCTTCCCGAACCTGAGTGCAATCCGTATGCTCGGAACCAGGGTTCATGTTCTCGTTGGGGTCGTAGAAGTCATCCAAACTGCGCTTGCCTAGTATTCTGGGTGGCACCCTCTCTTTGACGCCGTCAGTCAATGCGCCAGCACTTGAGCCGGAGACCTGGCGTTCAGCTCGAGTGATTGCTTGCAAATCTAGGAGAACATTCTTCGTTTCGTCCGTTAAACTGATACAGAAGCGCTGCGACTGGATGATATGAATGGCAGAAATCGCGTCCACTCCGTAAACAATCATCAAGTATGCGGCCACCAACAACGGAGATCGGTCATTTCCAGACTCACAAAAGACGAGAACCTTACCGCGGACGTCGTTAATGTCTTGGATCGGTGTGCGGGCACATGACATCTCGAGATGGTCATTTATCGCTCGAACAGTCGACTTGACCAGAGGGATGAAATTGCTTGGATGATCAAAGTCCAAAGTCAAGGTCGCAAGCCCCGAGCTCGAAGGAAAGCGTGCAGGATCGAGGAAGGTCGGTCTCGTCAGCAATGATCTGGTAGAGCGAACGGCAACAAGGAGGGTGATGCCCGTTTGCTTCACAAACACGGGGTCCTTGGCCGAGCTGCTGGGGCCCAGCAGCAAGAATGGAAGGATATACTGAGCACTTCTGCGCATCTCGTACTGCCATATGAGCATCGAGTGGGTCAAATCCAGCTGGTGACTGGTGACCAGCGCGGTCAAGAAATCCGGATTACCATATTGTGTGGAGTGTTGGGTAAAAGGAGTGACAAGAACTCTGAAAGAAGGCTTGCCGTCGTGGTACTCGAGAGTAGGTGGTGGCACATAGACTTTGGGGGCTTCCAGGTGTCGTTTGTCGCTGTACCTCTGAGCCGCCAGGTAGACACCTGAGTTTGTAGGACAGGGAGAGTCTGGGTTGGCCTCAGTGTTTGAAAACATGGTCTAAAGCAAGATCTGAGGTGTTGCAGGGATACTTTGTCTGTAGCTGAATAGAGATCGAGATGGTAACTCCAGTCTGTTTGTGGTTGGCGTAGTCTGGGGATGGGGAAGGCTGTCAAGGCGAAGAGACTTTTGGAGCTTAGAAGGTTGGTACAGGTGATGGATAAGAAATTTCCATTCCGACCATACTCAGAAGATGTTATGAGTGTCTGGAGCGGGCGTCGAGATCATGATACTTCGTGGACCCAGGACTAGCGTGGAGGACTCGAAGGATTCTTTTCGCGGTGACCGAATTAGTACAGGAAGATTGCTTGTGCCCGCCTCGTCAAGTCTTAGGTTCGCCAGTGTAGGAGGGTCGATGACTAGAGGGAGGGAGAAGAGCAATACGGAGTGTATGGCGCGATGCGGCAGTGGATCGAATCGAGGCCTGCCAACGTACCGAGTAGAGGACGCTGTTTCATGGTCTGGCCGTGGATTTGGAGATGTGGTTGTGGATGTCATTATGAAGGGAAGGGAAGTGAAGCCAAGTTCCCTGCCGCCTGCTTGGGAGCGCCGCAGCTGCGCCACCCGCCTCCACCACTACAAGTATCGAATACTCGTGAGGTACCGAGTACCGAGTACACAATTTTCCACTCAAATGACCTACATACCCGTCGCCTTATAGAGACTCTTTCTTGTATGATCGAGTTGAATTAACTGTCCAACTTGGTTTATCCCCCATATTTTGTGGAGCTCATATAGTACAGTAATGCAGCACGATGTGCCACTTTGCCACCAAGTCTATCATCATTTCATAACCCATCCCATGAACATTATGGCCATTTCTTGCTCGTTATTGGCCTTTGGTCCGGGATTCAGTGCTTCCAGCATCTTTAGGAGGCTGCGATAGCGCCCGCTTTTCATGCTGTTGTTTGTCGCGCTTTAATTGTCTTTCTACTTGCCAAATTGCCCTCTCAACCTCTCCACTCAGCTCTGGCACTCCTGTCACTTTGGCCACAAGGTCGTGGCTGTCGGCAGGGAGGATGATTTTTTCAGGAGGTGCACTGCCGTCTAGGACTTGGCTCAGCGTGACAAACGTGAAATCCGGTGCATCAGGTGCCACCTGCTCATACAGGTCCTCGATCTTCGGCGGCGAAATTGGTCGAAAAAGTCGATTATCCAGGATGAAATCCAAGTGATCAGAACCTTTCAAAGCTGGCAGCCTGTTAGCAGACATGTCAATTGCCAAGGGACACTGCCAATTACCTTTCCAATGAGACCAACACCGATATGCAGCATAGAAAAAGGGGAAGTTGGGAATTCTGTTGCTCGTTAGCCATGCTGATGGGCTCATGGACAGGGAAGAGTAGGGCAAGACCATACACAGGCACCAGTGCAAAGGGTATGCAGAGGGGCATGGCGACCATGCTTCCGATGAACCGATTCCAGTGCAATTGCTTGCGTTCCCTAGCCAGCCTTGCCAGAACTTTTGGCACATCGTCTTTGTGCATGATGTTACCAGGGTAGATGACATCGAATTTCTTGCCTTGTGCGATCTGCTCGGCCTGCAGTTTGGGGTTGGAAGGAGGAAAGCTCTTTAATCCCCATTCCTGGTAAGGTATACGCTGCAAGCCTTGGTTGCCATAGTGGACAACTGTTTTTCGCCATCCTCTATCTGCTGCTTCCCACTTGGCCCACGTCTCAGCAGCCTTTGCTGTAATTCGATCGGCAATAGTTGGTTTCGCATTCGGCTTTGGAGCAGCGCGTTGACAGAAGACGAGTGCTTGTCGCGTGGTGAGAGGTAGGAGAAAGATTCGCATAGCCGCGACGACTGCGCACTGGAGGTCAAGGGAACCGAGGATGCGACCGATTTGCACCGTTCAGGGAAGTTTCGATGAAATCATGGTCGAGACAGCATACTGTCCGAAATATTAGTGGAGCAACACCAGTAAAGCTGAAGATGAGCGACGAGAAGTTCAATATCTCCCTTCCCTGATGTTGCTGGAGGCTGAATAAACGAATTGTAGCTGCAATCTGGCCTTTGTGCAGGTATGTACTTGGTAGCGACTATTGCGCAAACAAAATCCTCATCGAGTCAGATTATATATTACAAGATCTACCAACGTCATGGCTGAATCCCATGCATTGATTCGCCCCAAAGCTTCCCAGGGGCCAAGGCAGAACGCGCTCTAGGGCGTCACCTAGGCAGCACCAAGGCAAGTGTTCCCACAGCCATCTGCGGCAAGCAAAAGCCCCCATTCGCCAGATGAGCTTACTCCAAGGTTCCCCCGTGATGAATGATCAGCCTCCTACTAAGGCAGGTCAAACTCCCCATGTGGCATATGGTGCAGCACTACCTAATATATCTTTCTGTCTATAAGCCTTAAAAGAGCGATCTCTATCCAATGCCGTTGCTACAATACCGGAGTAGATCTTGACTGAGCATTGATACGCCCCCCTCCGACTTCCACCAGGCGATTTCACGCGACCGACCACCCTCGATATGCCCTTACAAGCCCGCGGCCATTGAACCTCTTTTTGCCGGAACACCCAGATTTCTGGGTACTCCTACGTGTCTGATCGGTCATTCACATGGCCACTGAAGCGGGCTTCCCATGGCAAGCGCCATCAAGAGATCCCGAGAAGACCGCGTTGCCAGTGCCGGATCGCAACACCGTCCCTCAACCAACCACGCAAGAAGGAGAACCAGCATCCCCCACCAAGACTGCGGCATCGCAACAACAGTCCCAGTCTCGGAAGAATATCAACTCGCAAGGGAAGCATCGACATGCTGTAACCAAAGGCCCTCCACGAGCAGGTCTGTCAACTGCGCTCAACACGCAGTTGGAACCGGCCAGGGCAAAACCAACATCGCCGCTCCCAGTTCGAACCATTCCCCGTAGGTCACTGTTTCACTCCGGTCAGACTCTGGTGAACAAGGTTAACACTTTCGAGCAGCTTGGATAAGAGATGCGGATGAAGATGATCTGTGCGATCCTCAATTCCAGGGCCCCGACACCCCACACGCGGCGTTGGTTGCTCAACACCATTACAGCTCGTCCACAGCAAGGCGGCCCATTATATCAAGCAGGCAATCTCACGAGGAGGGCTACGCTACACCGTCAGGCAAGGCCACGGCCCCGCGAACTTCGAGATGGATGTCCTTTGCCCAACCCAGCGCATACCCACCAGAGAATTTCAACAGTGAAAAGGTGGACACGGATTGGCTCAACCAGAATTTTACCGACTACTCCAAAACATGGCTTGCGGACCACGACGATGACGACGTCGAGGATGGCAGTTCCCGCTATCGTGCCTTTCGCCGGAAAAGACAGGTGTGGTATAAACGCGCCCAGTTCTACATCCTGCGAAATCCATTTATTCCTCTTGCATTCCGGTTGACAGTGTTGTCCTTTGCCCTCGTGGCTCTGGGCCTGGGGGCTTCGATATACCATGAAACCGGCAAGATCACAAAGTGCATCAAACAGCCACCAGACCGGCGCACTCCCGAATGTGCAGAGCGCGTCGGCGCTTCAGCCACCGACTATTATCGCGATCCTTCAGGCTTGATGGCGGTGATAGTAGATGCTATTGCGATCATCTACACCATATACATCACCTACGACGAATACTTTTCGAAGCCTCTCGGATTACGACGTGCAAGAGCAAAAGTCCGGCTGATGCTGCTCGATCTGTTCTTCATTGTGTTTCAGTCGGCAAATTTGAGTTTAAGTTTTGAATCCCTGACTGTGGATGAAGGCGCCTGCAAAACTGGCGATTTTGTGAGGACGACCGGCAGATTTGGGAGCATCTGCAACAGAGCAGAGGCCCTCAGCGGTGTGTTGTTGGTGTCACTTACTGCATGGTTAATGACATTTTCCATTAGCGTCTTGAGGTAAGCCTAGTCGTCCCCGAGCCCTCTGTGGACGTCGACTGATTGTGCACAGGCTGGTAGAACGAATCGACACGAAGTGAAACGAGTTTACGACTTGGACTTCTACGACCAAAATGTTTAAAATCTGTTTTGTATAGAGCCCACCGGTGGCAAGACCCATGCCAGTGGAGGACTGCTCGGCATGATTAATGGCTCTACATACCCCTTTAGTCCTCGTCAATGATACACCTCTGGCAACTCCCTCATACACTCAGACTGGGGCCTTCGTTGCCATATACTGGATCGCGCTTGAACCAACCCAAGCCTCCAATCTGTCTGACCTGGTCCTCCTCCCCGGGCTTCCCATAGCACATGTCCCATGTTTTGCCCTTCTCATAAGATCCTACCATCTGGAAGCCGCCATAATCCTCCAGCAACCGGTGACCGACCCCAGCAGGGACCACTACAACATCCCCTTGCTCCAAAACAGGCTCCACTCGGCCTTCGTTCTTTTCACCTCCAAAGCAGCACTTTGCAGACCCCGCAGCAATGCTGAGAACTTCATGGGCTGTGGAGTGGAAGTGAGTCTCGCTAAACATGGTGTATCTCCATTGTGGAGAGACAACCCCGACGGAGTTGAGGTGAGATTCGATGGTTGAGGGCTGGGGGTCTGTAAAGACGCCGTGGTATATCATGAGTGGTTTGCCTTGTATGGAGGTGTTTGGAATGCCTTTGTAGGCGGGGATCTGATGTTTCGAAACTCGCAAAGCACTCAACGGAGTGATCGGCATATTGCCTCTTCAGCGAACTCGTCGAGATGGGAGTGTCCTTTTTTCGGAGACTTGCGGACTGATAGGGTTGCGAAGGGGCCCGTGCAGTGCCTTGTGGACGAGAGAGATGATAGCATTAGAACAGGAGAAGAGGAGCACTTTACATAGGCGGCATGTGAAATTCCAAGACAGTGTATAGAAGCGACAACAGAAACACGCAGAGAACACGCTCAGATCAGAGTTAAATGACGTCATCTGGTCTAGTTAGTCATCATCTCTCCGGAAGATATGGATGATCCAGACCGACCAGATGTGCTGTGGCCTTGCCCTTCTCGCGCAGCCTCTCATCCAACAGCCTACCTCCATACAGCATCTTTTGCCTGCAGCGATTACGACCAACGCCTTGTCCCTTCTGGTCACCTGTCCGTGAGTTGGAATGCGTTTCAGGAATGACATTGCTTCCTCGTTGAATCCGCAGTGACTGAAATTCACCCGCTACCTCTACCATTCAGTCAAACCAACCTCGAGTTTCCCTCACTCCCTCTTTCGCTGTCGAACCGAGGAACCGATCTGGCAAGAACTCGAGAGGAGGAGGAAGAACTAAAAGCACGCAAGTTGCCGCAGGAAGACAACACCCAGGCTGCTTTCCGTTTGCCACGGTCGCCTTTACATAACCTCTCGCCCCCTCCACCAGACCTTTATATCTGCTCCTTGCAACAATACTTCTCTAAGTCTTCAGTGAAGACAAGGATATCCTCCCGAAATGGCACCCACGGCAAACACAGCCTCTAACCCGGCGATGCGAGCGCGAGACGATCTTGATTCTACGTAAGAATGTCACAATGAAAGCAAAGCCCCTGTTGACTGGTATTAGGTGGACATATCTCGAAAAGAACGTCGACAATGTAATGAACAAGTTGCAGGAGGGTCTTGACATGAAGACATACATGTTTGTTAAAATCCCCCTTGCGCAGGTAGTAGTCTTTTCTGACCTGATGCCAGGGGCGTGTATACCGCGGTTCACAATTTCTGTACTTCGCAAAAGGCAGCCACGAATCAAAGTCAGGGTGGCTCACCAGGAACCTTGAGTCCTGCTCATCGAGGCGCCCATCTTCTGGGTGAGGAGCTCTACACCCTCCTTGGTAAATATCTCACGGGACATCTTCGTGATGTCCTGGCCGCTTCCGAATCACATACAGACGAGGCGCTGCTGGCCTTCTACATTCGAGAATGGAAACGGTATACCGACGCTGCAAAATACAACAACCACCTCTTCAGATACCTGAATCGGCACTGGGTGAAGCGAGAAATTGATGAAGGCAAGAAGAACGTCTACGACGTCTACACACTGCACCTGGTCAAATGGAAGGACGACTTCTTCAAGGCGGTCGAGGGCAAGGTGATGGATGCGGTCTTGAGACTCGTTGAAAAACAACGCAACGGCGAGACTATTGATCAGATGCAGATCAAGGCCATTGTCGATTCCTTCGTCTCCCTCGGCTTGGATGAGCATGACAGCAGCAAATCCACGTTGGACGTCTACCGCCTTTACTTCGAACGCCCGTTTATCCTCGCCACCAAAGAATACTACATCAACGAGTCTCGCCGGTTTGTGGCAGAGAACAGCGTTGTCGAGTACATGAAGAAGGCAGAGGCAAGATTAGAAGAAGAGAAGGAGCGTGTGGGCCTCTACTTGCACCCGGACATTATGAAAAAACTTATGGAAACGTGCAACGAAGCCCTCATCAGCGCTCATTCTGTCCTGCTGCGAGATGAATTTCAGGTGCTGCTCGACAACGAGCGTACCGAGGACCTTGCCCGGATGTACAAACTCCTGTCCAGAATTAAGGATGGGCTGGACCCCCTCAGGACGCGATTCGAGAGCCATGTCCGCAAAGCTGGCATTGCAGCTGTGGAGAAGGTTGCGGCCCAAGGAGACAGCTTTGAACCAAAAGTCTATGTCGATGCGTTGCTCGAAATCCACGGCAAATATCAACAACTCGTCAATGTCGCCTTTACGGGAGAATCCGAATTTGTGCGGTCGCTCGACAATGCTTGCCAGGAATTTGTCAACCACAACCAAGTCTGCAAAACCAACTCTACCCGATCCCCTGAACTGCTTGCCAAATACGCCGATCAACTCCTCAAGAAAGGCGCCAAGGCGGCAGACGAGTCTGAGCTTGAAGAACTCCTTGTACAGATTATGGTTGTGTTTAAATACATCGAGGATAAGGACGTGTTCCAGAAGTTCTATTCTCGAATGTTGGCCAAGCGTCTAGTGCACACGAGCTCTGTATCGGACGATGCGGAAACGAGCATGATCAGCAAATTGAAGGAGGCATGTGGTTACGAGTACACTAACAAGCTTCAGAGAATGTTCCAAGACGTACAAATTTCCAAGGATCTCAATACTGCCTACAAAGACTGGCATGACAAGATTCTCGAGGACAGTGACGAGAAGAGGACGGTCGACTCGACATTCCAGATCTTGGGAACGGGTTTCTGGCCTCTCAATGCTCCCAACACTCCATTTGCCCCTCCTGCTGAAGTCAGCAAAGCCATCGAGTCATTTACCCGCTTCTACGACCAGAAACACAATGGTCGCAAGTTGACATGGCTGTGGCAGTTGTGCAAAGGCGAGATTCGAGCCAATTATATCAAGAGCCAGAAAGTACCCTACACCTTTCAAGTTTCCACCTACCAGATGGCCATCCTGCTTCTGTTCAACGACTCCGACAAGATGGATTATTCTGAAATCAAAGAACTTACCAAGTTGACCGATGAAACAATTGAACCGGCGATTGGCATCCTGTGCAAAGCGCGCGTCTTGATCTCGTCGCCCGAAGACGGCAAGCCGGCACCCGGCACTAGTTATTCGCTCAACTACAACTTCAAGAACAAGAAGGTCAAGATTAACCTGAATATCACTGTCAAATCCGAACAAAAGGTAGAGTCGGAAGACACTCACAAGACCATTGAGGAGGATCGGAAACTGTTACTCCAGGTAGGTGTTTTGCAGTTGTGTTGTTGGGTGTGTCTCTTGCTAACTTTATCAGGCTGTGATCGTTCGTATTATGAAAGGTCGCAAGAAGCTCAAGCATGTCCACCTGGTCGAGGAAGTCATCAACCAAGTCCGTAACCGATTCCCCCCCAAGATCTCCGACATCAAGAAAAACATCGACGCCCTGATGGAGAAAGATTACATTGAACGTTTGGACAATGACGAGTTGGCGTACATTGCATGAGCAGCGCACTTCTTGTGCAGCATGGCTCTCTCCAAAGAGGGAAATCTATTGAATCTCTGGACGGGACTACAGTTGTCGGCCAGAGGGAAAAAAGTCCCTCCAGGGAATGTTTCTTCTATGCTTTTGCCGACATCCCAGGCAGAGAATTCTCAGAACTCAAAACACAGGGGTGAATCAGGGCGAACGGAGGGGATGGGTTTGGACGATTGGTTGACGGGCGATTTCACCTAATCAACACGCATGGTACGGACAACAGCATTGCGCGGTGGTGCAGCGGACTGCATTGGCTTCTCTCTCAATATCTTTTCTCTCCTACGATCAGCGTCACGACTCGACCGAGCAGTTCTCAGAGCGTTGGGGGAAAACAAGGTTTCTGATGGGAACGAATTCGACTGAACGACTTGACGACGCGTGCACATTAACCCTTGAAAGTTTTTCGCAAAGTCGACTAGAATCAATGGGTCGGAAGTGTGGAAAGGGGTCTGGATGAACGGCACCGGGTATTATGCGTGCGTGTATTTGTCCCCCGAGGACAATAACGAGGTTGTGACAAGGATGGTCCTTGGTCTTGGGCAGGTCATGACGAGAAGCATTTGGCGCTGGTTGTGTTTCGCGCGCACGCAAGGGCTCATTAGTGAGTGGTATGATGACAATGAAAAAAGAAGACTCTCTGTTTCATCCCGATCCGCGGTTTACAAGTCACAATGGCGTTCGTCAGTGAGTGAGGCGATTCCAACAGACAGAAGTCGGACTTGGGTAGTCAGTCTACATACACGCATTCATTCATACATACATTCATACATTAGAAACGAGGTATTCCTTTTCTCGCTACAGACTTTGTGCTCTTGTCGTGTCTTTTCGCCATGGAGCGTCGCAATGAATAGGTTCGAAGAAATAAATAATCATGGAACGAATGGCCTTGACGACACGCTACCCACCACGACACATTGCAAGTAGATACAGGTAACTAGGTTTCTTTGGCGACGGGATGAACATGCCCAAGAACGGGTCCTATTCGTATTCCTACCCCTGTTCCATTTCACTACTTGTACTGCTTCGAGTGTGCTACTTCATCCACCCCCGGACCCCGGGTATGTCCTCTACCAATCAATAAACCACACTGACCTAGTTCGTTGCTGCTCTCCCTGGCTCTTATACACATGTTAAGCTGCAGAAGATAGACTCGGTGGAGATATAGGGGTGAGACGTGTACCTTAAAAAAAATATCAGGTCAAGTATATAGCGGAGTGAGAACAGCCAAAAACGATAGTGAGTGCATCATGGCCGCCGCAACCTCGCACACGAGCCCAGCTCATCCAGCTCCACTCGTCTCTA